CGATTTACAGCCACGATTTTTTTCTATGGGTAGCTTTTAAATGAACTGATTCAAAGTTCGCCAAGAACTTCATTGCTGAGATTTTTCGTTGGTATCTTATTAGCCGCCCCTCACTCTCTCCCTCCCTCTCTCTCTATCTCTCTCCGCCTTTAACTCTGACGCGTATCTCGTTTTTCTTGCTTACTTCTTCTTGTTCTTTAACACTCTGCTTAACCCACATTCTGTTGGTTTTGCCGAAACGTCGTCGCTCGTCGCTCGTCGCCTATCTCCCGGATCAGTCTAAATGTTTTTATGTAAACACGACCGTCTCCGCCCAGCGCTCCATTCCGCATTCCCCAACTACGTCGGTGCACTGTAATTGTGTGCGGCTTTGTTAGCGTTGCAGCTTTTGCACTTTACTTTTGCACTTCCTTCCTAGCGCTTTGTTTTTCGCCCAGCGAGCAGAATAACTGTACAGCGGACACCGTCTCCGGAACAGGGTGAACTGAGCTGTCTGAATGCCTGACTGACGACTCGGCATTGCCCTGCTGTGGCGGTTCCTTGGGGTCGGGGTCCGAGTGGGTCGCTTATTCGTTGGCTTGAATGGCGGACAGCTTTAGCCCGACGCTACCATTCATAGTGTATGTGTGTGCCAGTGTGTGTGTGTGTGTGTTGGTGTGTTGGTGTGTTGCTGCCTTATACAATGACTTAAGCTGAAATGTCAATTGGTTGCATGGAAGAAGGAACAGCTCCGGTCGGGCAACCCGGCCAGAAGCCCACGAAAAACGAAAATGATGAAAATACACCCCAGGGTAAATGGCCAAACGTAACGGCCGGACCCGGACTGGAGGCATTGCCAAAGATATGGCCACACTGCAAAAGTGCTTATGACAGCAGCAGAGCACACAGCCCCCAGCCCGCACCCCGCACAGCCAAATCCTTTCTCCGGCTAATAGAATTCAAACGCATGAAGCCTCTGAATAGGTTCGTTGTCGAAAGGCGACGCATTCAAGTCAAGCAAATGCCCATTTGCTGCTGACATGGAACCGGCTCCAGCTCCAACTCCGGCCAAGTCTACAGCATGGCCTGGGGCTGCGAGTGGGTCGGAACTAGGACTGGGGCTGGGGCTGAGGTCGGGCGTAAACAGAAAAGTGAAAGTACGTGACATAACGCTGCATTGTGCGTTCCTAGCGCGAGGGCTGCCAAATGAATTTCAATTTCAAGATTCAGACCCAAGCGTGTATTTGAAAATAGCATAAATAGTATTATATGCGATGCTTGTTATTCGGCTGATAAGCAGAATGTACATTTCAATGAGGCACGGCTCTCGGCTGCCATCTTGCGTACTTCTTAAAACGAAGCTGACAATGAACTTTACTCCGATATACTAACTTAAATCTTACTGATTACTAAACGAGCCAACCTCTGGCTAGGTGCCCATTACCTTTCGGCAATGACTTTGACATGCTCAGCTCTGGACCAGGACCTGAAGCTGGACCTGAAGCTGGCAGGCGGGGCTTTCGGGTGGCCGTCTATGTCAGGAACGCTGTAGTTTGTTTCGTAAGTTTTTGCAAAAACCATTAACGACGCACCGTGGCTACTTTTTCGGGCCCGGACAGTTGGGTTGCTGCTTATTTTTTTTCGGTTCTTCTTCGCTTAAATTGAAAAGAAAAAAAAAAAAAAAAAACGTGAAAAGCTGTAAACTTTTAAAAGTTTCAATCTCTGTTGGTGCACAGCAGCCCCCCAAGCCCGCCCCCTGGAAAAGTTGGCCACTTTGGGCCCGCTGCTCATTTGGTCAGCTTACGTGCGGGGAGGGGGGTGGTATTAGGTGGTAGCTTTTGTAGATAGCTTGCCCACTTCTTGACGTGACACGGCCCGGGCTGTGCTTCGGCTAATGGCTGCGTAAATGACAAAGTGAATTTTCAGTAAAAAAGGCAACAGCAGCACAAATTTATTTATTTTTATATACCATGCACACACACACATACACACACACATGTGCACATATATTCTTTTAAGCCTAGAGCCGGGTGAGCAGGTCACTAATAGCATTATATACCTAATGCCGGGCACGAGCCTGCCGCATTAAATGAAAGCAACGAAATAATTGAACATATTCGAGTTTGCTCTGCACACATTAGCCAAATGGGCTCAGATGAATAGAAAGTTTCAGAAAATAAATACGATTTTTCAGCATCCCAATCATTGTGAATTCATTTTCATAAAATATTCAACGTAAGGCAGCAATCATTTTTTGTTCAGCATTTTTATTTGATATATTTCCGCTTCATCTAGACAGCGTCCATCTTTTGCATCTAATCAAGATAATACAGAATAAAACATTTAAAATTTTTTCTTTTTATACCCTGAACCCATTAAAAATGGGTATAAGGGTATATTGTATTTGTGCAAAATCCATATGTATGTAACAGGCAGAAGGAAGCATCTCCGACCCCATAAAGTATATATATTCTTGATCAGTCGATCTAGCCATGTCCGTCTGTCTATGAACGCAAGGATCTCAGAACCTATAAGAGCTAGAGACTTGAAATTTTAGTTGTAGATGCTCCTAGTTCCCGCGCAGATCGAGTTTGTTTCCGATAATCGATAACTTACTCCGTTTCCAAGCAATCGATCAGAATCGAAATCGATATCCTGTTTTTTTGGCCAATTTTGGTAAATAATTAGAGCTAGAGCCACCAAACTTGAAATATAGCTTCTAAAATAGAATATACATATATATATATATATATATTTGATGTTGGAAGAAGAGGGTTCAGGGTATCCCCTAGTCGTGAGCTCCCGACTAGAACCTCTTACTTGTTTTTTTACCATTTTTGGTGCTTGCGGCACTATTTTTGTCGAAATGCAACTTTGCATCAGCTGTTAGGTGAAAAAAATGCAAAATTTAAGGAAATATTGCACATTTATTTTGCAAAAGTTTAAAAACTTTTGCAGCCACGTTCCTTGCCAATATAAACACTCGTTTTCTTTAATAACTTTTGTTTTCCTTAACCAATCCTAATGCAATTCTCTCAGCACTAGAATAATCGTGTATTCTGAGAAGGTCAACAGCATTCCAATATTGGCTTAAATTATTTGCAGGGCATAGCTATTAATTGAAAGATTCTTGATTTGCATATACTAGTTGAAGTCTCTAGCTCTTAGGCTCTGACGGAGAATATATAAAGACTTTATCGAGTAGGAAATGCATGTGAACCAACCTAACAACTCCTTTAAACATCTAGTAATCATATTAGCCCCAGATTAATCAGCTTAGTTATAGTTAGTTGGACTTTCAATCTAGCAAGCCAAAGATGTTTACGATTATTCAATATAAGCCCTAGCTTAGAGCATAGTGTAAATATCTTAGACTGCGTTAAGCTTTGAGTTTAAACAACAACAAAATAAACGAGCAAGAAAGAAGGACTATCTTCGGCACGACGAAGATCTAATACCCTTGCAGACCCAACCTTTTCATAATGCTCGTATCTAAAAGCACAGGGAAAATAGTCAATGCCGCGTTTGGTCAAGATATCTTGATAGTCAGAAACGTTTATATCCTTTATGGGGTCGGAGTTGCCACCTTCTTTGCGTTACACATTTCACGAGAAAATTATAATACCCTCTGCAAGTGTATAAAATGTTATATTCGATTCAATTAAGAGATCATAGCAAGTATTTTTATTCTTTTGCAATATGAATCAGATTACTTTAAATGTCTAACGAGTTGCGGACGTTTGTGCCCAGCATTTCCCCCTTACATATTTACAATTATTTGTATTCCTATTTATGGGCAATTCCTGATAATGACAACAACTTTGACCCGGCCAGGCCAGGAGCGCCTAGTATAGAAGCCAACCACTTCAATTGGCCCACTTAACGTTCCTAGCCGAGTTGTAGGCCCAGTTGCGAACGCTTGAGACGCCCACAAGCAATTGTTGGGAACCCTGGGTAACAACGTTTCGGTACGGCCCACTTTGTCTGAGTTCCCACGGCTGTCGCTTGATATTATTGCAAAAAGTAGAAATGACAATAAAATTATGGATTTTGCCAACAATGACAGCAATGCAAACAAAGCCAACCACTAGAAACACAGTTCCCTGAACATGAAAACTGAAACTGTCCGCGTACGCATCCACACCTTAGACGTGCCGAGTGTTACAGATAACGAAATTATATACAGCAGTTGATAAGTTAAAATAAGTTAATTAAATTGATTAGGTAGGCTACAATTGTCATATGCTAATATCTATACATACATTCTAATATTATTCATTTTCGAATAAGTTAATTCATATTATTTTTACATCCATTGAACCATTGAAAGCAGACAGAAGAAAGCAGAAGTATATATATTCTAGATCAGCATGAAGCTTCTAGAATTTTATATACAGATCAGGTATCTTGCATATTATAGCTATCAACCAGCCAAAGCTGACAACGAGAAGCAGCCAAAGCTAATAAAAACTTTCTTCTTTGCATTGAAGTTCACTTAAAGCCTGATCTCTGCCTCTTGTTTATTTATATTGACTTCCTGAGCTACTGATAATCGCTTAAGAGTTAGCGATGCATTGCGCACCCGGGCTTCCAACTGATTGCCGTATTTCAGTCTACTTACGTGCGTGCTGAGTGCAGTTGAGATTCGTGAAAGTGCTTTCAAAATGAAATGTGTTATGCTTAAATATATTCTACTTATGAGCCCAATACTGATCTTAGCTGAAGCAGAGGCTAACGAAAGTGAGGTAAGAGACACATTATTTATGAATTTCTGTGTGCACTGCAGAAAATAAATCGTACTCTTCTTATTAGTCTTGTGTGGCAACCAGAATAGCAGAGGAGTGAGACCCTCATTAAAGTATATACATCAGATGAAGGAGGAAATTGAAAACAATAACAATAAAGTTGAAGGCAAAGACAGAAAAATCAAGCAACTGCAGGAAAAACTTAACCAATATAATGAATTTATCATCGAGGCACTTAAAGAGCTAACGAAGAATATTTTATCGATAAAAGAGGAAATGGGTAAACCCACTTCTAATGACTTGAAAATCCAGGACTATGAACAACAGCTGGAGAAACAAAAGAAGTCAATTGATCAAAAGGAACAACAAATATCAGAAATTAAAAACGAAGTCAACATTTGTGCCAAGAAATTAAAAAGCTACGAAGAGAAGCCCGTTTACGGTGAATGCACTCCCTTTGGAGATGCCCCGGGTATTCATAAGATTACTCCGGATCAAAAAGATCCGTTCGACGTACTTTGCGACAGTGCGACAGCAGGTCCAGGATGGACGGTTATCCAACAGCGAATCAATGGCAAAGAGGACTTCTATAGGGATTGGGCCACTTACCGCAACGGATTTGGTGCCTTTGATGGTGACTTCTTCTTAGGACTTGAGAAGATTCATCGCTTGACGAGCGCCCAACTCCATGAGCTCTACATACATATGAAAGGATTTGATGGTATCGCCAAATACTATAGATATGAACAATTTGCCATCGCTGGCGAGGAGGATCAATACAGACTGAGCATCTCTGGTAAGGCTGGGCACAATGCATATGATGAGTTGGGCTTCCACGACAATCAGAAATTCAGCACATACGATCGTGATAATGATGCTTGGGATGATGGCAACTGCGCAAGTAAAGACAAATATTGTGGTGGCTGGTGGTACACAAACTGTGCATTAAGGTATGAATTTCCGGAGAAAAAAAAATGTTTGAAATTTAATTGTTATTTTTTCTAGCAATTTAAATGGCAAATATCATAATCATGAGATGGACAAAGGGGTTGCCATATATTGGGATGGCTTCGTCTCGTTGAAGAAAGTGAAAATGCTTATACGACCCAAAAGCTGTTGAAAATTGTAAAAGTTTTATCTAAAAACATATACAATACTTTGAAATATACAATACTTTTCACAAACTCCGTTATTGACTTTTATATTAGATGGTATCAGAGGACTATCTTTTGGTGATGTATCTATTGTTGTACGAAAATGTTTTCTTTTTATAACAGGCAGAGGGAAGCATCTCCGACCACATAAAGGTGTCGGAGGATTAAAGTCATCTCCCTGCAGGTCGTCATTATTGGTCGCTTGGTCGTTGGGATTCTGGTGTTCCGTACTCAGTCCTGGCGGATGCAGCCAGTCTTCGTTACCTTTGTTGATCATTATTGTTTCTTAAATACACACGCGTGACCACCTCACGCCACGCCGGAAACGCGGGACAGCCACAAGAGAGAGACCCGATCTAGCCACACACAGCCTCAGTTCGCAAACTGAGTCCCCATTCTACCAGAACTAGTATCTACCAGCACAACCCATGGTCACACCTTAAAGTCTCATGCCTATCAAGATGCTACAGTACTTCCTCTCCGACATATACATATTCTTGATCGGCATCAATAGCCGAGTAGATCTAGCCATGTCCGTCTGTCCGTATGTATGAACGCAAGGATCTCAGAACCTATAAGAGCTAGAGACTTGAAATTTAGATGTAGGTGCTCCTAGTTCCCGCGCAGATCGAGTTTGTTTCCGATAATCGATAACTTGCCCCGTTTCCAAGCAATCGATAAAAATCGATATCGATATCTTGTTTTTTTTTTTTGGGGCAATTTTGGTAAATAATAAGAGCTAGAGTCACCAAACTTGACATATTACTTCTAAAATAGAATATATATTCGCATTTGATGTTGGAAGAAGAGGGTTTAGGGTATCCCCTAGTCGGGAGCTGCCGACTAGAACCTCTTACTTGTTTATTTCCAAGCAGTTCTTATCTATTTGAGATGTTTAAGGTTTGTTAGCTGCCGTATTGTTTTTGATTGGAGAGTTAACATCATATGGGATATGAAACATATTTGCAGCTCAAATGCGCCCAAATACGATGTGCAGATATGTTTCTTTATGCTAAGGTGCTTGAGGTGCTTTCGTATGGCCAAATATTAAAATAAATTTGTAATTCAGAAAAACGTGCAATAAATTGTAACACCCGCTCAGAACAGGATGAGGAAAATATAAATAGGTTGACTCTGAGCTTTGTTGGTTGCGTTTTTCAGTCTTATAGGGCAGAGTTTAGGCCAGGGGCGGGGCTGGGGCTGGGGCTGGGAGGTTTGCTGATGTGTGTGCTTGTCGTTGGCATGGCAAAAGTACTTGAAGAATTACACACAATGCATGCATTATTCATGCTTACTTCAGAATTTGCGTTACAAAGTAAAAAATGTTGTAAGGACACTTCTGCCTAGCCCCGACACTCGCAGGCACACACTCAACGACCGAGTGTGTGTGTGTGTGTGTGTGTGTGGCAAGGAAAAACACGAATAAGGAAGTGTGAAGGAAAGCCCGGCAAAAGCAAAGTGCAGAATAGTCGAGCACAAAATGAATGCAGAACAAACCGCTGATAGATTAGAGTTTTGGCTTGGTGGTCTGCACACACACACACACCCTCACCCCCCCCCCCCCCCTCCCGCACCCCTGGAATGCAAATTGCCGCACAACAAATGTACATAATCATGTCAAATGTCAGCTGAGACGAATGCAAGAGGGAAAACAACCTGGCGTGACTGAGAGACTGGGCCTGGGAGCAACCAATACAGGGCCCAGCCAGCTGGCATTTCAATTGGCTCGCGTCGCCTTGAAAATTGTGGTAAAATTGATGAGACCATCAAATATTGACAATTGCATATCTAATTCGGTCTGGTCGGAACACTTGACGGGCCGCGCGCATAAATCAACATCAGCTCGAATATCAAGCACTTTTGTCTTTCGATCCTGATGTGGCATAAATTCAGCTAACCCAAGGGATAGCCAACGCAACTGCACTTATCGAGCTGGTTCGTCCTTTCGGCCAAGGACACTTAATGTGGCCTTAGTTTTTCTCAACTTGGATGTAAGCCAAACGTTTTTCAAGTCGTTTCCAATTAGTCGATGATTTTAAATGTCAGATATGCTGTTATGATATTTCTTATTATGCGCATTCCTGTTCCGGCTCGGAATATCCCTTCTAGATATGGATACACGCTCAAAATATGATTGGATGTTTCAATTGAACTATCACAATTATTGTCAGTTTGCGAGTCTGCCCAGAACATCTTCTTCTAGAAAACTCGCCTTTAACTTGGGCTTAAAATTTTATTGTCATATTTCCGCTTAACTAAAATAGAAAACAAATAACATCGAGTTGTAGGACTTATTCAATTCACATTGAGCCACATTTAACATCTTTTGCCGAGCCAACATATTCTCATTCATTTCTCTGAGAAATGTTCATAATCTACACTATTCGGTAAAATATTTAGCCGATCGTTTTTAGTTAACCCCTTAAAAAATGCCATTTACTACGAAAATGTATGCAAACATATTGAATTCAAAAAAATTAGTCATAGCCTAATTCCACTGTCCACATTTCTTACACATTTTTCAAAAATGTCACATTTTTCAAAATGTAAAAAATGTGGCCTGTACGAATTCCTATAAGACAACACATTTTTCACATTTTTCAAAAATGTGACATTTTCAATAATTGATTTATCGAATTACGTATCGATGCTATCAAAAATATAACAGTGTGAAATTTGAAAATGTGACATTTCTTAAGCATAGTGGAATATAAGGAATATTAGGAATATAAGGAATATAAGGCTATACGTATTGAGGATAATATGATACATTTCTCTATTAATTTAATATATGTTTTTTTTTTGTAGAATGAAAGAAGAACACTTTAAAACCACATACATAACTTGAGAACCACATACATAACATATCAGAGCATTTCAAAATATAATTTATTTTATATATTTCAGACAAAAATAAACACTAAATTGAAGAGGAGCTGCATCTACATGAGCTATATATAAAAATTGACCCAATATTGGGCTCGTTTAATCATAATGTTTAATTATTTAGTTGATATGCGAGCTATTGATGGAGTTCTATCGAAATGCAAATAATTAATATTATTAAGATTTATATTAAAATCAAAAATAGACATTATGCCGTTAAATATGCAAAAGTTGCTCGATAAGGAAATCGCCAATTTATGTATCGATATAAACAAGTGAGCCTTATCGATGTTGGAGTTGAAAAGAAAAGAACATCGATACTTGGAGCCTTGAACTTTGCATAATTTTGTGGACCTGACAAGTCAAAGTTGTGACTGTACAGTAATTATTGTGTAAATACTGTAAATGATGTAAATACCAAAAATAAGCCAATGTTATAAAGTACTAGAAATAAGCCAATGTCATAAAATACCATAAGTCTATCGATATAATGAGTACATATCAATGCCCATGGCATCAGAGCAAGGCACTTTGCGGTCGAGATTTAAGTTCGGACATCGAAAAATAAAGATTAACTATACAAATAATGAAGTGTGTAAACAAATCTAAAAGAACAGAGTTTTACAATTGTATATCTGTTCAGATTACATACAGAGTTTTCTTATTTTTATCGGAAAAAGTCTTTCGAACTGTTTCTGGGCCCATGAATTGATGGATTCACGCTGTCGCGTTCAATGTTCTGCCTGTCGCAATACAATTTCAAAATAAACAAATCGAATTGGGAAGTCAACAAAACGCGGGCAAATGGGGCAAAAGCTGAACCACAAAAGGCGTGGACCACAGCCAAGAGGCGGATTACATGGCGTCCTTCTTAGTTTGCTTTGATGGATTTACAATTCGCCCGCTCGCCTCTGTTCGTCCAGGGTCAATCCGCGCTGTACTCTTGACAGGCTTTGCTGTCCTTTCAAAATACCAAATTCAATGTAATCGCTCTCGTAATTGCAAGCATTCAAGTATATTTTGTTTGGAATTAAGATACCTACCTATATCACGATGGTCAAGCATTTTCCCTTGATTATGACAGTTCTTCAGAATTGAACCAACGAAGTGTGACAAAAGATGGCGCTTTAATAGCCTAATTCCACTGTCAACATTTCCTACATTTGTGCCGAATGTTACATTTTTTCGACGACTTATCGAATTTTGTATCGATATAATGGAAAATAAGAAAGTGTCATTAATTTTTCGGCGATTAGGTAGATCGATCGCAGAATATGAAGTTTGTAAATGTAACAAATGTGGAGCATAGTGGAATCAGGCTATAACATACCAAAGAATCGTTGATTTACCCCGACTTTGAAGGAACTAATCGATATCTTCGAGAATGACAAGATTAATTAAAGATACCAAATCGATAAGCTATATATATAACCACCTTGGAAGGTCGCCAGTTCAAATTCAGCAGACGAACTGAATTTGACCTTGGACATCTTCAGGGCGTATCTACAATATTGCCATTGTTTTTTAATGGAACTACAACGTTTCAAGCTGAAGAGGTCTACACATTAAGCCAAAAGGCTGATAATTAAAGCAAAGTTGCCTTTGCTAAAATAGATCTGGTAAATCCCAAAATAGATCTGGTAAATCCCATATATACGATATACGGGATCTCCAAAGTAGAAAGCTAAAACGCAGCAAATTGTTCATTTAAAAAAGGAAATCTGACTCGCATGTTGATTTATTTGAAAATATTCCAAACAATATATGTGTGTTACAGCGCGTATTACCCGGCCTTGCGCGAATTTTGCGCGTTGTCTTACGAAAGAGCTGAAACCGAAACCGAAAATAATTGAACCTGAATTGTAGGTACTATCGAACCGCACACACGCGCCCATCAAGAACATCATCATCATCAGCAATATGAACATCATCATCAACAACAACTTCTTCTGCTTCGCAATTCCACAAAAGGAAAAACTTACTACATCATAAACTAGAAACATGTGTGCAAATGGGGCTGGGTTTTAGTGGTCATGTGGGTGGAGTGGAAATTATGTTGATAACCTCGCATGATCCTGACATTAGAGCTGCTCGGGGGCGCCTGCCTCACCCTCCCCTCTCGCATCCGCTCCTGCTGCTGCTGCTGCGGTTGCCGGGGCCCATGAGATGGAAATGTGCACGTACTGCCTTAAGTATATTTAAGCATATGGAGAGAATCAAGTGAAAATCAATAAAAACCAAACACGTCTACACAAATCACATGAAAATCGATGTGAAGCCAGTTGAAGGGAGTGCGCGGGCGGAAAGGGGGAAGGCGGGGCAACATCTATTCGAATGTAACCGAAACTTAAAGGATTGCTCACAATGTTGTTGTTGTTGTTATTTTATTGGTAAAACGTGCAACGCATTATAAAGTAACCAACAAGCGAGCCAAATAAACAACTCTTGCCGAATATTAAATACCCTTCTATTTTTATAGTCAATAAATAATCAAGAAAAGACCTAACTTATCTCTTCAATAAGATGGACTTCTATAAAGTGTTTTTACTAACGAAAAAAACGAAACTTTTTCATTTCGAATTTATTTCGATTCTTTATTTTTTTCTAGAATTTAACGCACACAAAAAATATTTTTAATAACATTATCTAAAGATTTTACAGAATTTAAAAAACTAAAAAGATTCAAGTTTTATGTATTTTTAAAGCTTTCAATTTGCATCAATACGATAGTTTATACGATAGTTTCGATTGTTAGCGTGTAACAATTCGACTGGTTCAGTTATACGATATATGTTATACGATAAATCATCGCAAAAAACACGAATTACTCGATATGAATGCCAATATTTTTTGCAAATGTTACATATAGTATTTTGCAAAAGTGAAAAACGTGATTTATTATGGGAAAATGTGCAGGCAACATACTTTACATTCGCAAAAAAAATGTGAGAAATGTTGATAGTGGAATTAGGCTCATAAACGAGACTCTAACTCAACTTTCATCTAGATATCAAATGGAACATGAATATGCGACTAATAATGCCAGCTCACAGACATGATGACAAAGTCCCCTTACCCCCACTTAGGGTATACATAAGAGAGAAGAGAGAAGAGAAGAGAAAAAAACACATCCGCGTTGGGGCTTTTCACAGAAGCGCATTAAGTGGTCTATTCGCTGGGCTCGTTGAATCGTATCCTTCCCTAGCTTCTGCTGATTATGGCCATGAGTTAGCCAGCGACTAGCTGCACACACACACACACACACACACACACACACACACACACATACATGTGTACATATATGTATGTACGTGTAGGCACCTTCGGTGCGTTTGCTTGCCTGGAATTTTGATTTGGGGCAGGAAAGGATTGGCCCCAAAGCTTAAGTGCCTTGGCATGAACAACAATCGGAGCTTTTAGCGGAATTTACTTCTTTGATGTTTCGCCATTTTGGGAGTGCTCAGTGCTCAGTGCTCATGTTCGTGTATTACGTGTTCAAAATTTTGAAATTTCCTACGCAAAAAATATATGCCAAAATTCGCAGCTTAACAACAAGAACTGGGAACAAAGAGCTTCTGCATTTGAAATGCTTCGATTAAGCTATGTGAAAGAAATAAAAACTATCGACGGCTGATGCAACATATCAATATGCTTCGATTTAGCTATGCGAAAGAAAATTATCGATAGTTCATAAGAGATATCGATATGCTTCGATTTAGCTATGCGAAGGAAATAAAAACTATCGATAGCTGATGCAACATATCGATCTGTTTCGATTTAGCTATGCGAAAGAAAATTATCGATAGCTGATGCAACATATCGATATGCTTCGATTTAGCTATGCGAACGAAAATTATAAATAGTTGATAAGAGATATCGATATGCTTCGATTTAGATATGCGAACGAAAACTATCGATAGCTGATGCAACATATCGATATGCTTCGATTAAGCTATGCAAAAGAAAACTATCGATAGCTGATGCGACATATCGATATGATTCGATTTAGCTATGCAAAAGAAAACTATCGATAGCTGATAAGAGATTTCGATATGCTTCGATTTAGCTATGCGAAAGAAAACTATCGATAGCTGATGCGACATATCGATAGCTGAGGCAGAATTTCGATTTGATATTAATATCGATCTAGATTCATAACGTGTTCGTCTGATCAGAATGTTGCAAAAACTTTTCGATATCAGCTTGAATATAATATTTATTGCCCAAATAACTTTTTGTAGTTTCCATTTAATAATTAAATGATAATAAACAATTTAAAAAACTACAAATAAATAATAAATAAACTCTAGTTGGAACTCCTTTAGAATATGCTGTGCTGTATTAGAAACGAACTATCCAACTGGACACGGCATGTTCCAATTGGAATTGGCTGTCATATGTATACGAGTTTTTTACTGTTGTTTCTAGCTTTGATTTTAGTTTAATCTTATTTGTGATTAAAAAAAACTTTTAATAAAAATGTGAATAATTTTGAAAAAAATTATCTCCAAATTTCTGGAATATGCTCACAAAAAATTAAATGGGATTTTAATCTTTGGCTCTGCTCCTGTTTTTTTTAATGCTGCTGTCAGGAATTTCCATAGTTTTTCCTTTTGTTACATAAGGAGAAGAAGAAGAATGAGAAAAAATGGGAAAAAATAGAGAAAATGCTGCTCGGCTCAGGAACTCTGAAGCTGTCGCTGTTTTTTTCTTTAACAATTCATCTTAATACAAATATAAAAAATGGCGCCAATGGACAGTCATTCCCCCCGCCCCACCGCCCCACGCCCCGCCCACCGCTGCTGCCCGCTGCCTTGGCTATTTGTCACAGCTTCGTTGGCTGCGGCTGCGGCTGCAACATTCTATGTGCCACAAAAGTTCTGCCACAAAAACTTGCCGTTCTTTATTTTGTGTTGTGCGTGTGTGTGTGTGTGTGTGTGTGTGTGTGGGCGGGGATTGAGTGGATTTACACATGTCAGTTAATGCTGAAAAAATGTTTACACAACACAATTGCCACGCCGTGGCGGGGGGCGGGGGCGGCAGCGGTTGGGTGTGGCGCCCAGCATGTGGCCACACAGATGCCAAAGTTTTAAAGGCCACCCCCCCCCCCCCTCCCACACTCTTACTGTTGCCGCTCGCTGCAGCAAACGTCGATGCGGATAAAAGTCGACCGCACATAATTAATCAAATACATGATTTATATAGCGCCAACAATACGGATTTAACCTAAATAGGAGTGTCCTGTCACAGGACAACAATAACAATAACAAGTTGATATTAACGGCATACAAATATCTGAGCCATGCTTGTTAAACATGTTGAACATTAACTGCCAAAACAACAACAACAAGAAAATGGAGTGAAAACTCAATTGACTCAATTGAATATACGCACATATAGATACTCATAAATACTCAAATAGGCAACGCTCTTAGGGCACAAAATGCGCTCAATGTCAAGCGCTGCTCTTGAGTTGCGTACGTATATTGCGTACTCTTAAGCTTAAGAGCGCTCGATTTTAAGAGCACTCAGAGAGTTAATTGGCGCGCTTTGAGTTGATTGCTCTTTGAGTGCAAAAGCGAGCAGCACAACAACAGCTGATGCTGCCGCTTGCCAACATATGTTTGGCGCACAAAAGGGGCACAGCTGTGGCAAAGCACTCACTCGCTCGCTTTCGCTCTCACGCTTGCGCCTGCGCTCGCGCATTTTACAGTAAATGACAATTCACGGCCAAGGGGAAAAGTCACTCACTCGTTAGCAGCAGAAGTAGCAGCAGCAGCGGCAGCAGCGCAGCAGCAGCGCTGCCGTGCCGGAAAATTGCTATAAAAGCGGACGCGCTTACCGCCGGCCGGATAGTAGCTTTGGAAAACTGCTCCGCCACAGAAGTTGCCGCCCAAGCTCTCCTCTCTGCCGTCAGCCGTGTGTCGTCCAGCTGCCACACAACGTTTTCTAGTTGTTGTTGTTGTTGTTGTTCTTGTTGCAAGCTTCGTTCAGCTGGCAGCATAGCTCACACACACACACACGCACGTACACAGCTGCAAGCACAGCTGTGAGCAGTTGACTTGAGTTGAGTTGAGTTGAGTTTCGTTGAGTTGAGTTGGGAGCAGCAAGCAGAGCGACTCAATTGCTGCCAGCAGAGGCCGCCCGTCCGCAGAGAGCCCTCGACGGTAGTCGCAGTCGAATTCAACGTCCAGTCAAGCAGCGGCCGCCGCACGCAACACAACAGCTCCACTCGACACGCACGGAGACGGAACGACGCAAGCAGCAGCAGCAGCAGCAGCAGTAGCCAACACATGCATAGACACATAAATGTGTGTGTGTGTGTGCGTGTTAATAGAACTCCTTGTTGGGCAACAAACAAAATAATATTAACAAAAACAACTCAACTTTCAAGTGCTGTGCGTTAATTACAAAGAGAACGAAAGAAAGAGAGAGAGAGAGAGAGAGAGAGCGAGCGAGTGCGAGGCGGCAGTTTTTTGGCTTTTTTAGAATGTATTTAAATTTAAATGTTTAACTAGAATAACAAATTTAGTTGTTGATACTTTTTGCAATTATTTGTTAAACGAGCAAGCGAGAGAGAGCGAAAGAGAGAGAGAGAGAGCAGAAGTAGAAGACAAGAGACCATAGCTTCAGTCAGAAAATTGTGTGCCGTAAAACAACGTGAATCGCAAATAATAAAATAATAAATTGCTAAATAAAATAATATATATATATATATATACAAAACACACACAAATACATACACACAAAAATCAAATCAAATTCTTGTGATTAAAGTGCATTTCTAATACATACATATATATACATATATATACACACACACACGCTCACACACACACACACTCACACGCGCATATGTATATGTATTTAACTATACGCATCGAACAAATAACAACAACAAGAACCGCTAAGAAATCGCAGTCAAAAGCTTGAATGCTGCCCAAACAACAAATTCCAATTGGAGACAACGGCAACGAGTGAGAAATTCTGATTCGATTATGAAGATGGAAGTGCTCTCGGTACAATGTCACATTCAGGAACAATTCGGCGGCATTGGGGCAACAAAAGTAAAAGGTGAGTACCGCAATTCCCTATAAATATAACATAATCCTTCTCTGTGTGTGTTTGGTCGTGTGTCCTTTTCCTTTAACTCCAAATGTTGTCGAAAAGTGAAAAAGTTGTAGTTTTCGTTCAAAAAAAAAAACACACAGAGTCGAAACTCTGCTCAATGAAGTTCAGGCAAGCCAATGTTAGGCTTCACTCTAGTTAGTTTCTGATTGCAAAATGCATACGAAATTTATATACAGTTTTTTTAACAGTAAAAAAAATTTCTATTCAAGATATTCTTGAATATATCGAGCATAAAATTTGTTCATTTAAAGATCTTTCCGCTTTGAGCGGAAATTTAATGATAAAATTTTTATCATTTTATTTCATTTTTTATTAGAAAAGTTCCAAAATTTGTTCTATTTAACTTTTTAAATATTGCCAACAAATTAAGCAATTAAATAAATATTTAGTTAAAAGTGTGAAAATATTTAAGAAAAAGCATTAAAAGTCGTCATAAACCGAAATCTCTTAACTTGAGCAAATGCAAAAAAGTTTGCCGAATATCAAGGAATTTCGTAGATAAAACTTTTTGTTACCCTTTGAAATAGTCATTCATTAAAAAATGTGCTTAATTTTTATTGAGACACATAAAAAACAAATATTTTTTCTATTCTTTTTTCAAGTTTATGCCCCATTTTTTTAGATTCAATTTAATTTGAAAACATTTTATTTGATGTTTTCAATTAATTTCTTAGATATTTAAATTAACAATTCAAAAGATTTTTTTTCGGTATTCTTTCAAGAATTACTAAATCAAAATTATTCCATTATGGGTTGGGTTTATCTCAGGGCTAACTAATAGAAATAACTGTCGAATTTACTAAATCCGGAACCAGTTAGAACCGGTTCAGAATTACGGGACATGCCAGTATATGTGCATATTCATGCCTGAATGCATGTGTATATTGCATATAACGGGACTTGTGTGTATTTTCTTTTTTTTTTGGGTTGAAATTATACGAAAATATGCTTGATGCATTTTTGTGCATAGTCCAAGGATGGGGGCAAGCATATCCTGTTGCCGAGTCTGACGTGCGGATTATGCAACATCCTGTTAATCCCTGTCACTTAAAACTTGGCTAAGGCACACTCCGACTCCCGCAAATTAGACACGAACACGAACCCAGCTGGGCAACTGGGGACATGTAAACCAGCCGAAAATTCACAAATGCACCCAGCCGGAGAGAGAGAGAGAGAGAGAGAGAGGGGGGAGAGGCTTTATGTTGACGGCGACATGCAACGACATGTCGTCACACACACAGGCACACATGCCCATACGAATACAAATGCAAAAACATGCACATGCACACCTTACCGAATGGCAGACCTGAAAGCTGCACGGCAACAGCTCAGGCTGTCTCCTTTGCACTCGTTCATTCGCAGTAATGTGTGTGTGTGTGCGTGTGTGTGTGTTTGTATTTGCAGTCAATTTAATTTCATGACTGACTGGGCGCATGCAATTTTCTTTTCGAAGGACACACACACACACATACACATGCACATACATACGAATGTAATTAGTCATGCATATTCATATGCTATTCAATCTGGGGAATCTAGAAACTGAATAATGTTGTTAAATAAATGACTTAATTTCCTGCAAATAAACATTATTTATGTCCATGTCCGCCCCTCGCCTGATTTAGTTCGGTTTGGGAACAGATTTTTCGATAAAAACCCATTCAATGAGCTTAAAATACTATGTCCTGATCATAACATGGCTATGTTATTTACATTTGATCGAATGTTATCGATAGTTTTAATCCAAAATATTGCACAGTCACACTTTCAATGTGTAGCAAATGCTAAGGCCTTTCTTCAACACTCACAAAACTCGATTTAACTTTTTTTTGGTATTTTAAAGTTAATTCGAGAGATTTCTTGCATCCAGCATATGGTCACACTGATCTGTAGTACAGATTCTGTCAGTGTTTGATAAAAGCGCGTACCATACGTATGTACTAATACTAGTACATACTGTCTGTATGTGTGTTAAACGTTAATTTGAGTGTTCCACAATTGTGTTTTGATTGAACTTTCAATGAGGATTCATCGCGTGGTCGAAGTATTCATTCCAAGGTATCAATCCCAATCAAATGCCTATCCATTTATCTAAAACTCCAGCTCAAGGCCACACACGATGCGAGAGCACACGCACACGCACACGCTCACGCATACGCATGATGCAATTCAAGCACAAGCTTAAGCCTCCCTTATCTAGTGCAGTTGGAAAGATAAATTGAATGCTTGCCTCTGTCTGAGCGCAGGCTTTACAATAACAACAAGAAGTGCAAATAAGCTTTAACATTCGCCGCAGGTAGCAGCAGACATGTGAATGTGTGTGTGTGTGTGCGTGCGTGTTTTCAAAGAGCGAGTGGCAATAAGAGATGTACAACAATTATATGCACACACATGCATACATGCATATGTGTATGCGTACATAAAAATACAGCCTGATGCTGTTGCTAGGCTGTTTTTGTTACTGTGCTTCTTGCTGTTGTTATTGCCGATTTTGAATGCATAAAACAGACGGCCGCAAATGTGATGTGTGCCCGCAGTCATGCAGACGACACGATGAAGTGGGGGGGGAGACGTTGTGTGGGTCTCATCGAAATCAATGTGCATGCTTGTGTGTGTGTGCGTGCGTATGTAATTAAATGTGTATGCGGTCGTTGTCTGTTTCCTTTTCGCTTTCGCTTTTGATTTTACATTGTAAAGTTTATACAAACCCTTTTCATGCAGCACTTGACAAGCACGTGTGTGTGTGTGTGCGTGTGTATGTGTGCATACATTCATTTGTGACAAACGCAGCGAAAGGCATAAACACAGAAAGAGAACCGCAAACATGTGCCGTTAATTTCTTAATTACGCGGGTGCTCATAAAGAGAGCAAACGAGATAGCAATATCCATTCAGTCGGGTGCAATGGAATGGGCACTGCGGCATACATATGTATGTATGTATGTGTGGGCAGAGGGAAGGCAAGGCTGAAAGAGTTGCAGCGCTAATTACATGACATCGTTGAGCCAAGCCAAGTGGTTAATTTGTGCATATTACAAAGCATGGGACAACAGTAAGATATTTAACTGTTTTTATTTACATGCTACGGGCACCTTAAACAAAACCCACTCCAGCAAGCACACATACGCATGCATTTATTTATGTAAAAAGATAAACACAATAGGCTGCCAACAGTACAGTGGTAGAAAATTGAAAGCTGCGAGCAGAAAATGAAACCGCAGAAGAAAATGCTTGATATTAAAGGGAAAAGAACACATTTGTTATTGTCGAAATGATGAATATATGTTTATGTTATACAAAATTGTTAAATGTTCAAATCCGCACTTCTGCCCACTGTACGGCTGCTGTGCACAGCTTAGCTTTTGTATTTGTATGCTTCAGTATTAAAATAACAGCGAAAATAAAAATAAAACTGTGCAGCCAAAGGCAAACGGCAGAGAAGACACATAAAGCATGGTTGTGGAAGTGCTCGGCGGGGGAGGGGGGGGGGGGGGGGGGGGCAGCAACAGCAATTGCATGGCAAGGCAAAGGCAAAGCCCAAAAGAAACTGCTGACTAACGAACGAGCGAACAAAACGGATGAAGACGGACGCGCAATCGTCAGCTGGAAACGATGAGGCCTCTGGCTCATAAAGTGATGTGGGAAGGGGGGTGGGGGAGAAAAGAGCGCAACGAGCTTCACTCACACACACACACACACGCACACAAACATATTACCTAATGATGGCTGGTTGACTGCTTTAACGGGCTGTGCTTAGGCGAACGGCTGATTTTCCAGCTGTTGTTGCCAGGTGATTTCAGTCGACCCCCCCGCCCGCGCCCTGGAAGCGCTTGAGTGTGTTGACGAGCCTGCGCACAGTGCATGAGTGCAATTGCGAGCTTGCGCAAGCTCTTCGCATGTGTGTGTGTGTGAGAGAGAGAGAGAGAGAGAGAGCGCGCGCGAACGAGAGTGGGAATTATTGCAAGGCTTTTGCCGGTGGCAACGCAGACATCAGCTGTTTTTTTTTCGTGTCTGCTTTATTTTTTGTGGTTTCGTTTCATCTTTGTCGTCGTTTGCATTTCGCCGGTCGATGTTTTTGTGACTAAACTTGTGCGCTTTTGTTCCATATCCTTGTATTGCAGACTGGACGAGTCCGCTAACGGCACCAGCAACTGCAACGGCAGCGGCAGCCGCAGCCGCAGAGGTGAACGTGGCTGACGTGGACATTGTCGACGTGGACGTAGACGTGGACGTGGAAGCTGATGTTGTGGATGGCCATCCGGCGTCTGTGCTGCATATGCGTCAGCATCAGGCGCTCAACACGCGGCCGCGCCTCTCCTCAACAGCCTCGGCCTCAGCCACATCGGCTGCGGCCGCCAAACCGCCCGCATCCCCCATGGCGGCCAGCTTTGATATGCTCAACGGCGGCAGCGCTGTCGCCGCATATATGTCAAACGTTCTGCAGGCAGGTCCGCCGGCCACGCTGCCCGCGTCGCCGCTGCAGTCGACGTCGGCGGCACGCTTCGGCGCCATTGACAATCTGGACGATGTGAACCCGGCTGCCGTGCAGGAGCTTTCGCAGCAGCTGCAGGCCAAGCTGCGCGACGCCAAGAGCCAGCATCTGGACTGCACCGAGGTGACGCTGCCCAACAATCTGATGTCGCGCATTGCTGCCGAAATAATACGCATGTCGGAGCGGGAGCCGTGCGGCGAGCGGGCCTGCACCATATTCATAGAGTTCGAGAGCGAGCCGAACAACGTCAGGTAAGAGAGAGGATCAGCAGTGGCAGCTTTCGCTCTCGCTCTCTTTAAGAGAAAACTAAAGCTCTTTGTTGTTGTTCATCTGCAGGCGCATTGCTTCGTTCAAGGTGGATCCGGAGACGGTCTCCATATTCGAGCTTTATCTGACGCTGAAGCAGGACAAGAGCGGCTGGACCTCCCTTCTGCCGCAGTTTCTCAAGTAAGCGCACGGAAAAGCTTTCAAAGCAACTGTTACTTAAATGACTCCCCCCCGCCCCTCTCTCTTGCAGAAATTTAACGCGCAGCAATACGATTATGATCAGTCCCGATTTTACTTTGACCAAGAACAAGCTCTACTCGCCGAGCAGAGGCAGCATCATATGAGGCAAATGGGAAGGCGTGGTAGACTTGGCCGTGGGCGTGCAAAAGGGGCGTGGCGCTGCACTCGACTCATTACACAATCCCTCCGAATAAGTAAATGGTGAATAAGAAGAAGCAGAAGAAGAAGAACAGCAGCAGCAGAGCCTAGCAAGAACCTCACGTCTGCGTCTCCATCGAAACCCATCCAAAAAAAAACAAACAAAATATTTAAATAATTATAATATTAACAAAAACAACCCGTAAAGAGGCAAACTTTGGACCACAATTCAACACAACCCAAATCAACTCAACAAAAAAGAACAAGAAGAGGAGGAGAAGGAGGAGGATTAAAAACAAACCCAACCACAATTATGTATTTTGAGAAAAATCCCAAAACAAATCAACTGCAGTTGCAGGCAACTCAAAACTCTTATTGGACTGACTTTTTGGCTTATAAGAAAACAAAAACAAAAAAGGAACTTTTTGAAAAAAAAAAACCAAAATCAAACGAAAACAATACACAAAATATTGCAAATATTGTTAAAAAACAAAAAAACAAAAACAAAGAAACTTAAAAAACAAAATAACGGTTGTCGGTTAACCGTTTTTAAACGCAAAAGCAAAAAGGCAAAAACAACAAAACCTACCCAAAATGTAAGAGAAAAGAGAGTATTAATCGTATAAGCTATGTATGAGAGTATGTGTGTATCAGCTGAGAGAGAGAGCGAGAGAGCAAATACAAATTTCTATATAGTAGTTGATCATATATATATATATATATATATGGAATATGTATGTATGTTTTTCTTCACGATCTTATTAGGCTATAAAAACTCTATATGAAATATATATACATACATATATATATATTTAAGAGAAGTTGGCAGACGAAGAAGAAGAGGCAGAGCAGAAGAAGAAGAAGCAGCGGAAGCAGCTGCAAACAACAAAATATAAATAAAAAAAAAACAAAGTTGATGTGATATTATATAATAATTATGAATATTGAAACACAAATACACACACACACACACACACACACACACATACTTAAAAGAAGAGTAAAGAATAATTTGAGATTTAAATTTGATTTGTTTTCAATGAAATCCAACTTTAATCCCAACTAAGTTCTCGTAATCTTCACACAAAATTAAATTATATTCTTTATTATTATTTTTCTTCTTCTTTTCATTCTTTATTTAAACATTTTTCTTGTGCAGAGTTCCAAACTCTAGCCCTATATACAATATATCTATATATATATATGAAATATTTATAATATTTGATGTGTTTCTAGCTTAAGATTTTAATATTAAAAAAAAAAAAGAAACGAAACGCAGAGAATTCAATGTGTGTAGCTGTGTATTTAACTGTAGTTTAGTTTATTAAACAATTACAAAAATGACAGAAAAACTTAAAATTGGCTACAAAAATAATATATATATATGCTTAATAATATATATATGTACTGTGGGGCAGCTAAATGTATTTGTGCGTAAAAATTTGAAAGGAAAAAAAATTAAATTGGGCAACAAAAAAATTGAAGCAAATGTTTGGAAAATCTATAAAGTCATCTGTGTTAATAAATTTTAAAATAATTTATAGAGTAGCGTAAAACAAAAACAAAAACAAATATTAAAAAAAAAAACACACAAATTAATTAATAACAAATTCTAAAAGCCGATTCAAAAACTTTTGTAGCTGCAAAAACAAACAAATAAAAAAAAAACATTTCAATCAAAGTATATGACAAATTTAAGCTAAAGTACATTTAAATAATTTATACACACACACACACACACACACGTGCAAAAACAGAATTTATTTATTTCTTCAAAATAAACACCCCCCCCCCCCCCCCCCCCCACTTTTCACAAAAAAAAAAGATCTCGTTAAAAATGTTGTAAAACTTTGAAAATTTTCTTGCAGAAATGTTAAATAATTTTACAAATTTATTCAAAATAATTGCGCTCAAAATTTTACAAAAACTGTTTACGTTTTTTTTTAAATTAACATGTTAATTTTATTCAAATTTCTACACCATTTTTTTGTTTGAATTTTTAAAAACAAAAATAATTTTTTGGAAAAAAAGTTAAAAAAAAAAATATGTAAAAATGTGCTTAAAAATAATTCCATTTAAAAGCTGCACAAACATTTTTTTTTTTGTTTTTAAGAATATTTCAACTTTCTGCAAGAATATTTTAAGCAAAAAAAAAAACAAAACATTATTTTATAAAAAATAAAAAAACAAATTTGCATTTTCTTAAAAAAAAAACACACAAAAAAAATGTAAATAGAGCAGCAAAAAGTTAAAGAAAAAAAAGAAGCGTATTTAATGTATTAAAAGAAGGTAAAAAGTTATAAACAATGTGAACATAAAAAGCAAGTGAAAAAAATAGAACCATGAATGTGATCTATTTAATAAAAAACAGAAACGAAAACAAAACAAAACAAAAACAAAAACAAAAGAAAAAAAAAACAGTTGACAATTTTGGGTTTCTTTTTTTTGTTTAAATAAAATGTAAAACTTTTAATTTGTAGAACTTAAAATATAATTTGCCAATTAAACAATTTGTTTTATTTGTGCTTCAAGAAAAATAAAAAAAAAACGTAGAACGCAACGCTTTAAATAGTTAAGCGCTTTTTTTTTGTTTATAACAAAACAAATTTTGATTTGTCGTTCTCCAAATTGGATGCGTGTGAAATGTATAAAGAACATGAATCTTAGACACGTCCAGTGCTCCTCAAAGTATTTGTAAACAATAATGATATACGGTTAAATAAAACTAATGATAAAACTAGTTATATATATATGTATACATGTGCGTGTGTGTGTGTGTGTGTGTGTGTGTGTGTGGAACTTTTACATAATACCTAAACTCTATGAAAATAATACGTAGTGCATGCATGTGTGTGTGTGTGCGTGTGTGCGTGTGTCTAACGGGAACCAATTAATTAACAAAACAAAACTCGAAATTAACAACAAATTAATCAACAATAATCAATCAATTAGCAAACGCCTCAAGTAAACCGAACAAAATATATATTTAATTACACAAAAAAAAAAACACACAAAATCAATTGAGAAAAAACATAATTATAATATTTCTAGTGAATTCTTCTTAATGTAAACGAAAACAAAAAAAAAAACACACATAATTTATGTACTAACAGATATTTAGAGCAGAGCACATCAAATAATTAAAAAGAAAATAGAAAACTAAAAGAGTCCTAATTTTCCACGCCCTAGCCCAACCCCCCACACCCACCCCCTTCTCCCTACCTACACACATCCTTAAAAGATTTTTGATCTATTCAAAAAATTAAAAAATATGTATTTAAGCGATTATCCCACCTTGTGATTTAATACAGAAAACTAGAACAATTTATTTGTTTTTTTTTTTTGGGCATTTTTTTTGTTTGCAAAGAAAACAAAGTCACGACCGTTTCTTCTCAGTGTATTGTCATTTTGTTATCAGTTGGGCATATATATGAACTAAATGTTGTAAATCGAGTAGCTACACATAAATATATATCCATATATATGTGTGAGTAAATAATGTTTAACAATTTCCATATATTATATCTAAATAATGAAAAGAAAGCGAGACAAAATGTTGAATACAAAAACAATATTATTTATATATACAATATATATATATATATACAAGTATGTATGTAAAGACAACAAACACAACAACAACAAATTTAAACTTTAGTAGCGCTTAACAAATTCTAGCAATTTAACAAATTTTAATTAATCAAAATATAAACTATATATACATATATATATATATGTATATGTATATGTATGTGTATGTAAGAAACAAATGCGAAAAAAAACAAACTGCAATTTCATTTTTCTCTGTGTAAAAGTTGAGTAAAAAATAAAAACAAAAAAAAACTACAAAAAAAATAAAACAAATTTTTTAAATGTGAAAAGCACGCATTTTAGAACTATCAAATTGAGCTAAAAGCTTAGGCATGCTGTGTGTGTCTCGGCTAACGTTCTAAAAGCGCCACGTACTGTGTTGTGTGTCTCGGCTAGCGCGTGTCTAAATCAAAATTAAGCGCATGCGTCGCTCGCTTTTAGCCCAGACACACACCAGCTGCGCTGCGACCAATAGCAGCTAGGCTCCCGCGCTCGCTGCTCTCCGAGCTTTCGTTGTGCCAATCGGCTGACAGCAAACGATGCGCTCAACGTTCGTTGCGCAGCGTCGGCTTCGCGTTTCTGCTCTTGCGCAGCCTTCGTCGTCACTCGTCGTACGTTGCTTGGCGCCTGCGGACGCGTTTTCGCTGCGCTGCTTCTGTGTTAACCGTTTACTGTTACGACGCGCGCGCGTGTGTATTGTGTTTTGTGTTTGTTGTCCTATTGCATTTTCCAGCACTAACAATTGAAAACAAGCTGAGCTTTATGTGAAAATAATGTGCTAGTTCTATGTTAGGTAGGTGCACGTGTGTGTGTGTGTGTGCAACTGTGATATGTATAACAGATAAGCTGCCCTTGCCCTGCCGAAATGTCAACGTTATCTCAGAAATCTAGTCTTTTGTTAAGTCTCCTGTTGCGGCATTTTCTTTGAGCTTCGACTAATGACTCTGTGTGTGTGTGTGTGTGTGTGTGTGTGTGTGGATACCAATAAATGAGCAGAGATCGTTTATCTGCAGGAACTGGGCGCGGCTAGGCCAGAGCAGGACTCGCAGCTCCAATTAGTCAACTTAATAACTGTGTAATTGACATTGTCGCCCACGAGATAAGCTTCTTCTTCTTCTTCTACTTCTTCTTCTTGCCTCTCATAAACAATGCAATTGTCTTATTATAAACGAAACCCAAAGATTACAATCAAAGTTCTATTTACTAGCTTTGTGTATGCCACAAATTCATGCTCGATATTTTGATTAATAGTAGTGGAAATTACCCGGCGTTGCCCGGCCTAATATGATTAATGCGCCAAATGCAGTTGCTAATGAAATTGTTTGAATTATTTGCATCAACTTTAAAGTTAATTTTCGTGCTTGTTGACCAAAAAGTACGAGCGCAATTACCCGGCGTTGCCCGGCCTAATATGATTAATGTGCCAAATGCAATTGATAAAGAAATTTGTTGATTTATTTGCCGTTTGAACCCTAGTCTCACTGAAATTACCCGGCATTGCCCGACCTAATATGATTAATGTGCCAAATACAGTTGTTAATCAAATTCACGCGGATTTGATGCCCATATTTTTTTTTTTTTAATTTTTATATGTACAGAAAAGACTTACATATTTTACATAATCTTGGTTAGACTTGGTAAACCCTTTTCCTAATTTTCAAAAACTTTTCTACACCTTGCATACGAATCTAAACCGATTTGTCAGGGCTTTCCTTACCGTTTTTCAACACTTATTTCAAATGCAGCTGAATAAAGCCCCATTCAAAGTCCTTTGGCAAAAATTGGTGCCTATCTTTAGCCTTAATATGATTCATATGCAAACAATTCGTGGAATCGGCCAGGGCCAGCACCGTGCTGGTGGTCCCTTTGGGCCAGGTCCAAAGACAGATGCAGATGCAGTGCAGCGATAGAAACACAGGAGTCAATTTGGACTCTGGCCAGGTCTTTCAACCGCATTGAGGCTTGAGTTTTGTTTTTGGCTTTTATGCAATATGAAGCGCCAAAGTATGGGCCAAGTGTTGGCCCGCGGCTTTAGCCAGAAGCGGATCGTTTAACCTTCTGCTTTGAGTTGTTTTTTGTTTTCTGTCTTTTTGCTGACTGGCGCCAGCTTAAGCCCCCTTCCAGCTGACCCTGCGCTTGTCATGAGTCATTTTTGGCTAAAAAGTGTTTGGCAATTGGATTCGGATTCGCAACGTATCAATTTGCAATTGAATTTTCGCAGTTGCCCCCACTTCTATTTCGTGTCGCACTCAGCACGTGCCCTTAACCCTTTGGGGCGCGGCATGGAGCCCAACTCAGAAGTGGGAGCTGATGTGGAGGAGTCGCCGCCGGCTCAGGCCACGCAAATCACCTCAATCGATGGTTTCTTCAATCGCAAACGCGGCAGACCGCCAAAGAATCGCTTCGTGGAAGTCTATAAGAGCGTAAGTAAGAACCCTTGACTAAACTCACATAAAACTAACTCAATATCTGAACGAACCTTCGATTAGGAACAGTAATAAAAGGCTTTAAATTGTGATTTTAGTTTGTGTGCGCTTGTGTGCGTGTGTCTGTCGTAATTGTATTAGTGAGCTTTTGAAAGCTTGCCGGCGCGCGTTAAGGCAAAAAGCTGCAGCAGCTAATGCGTGTGTTGTGTGTGTGTAAAAGCAGCTTGAAACTTGAGTTGAAAGTCAATGTTGATTGTTGAAACAAATCTAAATCATTAAGAAAGAATCATAGAAGCAATCGCAAGCTTTTAGAAGTTCTTATAAGAAAGTTTCATGTCTTCTTGTCAAGTGCAAAACTTTGCATATTAAAGTTTATAATAATAAGCATATTAAAGTTTATAGAAGTTAGTCGCAAATGTTTTCAATTTATCACTTAATTTTAATAATTATTTTACTTAAAAATTTAATTTAAGCAGAGCATTTTTTTGCCTTGTTTTTGATACAATCCGACATAATTGTTCTTGAAAATATTTACTAATAAATGTATTTATTTACCTATTTTTTTATTTATTTACTTGACGCATAATTTACTCAAAACTTGATTTCAGTAATTTGTATCTGATAAAATTGACATCGTATTTTTTTTCATTGTTATTTTTAACATTTTCAAGAGCATTTATTAAATTACTTGGCTATCTTAAAAAGTTTCGCACTTTGCCTGCATTTTAGGAACTTTCATTTTCCTATGCCTTTCTCTTTATAGTCAAATTGTACGTTTGCGCCAATTTAAGAGAAATATTTTACTTACCGTTATTTACTCAGTCTTCGAAAGCGCCTTCATTCATGCGAATATTCACTAGAATGAATTCGTTAAAAAGACACAAAAAAAAAAACAAAAAAAATAAAGCACCGCAATTTGGCTTGCATTCGCCATCTTTTCTCTCTCTCTCTCGCGCTCTCCTTTCTATAACTTGTATATATGTACACACACATACATATATATATAGGCAGCTTGGGGTACGCCAACTAAATTTTGAACTTTTCATAACTTTTTGGAAATATAAAAATTACAACGCACTACACACACTACACTATACTACACACACTACACTGCACTACACACACTACACACACTACACACACTATACACACTTTGCACACAAGTATCTAACAAGCATTCTTTTCGGCGCCAAAAAAAAAACAGCGCAACAAAAAAACCGCAGCTCTTTCGACGTCGTCAGCTGACAGGAAACGATTTGCAACTGATTTGTCATTTTCGGCATCGCCGCCCGTCTCTCCTACAATTTTAATTTCGAACTTCGAAGATACCGTTACAATTCGAAGCGACAATATCAAACGGTTAAAGGCGCGTGCAAGTGCTCGAAATACACTCTTAAGGCTCTTGTTGGAAATGTCGAACCGCATTTTTTGTTCTCTTTCAATTCTTAACAGGCCGATGGGAACTTCTTGAGCTTATATTATCGTATTAATAGAATATATTCTTTACATGTTAAATCTTAGGCTTAATATTTGATTATGAAAGTATTCTTTGAATTTGTTGCGATCGTTCGATAAGATTTTGTCGCCTGCTGCTGTTTGTTCCTTTTCGGTTTGTCCACGATGCACACAGGCAAACACACTTGCACATGCACACACAGACACACACACACACACTGGCGCATTCATTGTAATTAGGAATTTGCGCCTATTTGCGTGCTGCGACGCGTCGCGTCGCGTCGCGTCGCGATGGATTTCCAGAGGGCCGCGTCGTTGGGGCCTAATGTGGCATTTTATGTGCCGTGTGTTGAATTGAGTTTTCGGATTTGGTTTTTGCCATATTCGTCATATTAATATTGACAACGAGTGTTTCCGCATTTATTTCACTTGCCCGTCTGTCGGCCTCCCCCCTTCTCCTCGACCTGTGCCGCCCATCCCTAGCGCGTCGAACGTTTTGTGCTTTTAACTGTCATTTTCATAATTTCTACATTTTTGAGCCCAGTTTGTCGGCACATGCACACGCAAGTGCGTACGTGTGTGTGTGTGTGTGTGTGTGAGTGTATGTGTGCCTACGATTACACAGCCCACGCGTCAGCCTCTTGGCCGGAGACTTTGATGGGCGGGCAGGTACATACAATTGTACTTGGCTTTGTGAATCGTGTGTGCGTGTGTGTTTTGTCTGTGTGAATCGAATAATTTGAATAAATATTTTGTCCATTGCCTTTTGCGGTATTCTCTTTTTTATTTTATTTTTATTTTGTTTTTGGGAAATAAGCCAAAGTCGAATGAGAGCTATAGACCTACATTCGGAAGGTACGTGAAAATAGTTCGGATCCCGTCAAGTAATCCAGAAATTGAAGTTAAGTTTGGGATATAGGCTTTTTGGTTAATGGTTAATGTTAAGCTCATTCTCTCTCTCTCTCTCTCTCTCTCTCTCTCTCTCTCTCTCTCTCTCTCTCTTACGCGCCTCTCGCTCTCAGCTGATTATTGCCTTTCTATGCGATTTTCATGAATTCAAAGATAGGAATGCAAAGCTAGAATTTGTGCGTGCGAGAGAGAGAGTCTGCAATTTGAAATTTGAATGGAAGCAAGGCTTTCAGACTAAACAAATAATAGGCGTTTTGGTTAATGCTTAATATTAAGCTCTCTCTCTTACACGCCTCTCGCTCTCACCTAAGTATTGCCTTTCTATGCGATTTTCATGAATTCAAGTTAGGCTTGTGGAGAGAAAGATAGGTATGCAAAGCTAGAATTTGTGTCCAATTTAAAACTTGAATGGAAGCAAGGCTTACAAAAATAAAGCTGCTCAATATTGAAATGCAATTGTAAATTATTGGATTACTTTCATGGCGAACCTCGGTGACCGCCATCGACAATCGAATATGACGATTAAACGGAACGAAACAACAACAACTACAATAACTTCTATATATTGTATTTAATCATATAAGGTGTGTGTACTTATATGAATGGGTCTATATGCGGGGTGTGTGTGCGTGTGTGACAACTTATCAGGTAAAGCCAAACACGTTTCATTGTCTTTTTCAATCTTTTGGAGTAATTATTAATTATGGATGCCCTCATATTTATACTCTACATGCTCTGGCAATATGTGATATAGGGATGTTGGGAATATGTGATATAGGGAAAATTTTGGCATTTCTAAAAACTTTCTCGAGTTATCAAATTTTTAGATTCTTCGAAAATTTTGCACCTTTGTCGACTTTTAAAAACTTTCATTCGTTAGAGTTAGGGTATTCAGACGTTGGCATTACAATATCGCTTTTCCAATATATTTTTGTGGTTTCTCTTTTTTGTTGTATTTGGGTTTTATTTTATTATTTTTGATTATTATTATTGATTTTGATGCGTGTACAAAATTTAAATAGTGACATTTTGGGCCAACAATAAACATTAACAGTAATTTCGGAAATAATAAACGGGTTGCGGCTGTTTGTCATAAATCCGAAACTAACAACAACAACAACAAGAAGAACACGTCAACTACCCAAAGAAATTCAAAGAAGGTGGCCAGAACAGATTAATAATAAGGGAGTTTTTTTCTGGCAATATAATCCCTAAAACAATAAATGTTTGCCATGATCTCATTATTTTATGCAGCTGCCCAAAAAACTTTTAACTTGGCTCTAAAGCAGGAATTTCTGTACACACACACATTCATGCGCATTTTCTATCAACAGCATTGCAATTGCGATTGAACTGTTTTCTGTGCTGCTATTTTAATTCGTTGTTTTCTCATTAAGATTTATTATTGGCTTGGCTGTTGATTAGAGGCGGCCGCAAGTTCGAACCCTGCCAAGGGAACTTTTTTTTCTTTAATTTATCTTTATATTTACAAACGAGCGCAAGCTGCGTTTGGTATTGGAAAAAGAGGGTTCAGGGTATCCCCTAGTCGGGAGCTCCCGACTAGAAGCTCTTACTTGTTTGTTAAATGTTAAACAATTGATAAATATTATTATGATAATGATTATTTTTTGCATCTCCTGGCAGGCTCAGCTTTCGCCACAAGCCATTTTCACCAGTTTCAAGCTGGAGAAAAATGATCAGGCCACGGCCTGCGGCCTGGCAACATCCACTTCCGATGTCGCCGAGGAGCGTCTCGCTACCCTGCGAGCTGTTGAACCGAGTGCCACAGATCTCACACCTAGTCGCAGCAGCAGCAGGAAGAGAGCACGCGCCTGGACTGTGGACCCGCACAGGAGTCTGGCGAGTGTGCGCAGCCCGAGTCCGGGCATTGAAAAGACGACAAACACTTTGACGAGGGATCTGCCCGAGAGAAGCTCCCCAGTTCAGGTGAGGATCACGGCAATGAATAACATACAGAAGCAGCTGAGGGAATGTATGCCCATGTATACCAAGACACCAAAAGGTTTTTTCTAGATTATTGACTGACGGTTCCAATGGGACCTATATGATCTATTTATTCCATAAGATTTTGCTTAAATTTTGGAGTCTCAGTTCGGTTCGGATATCTGGTTAAAGAAAAAGAGAATCGGCGGAATCGAACAACTATATCATTTAGCTTCTATAGGAATAATCGGTCCAAAATCAGTTTTTCTATGGAGAACTTTTTTGTTTTTCTAGATGTTTTAACCAAAAATAAGCTCTATATATATATATATGTATATATCTATGTGTCCCTATATATATCTACAAAATCTTATCCATATTATTATCACTATGTCATATAGCTGCCATGGGAACGGTCGGTCGAATATTAAGTTTTTCCATAAAACACTTTTCTATTTTTCAAGATATCTTTTTTAGGATTTTATTTTATATATTTATTTTATATCTTTTCAATATCAGAATACTAACATATAGCAATAGGAACGATCGGTCGAAAATGAGATTTTCTATGGAAAACTTATTTGTTTTCAAGACATTTTGAACGTATTGGACATTTATTCGTTTCACTATGGTTCTCTTATATATATTCAAAGTCTTATCAATATCGGACAACTATATCATTTAGTTGTCCTAGGATAGGGTATTTAATGTGCGGCGTGCCGAAGTAAGCCTTTCCTTCTTGATTTCCTTGTTAATTCTAGAGTTCTTTGATTTCAGTTAATGTTCAGCGCGCCCGGCACACAGACACCTGCATCCAGCAAGCGCCAGGAGCGAGTTTCCGGTACGTAAACCCCATATATATATATATATATGCTGATTGATATGATTATTGGGGAATTGTTGCTTCAAGTTGTGCGCGCAGCGGGCACCTTCTATCCGGAGAACGCAAGCTCAGCCCAAACGGCAGATACCACGCCCACCACGTACTGCCCGCCAGGCAGCACAGACTGCAGCACGGAGCAGCCGGAAGATCTGAGCATGCGCGCCACCCAAGCGACGGCGGCAAGTGAGGCACGCGCGGAGCCGGAGACGGGTCTCAAGCTGCAAATGCAGTTTAAGCAGCTGCTGGATTTATACCAGCGCCAGGTGCTGCTGCCCAGTTTTCTGGCCGCGGCCAGCCAGCCAGCCGGGCTGGACATGCGTCTGCTGCTGGAGAATGCCGCACAGCAGAAGATGCTGCTGATCAATGCGGCGGCAGCGGGCGCTGTCGCTGCTGCAGCAGCCGCCGCCGCGGCGGCAACAGCCGGAGCGCCAGGCATAAGCCCAGCGGAGGAGTCTGCGCCCGCGCCCGCGCCCAATCCGACTCCTACGGCTGGTCGGCAAGCGGTTGGCAAGCGGGCGCGGGAACAGGACATACCCACGGGCTACCTCAAGTTCCGGTTCAACGAGGACTGCGGCTTCGAGCGCTGCGGCTATCGGAATCATCAGTCGCATTTCCACTGCAATCGGCGGGATTGCCACTACAGTTTCTGCGACAAGACGCGCTTCGTGCAGCACACGGCGCGCCATGAGCGCATGGACACCCTCATGGGCGATGATTTTCGCCAATATCGCGCCAACATGCGCTGCGGCGTGCCTGACTGTTCTTATGCCACGCCCACAAGCACGGCCACACCCACGTCGGCATCGACGACAGGTAGGTGCGCAGCTTTTGTTGGCGGCCTTGACCATGCCCCTAATATGCATATATTCCTTCTGCCCCTTTTTAGAGAAGAGCCTGGGCGTCTTGGGCGGCGCCGCTCCAAAGAAATCGTCGCATTTCCATTGCCGTAAATGCGATTACGTGTGCACCGACTCCAACAAGGTGGTGGCCCATCGTCGCCTGCACCTGCGGCTGGAGTACGTGCGTTCGGCTGGCTTTCGCAAGTTCGCCAGCAACGAGTCCTGCGAGTCGACCGCCTGCAGCTATGCGCTGCGGCACACCCACTACCATTGCACCACCTGTGACTGCAGCGTGCTCTCCCGCGCCCAGCTGGCCTCGCACAGGCATCGGATCAACCAGCCGGCAGCCGCCAGCCAATCTGGCTCTGGACTGGATCTGGGAACGTAGCCTAGAGCTACGTGCCAAACAGCAATAGAAGCCATATAAATCCAAATGCAATGTGTAAATTAGATGAAATTAAATGTAGCTAAGTGCCAATCCATACTTTTCATGTGTATCGGAATCGATAAGTTATCGAAATCGATAAGTTATAGAAATCGATAAGTTATCGAAATCGATAAGTTATCGAAATCGATAAGTTATCGAAATCGATACGTGATATCGATAAATTTTATGTGTATTCGGAAAAAGGCCAGTTAGTAATGCGAGTCGTGAGTTTGGTAAAAATTCAACTTTCCACCGATTCTCGATATGACACTGAGCTCCGATGTTGATAGAATATCTAGGAAACATATTGAAACTTATAAATACCCAGTTTGGTCAAGATAAGGATCGGTTCCTATATGATATTGTGATCCGATCCGGCCGGTTCCAACATATGTACAGCCTGCAACACGAAGACGAACCTAAATTTTTTTGTCGAACGTTTTTACACTGGATCGCTGTATATTAAACTGTTTGTCCTGACTGACTGACTTATTGACTGACTGACTGGCTGACTGACTGACTGACTGACTGACTGACTTATTGACTGACTGACTTATTGACTGACTGACTTATTGACTGACTGACTGACTGACAAGCAACTGCAGGAAAAACAAAGCCCACATAATGAACTGGTCATCGAGCTCTCAGTAGAGCTCAGAATGATTTCTACAAACAGAGTATCAAAGAGCTAACGAACAATGTTTTATTAATAAAAGAGATAATTGCTAAACCCACTTCCAATGCCTTGAAAATCCAGGAGGATAGTTGGTCTCGTGACCGAGCATTATTGCCAGACGGGATTCCTTGAGACTCAACTCGTATGCCATAAGCATATATTCCGATCGATTTCAGCTGCAAACAAATATATATATATGTTTTTAAAATTGCATTTATTTAGACATACATCTGTAATGTGTGTGTATATGCATATATATATATATATGGTGTATTTTGTTTTTTTTTTTTTGCCTCCGATTGGATATTGCCACTTTGCCGAACTTACAGAACTAATAAGAAACGGAATATATGGGTTGGCGGGCCGATAAGGTATTTCTATATAAATATCTATAAAGCTCGGAGCTGTACAAAAGGCAAAACTGATAAAAATTTATGTTGGGTTGGGGTAGGGTGGGAGCGAGGAGAGGCGGGGGGCGGGAGACATACAAAAAATACTTGTAAACTGTACTGGGCCTGGCGTGGGGCAGCTGGAATGCATGAAACTTAAGTGAGGCGCCCTTTAACGACCGTTCCAGTAGCCGACGCGTCCATTCTCAAAGGCCAGATTGATGCGCGGATGCGGTAAGGCTCTGGCCGCTTGCAGTGGCTCGTGCAGCTGGGCCGGCGTCGACGGATCATCCTCAAAGTACAGGCACTGACACACAAACTCGAGGAATAGCTGCTGGGCCTGCTGCGCGCAAGCGGGCAGCGCCTGCAGATTGGCATCGCTGCTGAGCTGGCGCACCAGTTGCTCGCAGATGCGCGTATTTGTGTCCACATCGAAGAGCGGCACACCAAAGTTAACATCCAGCAGCGTCCACTCCTCGGTGCTGGGCTCCGGCTCTGCAAACGCATCGCCAATGGGCAGCTCCACGGAGCTCTGGGAGAGCAGCTCGGCGCGACTGCTGTCGCTGCATTTGGCCAGCTCGCTGGCCAGCAGCTGGTTGCAGTCCGCCGAGGTGTAGTCGTTTGCTGGACCGTGCTCCGGCGTTGTTGCAAAATGATTCTCGTCGGGACTCTTCAGCTGAAAGCTGGTCAGCTGATCGTTTGGCACATTTGACTTGGTGGCGGCGGGCAGCGACGGGCGTTTGCGCTGCGGCAGCTTCAGCTTTACCTGCAGCTCATACTCGTCGCAGCCCAAATCGGGCACGCCCGTATTCAGGAATGTTATGTAGCCACATTGCTGGCGCAGATCCAAATGTGTGGCCAGCTTTTGCACAGCACGATGCGTGCTCCATTTGGCCTGGCCGGCATCCGAGACCTGGAATGGAAATGATTCATAGTGCAGCTGGCCAGCGGTGCTTATGCCATAGCCCTGCAGCAGGACGCATCCGTTCTTGAGCTGCTCGTTCAGGTTGCGAAAGTTCTCCGTGTTGAGCACATATGCGTCCGAATGGAGTATGTTCACCAGCAGCTTGCCATAGCCCAAAAAGAGACGTGGCAGCGACTTGAGCACAGTGCCGCGGCACAACAGCAAGCTGGGCGGCCCATAGCCTGGCAATGATTTGCAATATTACAGTTTCAATGAGTCTAGCTAGGAGCAGGAGGCAGGCTACTCACCCGTGATATGGTTGTAGAATAGCTTGCTCCACATCGGCAACGCATCGGAGCTGCGCACAAACTGGCCAAAGAACGGAATGCTGAACATGTGACTCAATGTGGCCGTCAGTGGCGTTGCCGAGACGATGAACTTGTACTTCTTATCGAGCACACGGTCGCGCGTCTGCCAGTCGAGCCCCTCCAGGCACTCCAGTCGCAGCAGATCGAGTCCGCCGGGCAGCAACGGACGCAGCGAACAGATGGTGGAGCGCAATATTACTGCGTGCGCAAAATAGCGAGAGACATCGCCCTCGCCCTCGGCATCCAGCAGCGAGACCTGCTCCAGTTCGGCCAGAAAGCTGTCGAGACTCTCCTCGCATAGTTTGCCCACCTCGAACATGGTGACGGCATGATTCTTCAGGCCCGGCGACAGATTGCCCATCATCAGGAATGCTGTAAGTGTTGAGTCAAATAAAAAGCCGACACGCTTGCCACTCTTGGCGGCTGCGACTGCGGCTGCGGATGCGGCAGATGTTGCCTTTGTGGTGGTCGTGCGCTCGCTAACATCCTCCAGTTCGGAGCTAAGCTCCTGCTCATCGCTGTTGTTGCCGTTGTGTGCGGCTGCTGGAGGCGTCACCATATTGGCAAAGCTAAAGTCGCTGGTATTGCCATCCGAAGACAGATAGCCAATGGAGCTGCTATCCTTGTCCTTGTCCTTGTCTTTCTCCTGCTTTGGCGTCTTGGGACTTGACTGCGGCTGCTCAAAGTCAAAGCTGCTGCTGGCATACACATTGTAGTTGAGCGGCGTAATCTGCGGCGTTTGCGGCAGCTGCTGCTCATTGTAGGTTGCCCAGCTAGCGTGATACTGTTGAGACTCGTGCTCCGTATGCTTGCGCTGGGCAAAGCCGAGGCGGCATATAAAGCTGACCGCCTGCTTGACGCCATCCAGCTCCAGTTGCAGCATTTGCGCCAGTTCCGCAATGCTCATGTGCTCATCGGCACTCACGAAGATCTTGTACAGCAAATTCTCGAAATAATCGCCACTGACGCGATTCATGACAAAGTTACGCAACGGCGGTATACAAATTCGATCCTCGCCGCTAATGGGCACATCCAAATAGATGAGACCCTTGCGATAGAGGCTCTGCACCACCTGATAGTCACATTTGCCCGTTGGCTGGGCGCCAAAGTCAATGAGATCGTCCAGCAGGCTGCGCTCTGCGGGCGTCACCATACGTATATCCGTCTCCAGCACATAGCCAATGTCCAGACGCCACCAGGGCTCGATGTGCACATGCACCGGCAGGCGCGGCAAAAAGTCCAACGGATTGGGTTTGGCACTGAACAGCAGCGTTCGCGGCGTATGGGTCTTCAGTTCGCTAATCAGCGCCAGATATTCGTTGCGTCCAATGCCGAGGACACGCAGGCAATCCGCTGCCGTAAAATTGGGCAGCGTATCGTAGCTCTTGTCGTTGCGCAGCAGCTGGCTGAGCACGTCCAGATAATAGTTAAAGGGCGTAACGCGCAATCCCTTGGTGACAATGTCCGCCAGATGGTAGGGAAAGACGCCCAGGCTGTTGATGTTCTTCTGGACGAGCAGCTCATAGTAGCGCTGCTCCTGGCGGAACACCTTCGATGCCAGATTGCCGCGGAAGCGCAGCTGATTCTTCAGGCTATAGTTGAAGACGTACTTCTCGTAGTCGCGCTGATTGTTGTGCAGCACCGAGCGCAGATGCACCGGCAGCTCCTGCCATGGCACATTCCCACGCACGCACAGCTGCAGCTGCAACTGGCAGTTGCCAGTCTCCGTCGACGTCATCTCGTTCCGTTCCGTTGCAGTTGTTGTTTGTTTACCTGTCGCCGTGCTCAATTTAGTTGTTGTTGCTGTTGCCTTTTGCTGCTTTTGGCCATTGCATATGTTGTTTGTATTTTTTGCTGACGAATGTTTACTTTCTTTTTCGGAGTTCGCTGCTGCGCTCGTTACGTTTTGTCGTTCTTATTCTATTTTGGCAGGCAAATGAGGCACAGCTGATAAAAACCGTCGTCGTCTGAGGGTTGGCACTCGTTATCCAGCACTGGTTGAAAAAAATACTGCACACTTAGAGAAATACTGGGGCAACATTTACGTTCCACATGCGACTGCATGAGGTAGACCTTTCTTTAGATTGCCAATTCCCTGATATGATTGACAATATGTACTTAAACTAGACGATTTTGAAATGTGTATCTTTTTTTTTTTTTTAATTTTAGTATCTAATGAGATTTGAAAATAAATTCAAATTGGAACGATTTGTTAATTATTCGTTTAATTATTTTTGTATATATAAACAGATGTGCGTGCGCACAAGAAAATGGGGAGAATAAGCCTTTTTAATATAGAATTAACATTATTATTCAATATGCATGCAAAATTATTCGAAAATCGATATGCAGCAAAAACAACGCGCGCTTAAGCGATAGTTGAAGGGGTTTCACAACACTTATGATGGGCATTTGCGAACATTAGCAACACTCACTGTTGATGATTTTCAATATTAAAGGCACTCTGCTTTGCCTTGGCTGCGTTTTTCTAAACAAAACCTCTGTTCAAAATATCAAAACGAATAAATTTTTGTTAGCCGTAGTTGAAAAATTGTGCAAACGTTGTGTGAATTACAAGTGCCATGCTGTAGATGTTGACAGACAGATGTAGTGCAATAACAAGAAGAACAGCAACAATAAAGCACACTTGCAAGAAAAGGGACATCGACATCGATTTTTTTGCACCCTTTTTCTTTTCTTTTTGGTGCATATTTTGCGTAGCAAATTAGCACACAAAGAAACGCGCGACAAGTGTCGCCTTGCCAAGGAAGCACGCAACGGAACGCAACGCAACGCAACTTAAACGAGAAGCCAAGCGCAGTGACAGCTATTTGTTTATTGAATCCCCGTGTGCCTCAGGGTAAGGGACGCTCAATGAGCGGCGGCGGCGAGGAACACGAGCAGCAGCAACAGAAGGCGCGGCAAACGTCAACGTCGCCGTTGCCAGGCGTCTCAAGGTGATTGCCAGCACAACTCATTCGCAATTATATTTTATGTTAATGAATTTGCATACCTTTGCTTGCAGTGCGTCGACTTCATCAGCGGCCGCTGCTGTGGCCAGTGGCGGCAATGGTGGCAATGGCCGGGCCACGCCGGAGATGAAACGTTCGGCGGTGCGCAGCCTGATACAGCGTTACTTTCATCAGCTGCAGTCGGGCTGCGGCAATGTCCACTGCACGAATGCCAACTGCGCTTCCAGCGGCAAAGTGGCGCCCATGACGCCCAACGAGGTGGCCGCCCGAGCACTTCAACTGTTCTCACAGGATGCACAATTGTGCGATAGCGCAGCGGCGGCGGCGACGGCGGCGGCAGTGCCAGCGCCCACAGCGAGCAGGTGAGTGGGTCAGATCGCAGAAAATAATTGAAAAGCATACTAACTTCTCTTGCCTCCTGATAGTCCACAGCAGGACGTGGACATGCTTTCGCCAAATGATAGCAGCAGCAGCAGTAGCAACAGCTCCACTAGCACCATAACCTCCGCCAGCACCACAACTACCACCAGCACCCAATCTCAGTCTCAGTCTCAGTCCAATGCGCAGCCCCAAGGCACCGTGGAGCAGACGGAAAGGCCGCCCATGATTATTGACTTGGTGAAGTTGTCAAGACCCTTATCAACAATTGGATCGCCGGCGACAACTCCAGCTGGCGACTCTGGTGCCTGCACACCGACGCTGCCGCCTGTGGAGTTCCTCGACGCTGAATCACTGGAGGCACTCTATTTGCAGTGCCAGACAGCGGCCAACTACGACAGGCTATATCAAGCGATTAATGATGTCTTCTCCAGCGTCGATCGTCTCAGCAAGAGCTTTGTGTGCAGGCCGGGCCAGGAGCGCCAGCATCTGGAAAGCAAATCGACCAATGCGCTGAACAAAGAGCAGCTGCGCCAGTTGGAGGGTGAGCACGACAAGGATGAGGACAGCACTCAGCGAGCGGAAACTCCAGCCGAGCGATGCCCAGATGCCGATGATGCTGAACGCCATGCCGATGAAAATGCTGATGCCGATGGCGAAGGCGATGGCGATGGCGATGGCGATATTGATGACAATGATGAGGACGAGCCCATGGGTCAACAGGAGCAAAATGAGGAGTTTCTACATAGAGGCACCAAAGTGGATTTCCGTGGACTGCGTCACATTAAGCGACTGCTCTTTGGCGCCTCGTGCTCAGCCATTGCAGAGCAACTGACAAGCAGCGTCATCCAGTTGGCGGACTATATACGCTACATGAGGCTGTACAGGCAGGACTCGTGGGAGCAGGTGCTCCATTGCCTAGTCATATGCTTTGACATGGCCACCAACAGTTAGTAACATTTTCATTTCATAACTAAATTTCGATATATAATTTGCATTCCAAACAACAAACAACAGCTACGGCCAACAACAGCGTAACGGACATGGAGTACCTGGATCGAGTGCTGCCCAAGCTGTGCCATGCGGCTGCCGTAATGCCGGTGCGGGCACAGGCGCGTCTGGCTCTTATTTGGAGTGAATATTGTGCCGACCAGCTGCAAGTGCTGTTATCCTCGTGCCAGCAGCAGATAACGCTGCAGGTGCTCCTGGACGAGGAGTCGGTGCGCGAGAACGAGCATATCATAAGCGTGACCAAAGTTCTGAAGGTGAGTCGTGGCTGCTTCCCTGCCATTAATCAGTTATAAACGAATCTATTTTTCACACAGATTGTGTTTTATGCCAACATCCTGGCCAGCGTGCTGGAGCGGCCGTCGTGTCGGCTGCCACTGCAGGAGGTTGTTGAAAGCGAGGGAGCTGCTGCAGCCGCCGCCGCCGCCGCCCTTGAAGAGGGCGAGGATTTGTTTGTTTATAGCTCAATGCAGCAGCCGCATATGCCAAAATTTGCGGAAGATCCACTAGAGAAGTGCTTGCAAGTCTCGTACATCGACTGCCGCAGTCCATTGGTGCCGCTCGAGGAGTTCTACAATGAGGCGCTCAGCGAACACATACAAATGCATCAGGACTATCTATCCTACAAAACGCTGGCCATGGAGAGCGAGCTGGGCTCTAGCCACACCAACTATTTCTGCTTTATGCTGTACGCATTCATCCTGACGCCGGCCACCAAGGTGGACGCACTCTATTACGACTGCCGCATGCGCATGTACAGCGAGCGCTACTCCTCGCTCTATTCGATACTGCACAACTTTGGTCAGGATGGCCAAGAGGGTGCGCGACCCGATCTCAAGCTGACGGTGCGACGCGATCAACTAATCAACGATGCACTCATCGGGGTACGACTTAAAGAATTTATGTTAAATAATGTTGTACTTATTGCTTTGCTTGAATTGCAGCTGGAACTGGTGGCGATGAGCAATCCAAAGGATCTGAAAAAGCAGCTGGTGGTCGAGTTTGTGGGCGAACAAGGGATTGATGAGGGCGGCGTATCCAAAGAGTTCTTTCAACTAATCGTTGAGGAGATTTTCAATCCAGCCTTTGGCATGTTTGTGCAGCAGGAGGAGACGAACAATATGTGGTGAGTGACCATGTGACCCTGATATCCGTCTTCTATATAATATATATCGCGTATTTTCTATGTTTTCATCCATTGCTTCTGAAGGTTCAATGCCACCCCCTTCGAGAATGGCGCACAATTCACGCTGATCGGAATTATAATTGGCTTAGCCATTTATAACAATGTCATCTTGGCTGTGAACTTTCCTATGGTCGTATACCGCAAGCTGATGGGCTATCGAGGTACCTTCTATGACCTGTCCGACTGGAGTCCAACGCTATATAAGAGCTTGAAAACTATGCTGGACTATCAGGGCCAGGACATGGAAGAGGTATTCGAGCAGACGTTTAAGATTAGCTATAGCAATGTGTTTGGCGAACTGGTCGAGCACGAACTGGTGCCACACGGTAGCGAGGTGCTTGTGGGTCAGCACAACAAGCGGTTGTTTGTTAATCTGTACAGCGATTTTTTGCTGAACGTCAACATACAACAGCAGTTTAAGGCTTTCCGCAAGGGCTTCGAAATGGTTACAGACGAGTCGCCGCTGAAGCTGCTCTTTAGGCCAGAGGAGATCGAAAAGTTGGTCTGCGGTAGTCGAGTAGGTTGACAAAGGCGTTTGCTCATTTACTTTGTGGATTTCCATTAATTGTTTTATAATATTGCAGGAGTTCGATTTTGTCGAACTGGAGCACTCGACAGAGTACGAGGGTGGCTACACGGAGGAAACGCAAATTGTACGAGATTTCTGGAGCATTGTGCACGCAATGCCACACGAGTCCAAGCGCAAGCTGCTCGAGTTCACCACAGGATCGGCACGCGTACCGGTTGGCGGCTTGAAATGCTTGCGATTGTTAATAACACGCCATGGACCGGATAGCGATCGCCTGCCCACTTCCCATACGTGCTTCAATGTGCTGCTGCTTCCCGAATACAGCAGCAAGGAGAAGCTAGAAGAGCGTTTGCTCAAGGCAATCAACTACTCGAAAGGCTTTGGCATGCTGTAGTCGCCGCAAAGGGATGTCAAAATGGTTGACACACATACCTCCAGCAACGCAACAGATACCACCTCCGATAATTTATGATGATAATGATGATGATGATGATGATGAAGACGATGATGATTTATTAGTTGAGCCTTAGTTTGTTTTTGAATTTGTCATTTATTTTTGATACAATTTGTTCAAATGAGACAATATATATGTGTGCGTAAATGCTCAATATGGCGTGATGGAAAGAAGGCAGGCGTGAACTAAGCAAATTCGGTTTGAATGACTTTATATTGTTTACTATGTCGCTCAGTTAAGTGTATATAACATAAATTACATTTATACGCATACTCATACACTCATGTAATTACGTTTGTAATGCAGCACGCATAAAATTTTGCTGAATAAATTTTAAGTTGTGCGCCAATAAATGCATATACTATCGTTTGATAAATACCTAGTTTCACTTGCTATCGATAACTTGGTGTGCAACCTTTTGCGAGTTTCACAGCACTATCTTTTTTTTATATGCACAGTTATTTGTCTTCGTTTGCTAGAGTCGCCATCCGCAAATTCATTCATGTTAACTTCGTTGTTGCGTACGGTTGTGCAGCGGCGAAAGATAGTTGTTTTGTGTGTTTTTCAAAACAAACTTACCTCGCTGAATAATATGCAACAATTATCATAACACAAGAGTGTACAATTTAAAGTGTGAAAGTGTGTGTGTGTGTTGTGTGAAGCAAATAAATAAGAACGCCATGGCAGCAACTATGCCGTTATTGTTTCTGGCGTCGCTATTGCTCTTGCAAGGAGCCACCGCCAGCGCCAGCGAATCGGATGCCGATGTAGCCGCCCCCGAAGTTGTTGTTGCAGCTGCAACACAGCAAAATTTGAATGGTATGTGTCTAGAATCTGGTGCAATGAGTTCATCACTGGAATTAGCAAGGCATAAGTACTAAAACAAAACAACATTAAATTGCATTCATCTGTAGCATTCACCCACACACACACACACACACACTCACATGCATCTGTCTATGCATGTGCATCTGTGTGCGTGCGTGAGGCTGCGCTTTTTGTTTACATTCCGTTGCTCTTTCCGCCTGCTTGTAATATTCATGCGGTCGTTAACACTCAAAGTACTTAAAGATGTGCTCGGCTATAAATTTGTTTATTTTATTATAGAGAATTTCTTTTATTAGCTTTAATCAAGCACAATATTTTTGAAGTGATTTTCTGCTTTGAACTAGGACATTTTCCAGGTCCTGTGTCCCTGACACAAAAATGGGTTACCAATATGTATCTACATATGTATGTGTGCAGAGATTATATACATATACACATACATATCTGTTAATATATGTATATAGGTATCTAATATATTGGACCCTAAGTTTATTGTTTAAGCAGAAGTTGAAAATTAGATTGTCAATAACTATTTATAATAAAAATTTAAATCTATCAATAAAAAATTCAAATTTCATTTAACTGAATCTATTTTTTGTACCTAATGGGGCACGCAAATAGTTTATGTATTTATTTGACACCTTTTTTCATCTTTTTCAGAGAAAATCAAAGTCTTTACTGTGGCCACCGAACCGACTGATGGATATCGCCGTTATGTTCGATCTGCCAATGTCTACGATATTGAGGTAAGTTCCTGAAACCCGTTCAATTTCGACCGTCTGGAATAACAAATTTATGGTCTTTTGTTGTGCTTAAAATTTGGTATGCAAATTCTTTTTAAGAGAAGAATTGCCAAAATGTTATTGAAATGAGATCTAAAAACGATGCGATTTTAGGGCATACATATGTATATCACGAAAGAGTTTCTATTAAAAACTTTTCCGTTAATGCTAAAGTATTGCTTAATATTCTATTGAGTTGAGCTTTTGTTGCTTCATCTACAATTATTTGTTATTTGATTAAACATAAATTTAGCAAAACTTAATATGTTATGTAACCATTTTCATGGAAAACATTGACTTTTTTTCATGTAACTCCAGTAATGTTTATTACCAAACCTATTTTGGGATATAGAGTTTTTTTAAGGCATATTATTGTTTATTTGGGTAACAACTGTTTGGAATGTAAGATCGAAGTAATGTTTCCAAGAACTACTCAAATTTCAATTTGATACACAAAAAATTGAATGTAAAGGAGAAAGAGTTGAAATAGAATAGCTAATGCTATATTATATATAGTTATATATTACTTTGTAGTTAATAAATGTTATAACAAAAGAAAAGCCTGAAGAAAATGTAGGAATTTGACAACAACTGAGTTCAGTGCATTCATATTAAAAACTTTAGAACAGTCGAGGCGTCTGCTGAATAGAATTCTAATTGAGTTCCATATAAAGAAATTCGGAAATTTGATTAGCTGCCTATCTATGTAAAGCTATGTACATATACTATATGCTGGCATAAACAAATGATTGGCCCGAAGACGAACTCTTGCCGACATATCTCGGTTTGCGGCACACTTTTATGAATTTGTTTTGTAGCGCTTCTGTATCTGGGTGTATGCATATGTATATACATGCACGGACATATGTCCAAGCATCCGGCACTGGCGTCCAGATGACTCTGCTGCTCTGATGTGTTACACACAGATTGGCTGAACATTATGGGGCACCATCAATATGTATATATGTATATATATATATAGTGCACACATGTGTTCTTCTCGATCTACACTTTGTAGTTGTAGTTAATCACGTAGTCCATGCGGCTGGCTAGTAGCAGGCCCCCGGGGTAATTAGCTCAATTCAGTTCCCGATTGTTCCATTGATAGCTTGCAACATGCCGTTTATGTATTGTTTGAGATTTGCTTATCACCAACGGCAACGCCGGTTCCCTTATGTAAATTCGTCTCTCATTCTGTGTGTGTGTCGCAAAGTCAGCTTCTCATGTTCATCATTTGAATGGAATACAACAAAATAAAAACTTGCTGATAAGCCGGTTAGCCGGCTTTCGTTCTCGAAACATTGCTTATATTTCATAATGATCACTTTTTTATAATATGCTTTTCAAGAATTGTGTGAACTTAGCCATTTAGGCAGGCGGCTCAAATTTGTTTGAACAATTCTAAAGACAATTGAATTACGAGATATCTTGCTAAAAATGTAATTTATAAACATTTTAACAGTCGTGACTTGCTGTTATTCACTTTTGTTACTTACTGTAAATTGTCACTGTTAATTAACATTTATATAATGGGCAATTGTTATTCTGGCTTGCTTGTGTTTACCTTAAATTAATAACAAGAGTACATGATAGCTTTACTTTTAAAATATATCTGTGACATTTAAAGGCGTCAGAGAGCTAACGTTAACTGCTAAATTACATAGATTTTACATTCGAAGTAATAGGATAACAGTTGCAGCTTAACATTCAAAAGATTACAGAAGCTCTAACAACATAGCGTTAACATTCGAGAGAATTTATTTATTTATTTAACAGAAATGTTTATACCAGAGACATATAGAACATGCTCTTTGACTTGAAATATTTATATAGCTCGGATCTGCTCTCATTGTGGATTTGCTTAGTATTATTTATATATCAACTGTGATTTATAACATAAGTAATTGAATGAACATATTCCATAAGATTTATCAATTTCTGTTTTATAACAGGTGACCACGCTGGGCATGGGCGAAGAATGGCAAGGTGGCGACATGAAAAGCGCTGGTGGCGGTTTTAAAATCAATCTGCTGCGAAAAGCAATTGAAGACATGAAGGATGCAGAGGATACCATAATATTGTTTACAGACAGGTAAAATGGGTATGCCCAATATTGTTTTTAGCTGCTTCTAACCAGAAATTGTTTATAGCTACGATGTCATCTTCACAGCTGCGCTCGACGAGATTTTGGAAAAATTCAAAGAGTCTGGTGCCAAGCTGCTCTTCTCGGCCGAAAAATACTGCTGGCCGGACAAGAGTCTGGCAGATCAGTATCCCGAGGTGGAGGGCAAAGCCTCACGTTTTTTGAACTCGGGCGCATTCATTGGCTATGCACCACAGGTGTATGCGCTGCTGGAGGAGGCCATCGAGAATACTGGTGATGATCAGTTGTACTATACTAAAGTGTTCCTGGACGAGGCGAAGCGTGCCAAGCTGGGCATGAAGCTGGATACGCAGTCTCGTCTGTTTCAGAATCTACATGGTGCCAAAAATGATGTTAAGCTAAAGGTGGACCTGGACTCCAATCAGGGCACTCTGCAAAACATTGATTTTATGACCACGCCCCTGATTATCCATGGCAATGGACTGAGCAAGGTCGATTTGAATGCCTATGGCAATTATCTAGCCAAGACCTTCAGCGGCGTCTGCACCTTCTGCTTGGAGTATCCCCTCGAGTTGAATGTGAGTGGAATTTACTTAAAATTCACGTAGGTCATTTTAGCATGTGCCTTTCCTTTTTGCAGGAACAAAATCTGCCTATCATTACGTTGGCTGTGATGGTTCCCCAAGCTGTGCCCTTCTTCGATATGTTCCTGGCCAGCATTGAGAAGCTCAACTATCCCAAGGAATCGATGCATCTCTTTATGTACAGCAACGTCGCACTGCACGACGATGCTGTTAAGTCCTATGCGACTAACCAAGGCAAGAACTATGCCAGCGCCAAGTTTGTGCTATCCGTGGATGAACTGGACGAACGTCAAGGCAGACAGTTGGCCCTGTGAGTACCTTAGGAGTAACTAACTACTTATGTGCTTAAGTTAAGGAGATGAACAAATCGTGGAATCATTGCGAAGTAGTCAATTATTATTCCATCAAAATCTACTTATTAATTAAGAAGCCTCTGTTATTTGCATTGACTCCCGAAGTTATTATGTGGTATACATAGTCAAATGCTTATGATAGCGTTTCCAATATTTACATATATGTTTTTGTATTATAAAGAACTGTTTGACTGATTGTATCCCTCATACTCGCTTGCTATCAGTACTCTCACTGTACAAGAATTCATGAAAATCGCATAGGAAGGCGGAATATTTAAAGGGAGTGAGAGAGGGAATGAAGGCGATTCTTACTTAGTGTCGAGAGTTTCTCTTACCCACGCGTTCTTATACCCTTGCAGAGGGTATTGTTAGTTTGTCGTGAAATGTTTAACGCATGACATCTCTGATCCCACAAAGTAGATATATTCTTGATCTGTATCAACAGCCGAGTCGATATACTTAGTAAAGTTCATCTGTCTGTTTCTATGCAAACAAGTCTCTCAGTTTAAAAGCTATCTTAATGAAACTTTGCCCACATACCTCTTTCTGTTGCACGCAGAACATATGTCAGAACCGGCTGGATCGATCTGCTATATCATATAGCTGCCATAGGAACGATAAGTCGGAAAGTGGGTTCTTGTATGAAAAACTTTTTTGTTCATTTAGATAACTTGACCAAACTCGGCATTTATTCGTTGCACTACTATATCATATAGCTGCCATAGGAACGATCGGTCTAATATTAAGTTGTATGAAAAACTTTTTGTTTTTCAAGATATCTTAACCATACTCGACATTAACTATTTTCCCTGTGCTGCTTAGTTTCGGGCAATTCACAATGAACATTATGAAAAGGTTGGGCTGCAAGGGTATTAAATCTTCGGCGTGACCTTCTATTTCGTTTTATATAAATTAATATTTAAATAGCTGATTAACTTGTATTAACTTTTCTACTTGCAGCGACAAAGCAAAGCTGCAGCACAGCGACTACATTTTCTTTGTGGACGCCGATGCGCACATCGATGACAGCGAAGTGCTCCGAGAGCTGCTGAGAATGAACAAGTAGGTCTTCAAATTCGATTGACCTGCATTGCCCAACTAAAAATATAAATGTTACCCAATGCAGGCAATTTGTGGCGCCGGTGTTCTCCAAGTACCACGAACTGTGGAGCAACTTTTGGGGCGCGCTCTCCGAGAACGGTTATTATGCACGCTCCCACGACTACGTGGACATTGTGAAGCGGGATCTGATGTAAGTGAAAAGCTCCAGGTGGAGTTATTACGATTTAATTAGGATTAACTTTATTGCTTATACGTATACGGGCAAGGAAACGGGTGGCACCGCCAGCGATCTAATCGAAGGCAATGGAGAAATCGGTCTTGAAGCTGCGCCTGTCAATGGAGTACATGTTGTCGGCCGTGCACTCGTACAGGCCGGCGTCCATTTGGGTGGCCGGATCGATTTCGATCTTTGATTTGACGCGATCATCGCCAATGGTCCACTCGTGTACATGCATATATAGATGCTGATAGATCTCGGCGCCGTCTTTGTACCAGGTTATGTGCGGACGTGGATTGCCCTTGGCCACGCACAGAAAAGCAATCTTATGGCCCAGCACGTACTCGAGATCAAAGTGCGAGGCCTGTAAGATTTTTGCGCCCTATTACCAAAACGATAAGTTAATATTGATGGGATCTGTAGCCTGACCTTAGCTTACATTGTTGTTGTTATAGTATTGATCCGACTCGGGATCGCGGTACTTGCCCGTTATGGGCAGACCAATCTGCACCCTCGACTTGGTGCGTCCACGTCCGCGTCCACGGCGCGCCTCGGTAAATGGTGCGGTTAGCATAAGCAGGCCCAGGCCTAGGCCAATGCAGATTAGCAGGCACTTCACTTGCATCCTATGCTTATCATTAACTAAAACCCAACGTTGCTGTGCGAATCTCGTCTGCGCGGCGACTAAACCAGCGGCAGCAGCTGTCGCGGCATTTCGCTTGCTCTGGCACATCTAATTTGCCACAATTGGCGTCGCTTGGGTCTCGCATTTAAACCACCAGAGTGATGGCTCGGGATTCGGTTTTGATTCTCTTGATATGCAGCTCCACAGGTTGCCTTATTTTACTCAATTTCATTTGATTTGATTTGCGCACTCGCTGAATCTGCGTATCTCCGCAACAGTCTGTCCAAAGGCCACCTTTTTTGCTTCGGGTTCCGTTGGATATGTGCGCCATATGTTGCAGGGCGCACAGTGGGGCAAGCTGTGTGAAACTGAAAATATAAATATGCCTCTAGTTTGTTTTTATTTTATTTAAGGCAATTATATTAATATTATGCATGCATAATACGCTGTTACTAACAGGTTACAATCGCAGCTTTGTTTAACATTAATGTTAAAACCGTACGCTGTTAACTCAATGTTAGCTCTAACAGCAATGCATAGAGAATTCTTTTACTATGAACTCCAACAAATAAGTTAGGTTTGAATAACAAGTGAATACAATAAGTTTTATCATAATATGCCCAATTATTGCCCCCATTCTATTATCATGCAAAAACTTCCCAGATATGTATGGTATATTATTCTTGACTGCTTTGTACCACTGTGCAAAGGCAATAGACCCCCCAACTATATAATATAACTGAGCTTATTTGCATGTAAATATGCCACAGTTTGTTTTGGTTTGACTTGCACACATTTTAATATACATTTTAATAAAATAAATGCAAAAAAATTGTCCAAATCAAGTAATTGAGACAATTTGTCGGTTACGCACACAACCAGACAAAAGGTCGAGAACAAAAATAATTTCAATTTAAAACAGACAAGACAACAAGTACGAACTTGAAGTTACAAATTATATTGTGTTTATTACGAAATGTAGTTCAGAATATATCAGAGTTGAATGAAGAATGTTAAAAATTGACCATGGCATAGTCCGTGCGAAAGCCCCGACGATCAATAGCATATATATTATCCGCCTGGCATTCGTAATAGCCTGCAGTTAGAGATGGCCATAGTAGACATATATCTTTGGTAAGCTTATTAAAGTATTTCATACCCGCATCCATTTGTGTGGTTGGATCAATTTCCATTTTTGATTTAATGATCTCTGGTTCTGGATGCGATTCGTGCACCTATAGAGCAGACTGTTTGATTTTCTGCAAATGCAAATGCATATTTCTCAGGCGCACTTACCTGAAAGAATCGATGCTGATACAGTTCTGCGCCGTCTTTAAACCAGGTGATAGTCGGTCGTGGATTACCTGTAAGGGGCTGTTATTAGGGAGGATGCAATTCTGACAACCGACTCACCTTGCGCCATGCAAAAGAAGGTAATCTTGCGCCCCAATGTATAGTCGAGCTCAAAGTGCGATGACTTTATGATCTTGGCACCCTGCATTAGAGCCAGGCATTTTAATGGAATTATTATTAGTTTGTTGTCATTTGAAACTTACGTTCTCGTGATCGTAATAGTTGACAGCATCCTGGGATCTGTGCTGAATGACAACAGGTTTCTTGCCCGTGTAATTGCGACGCAGCACATTGCGACCGCCGGTGCTTCCTATTCGAATCAAAGAGTTATCTATAAGAAATAATTGGATCAGCGATTAGTTGATCACTCACTTTGGCCCTGCACAGGGCAGAGATCGCACAAGAGCAGCAGCGACAGCAGCAGCCAGAGCAGTGCAAATGCTTTGATCTTGCACTGGTTAAACCAGGGACTGGGCATTTTTGTTGCGATCCGACAGAGATGCGGCTATTTCCGTCCGTCAGCGTAGAATGTTTTGTGCATACTGCGCCTAGAGGTAGCCCCGGACAAACGATGTTTGTCTCTCATACTGATTGAATTTAATCGCGACCTAACTCTGTGTGCGTTCCGCTGACCGAGAGTTAACTACTTTCCATTTCCACAACATTGTTGCGAATCTACAAAATAAACTGTGCGTCATGCTTTTACAAATGTATATATATTTATAAACTGTGTCTCTTTTTAGCGGCATGTTCAATGTGCCACATGTGACGACCATTTATCTGATCAAGCATAGCGCCTTCGATGCCATCAAGTTTGAGCACAACGATTTCGACCCTGATATGGCCATGTGCGAATCACTAAGGAACGCGGTAAGTAATAAGATAATATTCAAAATTATGTTTATCTTATCACATTTTTCAGTTAGCTAACATTAAACAAAAGTCTTTAATTTTTGGGATTTCAGTTCTTAGTTGCAGTTTACTATTTAGTTAAAATATATATCTTCTTAACTTCTCTAGAACTGTTTGTTAGTTTAGTATTTAGTACATTTAGTACAACAATTAATATTTAAAGCAGGAACCAAATAATTTATTTTAATAAATCATTTTCTTCATTTAATTAATATTTCTATTTAATTCAGAAAAAAATCTGCCTAATTTAACCCAACCAGAAATTTTTGGTTCTTGAAAAAGGAATTTCGTTGTCAAGCTAAGAAAGCTCAAAATGTAATCAAGAGCAAAACTAAGGGTATTATTTTTCATTTTTCACAATGTTTTCAAGAAATCTCTGCCCATATCATTTTTATTGAATTTGAAGTTGTAGAAGGAAGCTGGGGTTGATCAAGTCATGTGTATGTCTATGCGTTTTTCTGTATGTATATATGCTAGGGCATCTCACCTGACTGGAGCACACCTAATTCTTTTTCCTACCCTTACTTGTTTTCATATTTCTTTGTATCATAAATGATTTCCAAGCGCGTTATACAATTATGATTGAAATAAGTTCCTCACTTTATGATATCTATTAATAGTTGATCCTTTCATTTAGGGCATCTTCATGTACGTCAGCAATCAGCGCTACCATGGACATTTGATCAATGCGGATAACTTCAATACCACAGTTGTGCGTCCCGATTTCTATACGTTGTTCAGCAATCAGTATGACTGGACCTTGAAGTATATCCATCCAAATTATTCGACCCAGCTGAACGAGAGCATGGTCATACCACAGCCGTGTCCGGATGTCTTCTGGTTCCAGATTGTGTCCGATGCATTCTGCGATGATTTGGTGGCCATCATGGAGGCGTATGGCAAATGGTCCGACGGCAGCAACAACGACAATCGTCTCGAGGGCGGCTACGAGGCAGTGCCCACGCGTGACATACATATGCGCCAGGTGGGACTCGATACGCTTTATCTGAAGTTTCTGCAGATATTTGTGCGACCACTCCAGGAGCGCGTCTTTACTGGCTACTTCCATAATGTAAGTTGACCCTGAATTGGCAGCTGTCTTTGTCATCCTAGCTAATGTGTTTTAATTGCTCTGCAGCCGCCACGCTCGCTAATGAACTTCATGGTGCGTTACCGGCCCGATGAGCAGCCTTTCCTGCGCCCGCATCACGACTCGTCCACCTATACGATCAACATTGCCATGAACAGTGTGGGCATCGACTATGAGGGCGGCGGCTGTCACTTTTTGCGTTATAACTGCTCCGTTACGGAGACTAAGAAGGGCTGGATGCTAATGCATCCCGGCCGATTGACCCACTTCCATGAGGGCTTGCTGGTGACCAAGGGCACACGTTATATTATGATTTCGTTTATCGATCCGTAGGCGTGGCAACTGGAAACTATTTTTTTTACTGCCATAAAGGCCACTCCAAAGAATTTATATTTAGCCTAAAATAGGAGAGCAAATAAGCAACTCGAATCAAATCTAGTTTAGTCTTGGAATGTGGTCTATTGCCTTAGTTTGCGATTTGTTTGCCAAACATCCTGACTAAACACTGTTTGTCTCGAAATTCCAGGGTCTGACACAAAACTTTATAAGCATTAAGTATACTGTAATTTTTTCGAATGGTTTTGAACTCTCTAAATAAAAAAAAAAAAAAAAACAAAAAAATAATACATACAAATAAAAGCAATTTTGTAATAATTATTTATGTTCAGGTGTGTACGTGTCTATGATGTCTGTATCCCCTTTTAAATCAATTATAGTCAGTTATATTTTAGGAGATCTTTCACTGGTGTTACAATGCTTATTGTCGATTTATATTTATTTTTGTAGTTTTTTATTAATGTTTCCTATATTTTACATTTGTATGATTTCAAATCGCGCGCACTGTAAATTAACATTGATTGGTAACATAAAGCAGTGCACTGCTTGTAACACTCTGTTAATGTAAGCACAGCTGCTGCAAGCCTTTTAAAGTATACACCTACATACATACGTCGACTCGCATACCATTAAACCGTAATTTCAGCTTGCATTTTGTGCTCTGTGTTAAATAGTAACCGGGCTATAAAATTTTAAATTTGTTGTTCAGCTTGTATGTATTGGCCGCAGCTGCTTATAAAATATAAAAGACGAAAATAATTCATGTAAACATAAATTTCTGACGCGCAGTGTAAATGGGTATCAACTGCTGTCGTGCAGCGGTTTCTTGTTTCCGTTTCGTTTTGCTTGCTTTCAGTCGCAATCGGAATAACAGTACGTGCGGACGTTTACGGGAGCGTTTCGTTGCCGTCGCATCATATCTACAGTTAGTTCTAGCCTAGCTGTTGGCGCGCCTGGACAACGCAAAGTGCGTTTGGAGTGTTGCCCATAAAAAAGTAGCCAAAGTTTTTAACAACAACTCCTTTCAATCTAACGGTGTGTGTTTCCGTGTGTCGCAATTGGAGAAATTGAAATACATATGTATGTGTGTGCATAAATCGAATAAGTATTCAAAATGCCGCATCCTGTGAAAAGTGAAACAAACAAAACAGCAAAAGGGCAAGGCAAAAGTTTTGTTATTGCCCAGCACAGACACTGCCGCTCGGCCACAGGCTCTTGTGCGCTCTCTCTCTCTCTCTCTCTCTCTTTCCTACTCTCTCTAGTTCTGTTCTATCCATCTCGCACGCCCGCTCGCCCAGCGGCTCATTCGATTTTCCTTCTTCCTATTCCGCGTGCGTGTGTGCTGCTGCTGTTGCCGTTGTTGTTGTTGTTATTGTTGCTGCTGTTGTTGGTGTTGCCACTTTTTCCTGTTTCATTTCCCTACACTTTTTACTATTCTATTTACACTTTTGGGCTATGTGTGTGCGCGCACTTTGTTAGGTAAAGAGGTGGAGCAGAAGGGTCGCGCGTTGCGCTCACACCTGACTTTTAGTTATATTTTCTTTCGCAAGTTTATTTGCGCCCTGGAGTTGCTCTGGCAACAGCAGAAACAAAAACAACAACAACAAGAACATCACGAGCCGCAGCTTATGTTATTTGTATTTCCTTTTTGTGTAGCAAACGACACGAAAGCTCGTCCAAATCGAACCGTTAACAAAAAAAAAGAAACAAAGTAAAAACAACAACTTCATCCGCATCAGCATCCGCATCTGCAACGCCAACTCCCCTTTGTCAGCCGGCAAATGATCCGCCGAAATAAAATTGAAAGTTGCCTCCGGGTTGGAGCCTAATGAGCATGGAACAGGCGGGAGGCGTCCAAAGTGTCGCCGCTGCCGTGCGATACGTTCGTGTTTCGCCCAACAAACTGGGAGCCATCCAATGCTGGAGGTGAGTGCTCATGCGTGTGAGTGTGTGAGTGTCTCTCTGCGTGTGTGTGTGTGTGTTGTATCTGCTCTGTTAGTGCTGTGTGTTGTTTTACAGTTGGCGTTCGCCTTGAAATTAGCTAAGCAGCTGCTAATTGGGTGGCAGGTCGTAGAAAAATGAACTGTTAAGTGGAGGGGTTGGCGGGGTGCAGGGAAGGGGAAGGGGAGCGAGAGGGATTTAAGAGAAGCTAATTATAAAACTGCAGCGCACTGCATATGCCCAACTCAAAGATTAATGACAAATCTATTTGGGTTTGTCTCTAAATTTAAAATGACACTGTTACAAATTTCGATGATTTAAATGTAGAAGAAAACGTTTATATTTTTATTTTTTGTTAATAATAAATTTTTGAATAATCAGTCCTTAATAGTCATTAAGGATTAATCCTCCAGACACGTGTTATGCCTGATATATATAACATATATAAACTATAGTAAAAATAAAAAGAAATATTTAAAAAAATAAATACAAATCAATAATATCCCTAGTCCATATTCATTAAAAATTTCGTTTAACCCAATTATTCTAAAAGTTTCTTAAAGTGTATATTTTTAGCTCGATTCGAGCTCAAAATGTTACGAATTTTTTTTTGGTACGGGATCAAGTGCGAAAAGTCTTGTCATTAGGCTGCCGTTTTTCTCTCTGTGTATATAATATAATAGGAATAATCATTTTGCACAAAAGTTAATCAAGAGCCATCAATATTTAACAATCATATATGATTTATTTTAAGTATTCCACCTTTAACTTAACTAAGTAAAAGAAACAATTTGTAGTTACAATATATTTCTACCTCTTCCAAATGTCTTTTGAGCTGTTCTCAATCGACGAAAAGAAGAAGATGGAGAGAAAAAGAGAGAGAGAGAGAGAGAGAGAGAGAGAGAGAGAGAGAGAGAGAGAGAGAGCAGAGCCAAAGTTGCCTGCGGTCTCTTTTGTCTGTTGAGTTTATGCTGTGGTTTTTGCTCTTAAGGACTTTCAGCAGCCAGTTGACAGAATTTGGACTGCGGATGTCCTCGGTGAAAGGCATTTCAAATGGGCTAAAACGCTGCCCTGACATATTTTGTCATCTTTTGTGGCCAACAACAAGACAAACTGCTTTTTAGCTGGTCTTTCTAAAAAAAAAACAAAAAACATTGCGATCTGTTTGTGACGCTTGCCTTAAATAAGTTACATACATATATACTCGATGCCAGGACGAATGCCTAGCTATAATACATATATGTATAAGTAAGAGTTGCGTGATAATGTTTCAGCTGATTTTCAAGGACAGGCGGACATGTCCTGTTCAAGAATATATATACTTAATGGTTTATTGACAATATTTAAGCAGCTTAGTTGAAATTTCTTAAGAAGCTAGCATACTTTTTTGTAAAATGTGAATAAGTTCTTATAATATGTAGCTTACATGTCTTTCGAAATTCCTTTGCGCTAAAATTGTGTTCTTCAGCAGCCATAATTATCTTCAAAAAGGTTTTTCAGCAGCTCCCAATCCCTTGGAGAGCTGCCCTGCTCCCAGCTCAGAGAATAACATAAACGCTTCTCGAAAGTCTAGTGAAAAGTACAAAAATAATTGCACGGCAACACGAAACAAGTATTTAAATACAGCTTAACAATAAACCCTTTTGAGTTTGGAAAATGTCAAAAGAAAAAAAAACACAGTAACTAAACATGGGCTGTGCACAATCTTAATTGTCATAATCACAGCGAGCGGAGGTCCTGCATAAACAGGAGCACGCATATGTATAAATGCATATGTGTTAGTTGCCATATTCTCCGGAGCGTCCTTTGCGGCGTGAAAAATTAAAACGTGACACAAATTACACGACTCCTCGGGGCCCACACACACACACACATACACAGGATTCCATTAACCGGAGCAGGCCGCACTGCGTCTGTCCCGAGGGCTCGAGGCCTTCAGCATGTTGTCTATATAACGCCCAATAGGTGCGAGGACCGCCCCTCTCTGCCCCCTACACTCAACCGCACCTCGGGGGGCCTTTGTTAATAAATTTTGTGCGCGTAGATTTTGCACGCACGTGCTCTGACGGGAGGGGGGAAGCACGTCAACAGGCCAAGAACCCAACCCCCCTTCTGCTCCATTCCCAACAGACATTTGCATATTATTGTTGTTGGCATAAAAGGCATACCTGACGCCCTGAAGTCCTTTGTGTTTATCCTGTTCTGATTCGCCTATAATAATTGTTGTAAACTTTGAAAACTCTAACTTAAAATCTACTGAAGATTGTTTAAAGAGAACTTTTCAGAAAGTTGATGTATTTATCCATTTCATGACTAGAACCAACTGCCAGGCTTTACTTAATTTAATTTAGTTTTCGAAATTTAAATCAAATAATTAAAATGTTCTAATAATACTAATTAATACTAAATGCGGGCTAAATTTCATTCTAAATCTTCAAATATTTATTACATTTAATCTAAAAAGTTGTTTGTTTTGAACTAAAGCAATTTGTGGGCTTTTTTTCTAAAACGGTTCGGTTAAGACCCGATTTGCATGCCTAATTTTAACGCTACTTCACCTTCCCGAGTTCAGTTGATTTCTTTTTCCAAACGGAAAACAAATTAATGTGCTTTTGCATTTTAAGGGCTTAAAGCCTTCATAACAAATGTATTTATAATTCTTATTATGATTCAAAATACGAGCTTGAGCTCGAGCTTTTGCAATGTCTTCTAAAGTCTTTTGTTATATGTTACATAGCGAATTATTCGTTGAATTTAGCTCTTATTTTGAGAGTTTAGCCTAGCTGTCAACACGTTTTAAATAACATATATGGACTATAAATATATTTTCCTCGATGACATGAAGAAACTCTGGGTTTTTTTTCTAAGATTTCGTTGATGCTGGCAGCTTTTGCCGGAATTCCAAGATTCGATTTAGAACATTATTACATTTAGTATGTCGCTGGAGAAAAATTGTTTTTCTACTAAGAATTTTCCGGTTGGGCGGTTCCGGGGTCGCTTCTTGAACACGCAAGTCATTTGATGGACTTGCCGGCCCATTCCAAGCGTTGCAGCCCGAGGCAGCTACGACTATGACTGGGACGGAGACGGAGATGGAGATGGGGACGGGGACGGGGACGGGGACGGGGACGGGGACGGGGACTGGGACTGGCACAGGACATGAATATCAACAACGAGCAGGAAAAGGACTTTACTCAATTTGACAAACATGACACAGAAAACCCCGGAGCTGACTTGCAACTTGCCCTGGACAGACACACAAGCGGTTGAGCAACTGCGTCCCAGCTCCTACTGCCGCTTGGCCTTGCTGCCAGCATTGGCAATTAAATTTTTAAAATGCCATTTGCAAAGCGAAGGCGACAACTGCGTGCCTGTCGGGCCGGCGCCAAGGAGTGGGCCCAAGGAGTAGGTTCAAGCTAAAACACGGCCGGACCATGGCAATTTTTTCACAAAGTAAATCTAAATTGAATTCAAGTTACAAGCGCGCACAGGGTATCTAACTACTACATGATTTGTGGCAAAAGTCGGGCACTCTTAGAGCCTTTTATACCCTTCCCGAGAGCTCAACAGACTAGCCCATAAACCATATATGTATGCTGAGTCGATATGGTAAAACTTTTCATAGATTCGGATTTGTCTGCAATATCATTTAGCTATTTTCATGGAAAAACCCTATCGAAAACTGAGTTAATGTTAAGAAAATATATTTGTTTTCAAGATATCTTATACAAAATCCAATACTTGACAGTCATTACGAGTCCTTACAATCTGTCATAAAATGAGTTCTACTATGCATCATCATATTTGTGTTTGTCCAACAACATTTTCTCGCTCCAAATGGATGAAAAGGACTTGAAATATTGTAATGAATTTGAAAACATGCGCTGCACTTAGTTATGAAGAAAGTAAAGAATGGGGAAATCACAAAGCTGGTGAGAGAACCTACTAATAGGAATGGTTACCTACTAATAGCTGGGAATTGTGTGTGAGTTCCCGAAGGCTTCCTGAAAATGTTATTAGGGGCAGAGAAAGTTCGCTGGAGAAAACGTGATACAAACTAGTTTGCATAGTACACGAAAAGAGTATGTTTCAAATATTGGAAAAAGAAACAGTCCTAGTTTAGATACCATATAATAAACTTCTGCGCAAGGTATTTAATCTTCGGCTCTCCGATTCCGTGCTGTTTAACTTTTTTCAATGTGTGCTTCGGAGGGGGCTGATTGCAGGTTTTTCAATTTTCTGTGTCTTTGTTTTGCTTGCAACTTTCGCATGCTGCTGAAACACTTGACTCCTCCTTGTGTCATCGGCGGCCAGTGGCAGCCGCCCTCCCCCCGAACTCAAGTACTCATCTGCTCGAATGCAGTTGCCACTTGCTTCTCTTGGCCGCTTGACAAGTGGGTCTCTGTCTCTGTCTCGGTTTTGCCCATGTTTCGGTGCCTGACCCAAAGTTCTAGGCGACTTGAGCTAGAGACTTTGGGCGAATTTAGCCTGCATTGCAATTTCTCACAATGTTGTCTCTGATTGTTCTCTGTTTCTCTGTTTCTGTCTTCGTCTCTGTTTTGTTTCTACTTTTCTTATTCAATTGCCAATTTGAACAATTTTTCACTTTTCGACTCTTGTCGAATGCGCGAGGGTAGGGGAAAGCAGCTCCATTTGCCAAAGGAAATGGAAAACTCGGATTTGCCAACAAAAAAAAAACGATTATCTCATCACACACAATCTGTATATACTTGTTTATTTTATTTCATGTTGCATAGTTTTGTGGCCGTATAAGCATTTTGACGTGTTCCGATAAGTAACAAGGATTCCAACTCACGCCAGTCGCCTTGCCCACATCAGAGCTCATGGGGCTGGGCGCTCGTCATGCGATGAATCTTCTCCAGTGATAAGAAAAGTTCAATCCCTATAGAAATTCATCATATTATTGATTTTCTGTTGGATAACCGTCCAGCCAGGAACTGCTGTCGCACTATCACAAAGTACATCGAACGAATCTTCTTGATCCGGCTTAATCTTATGAATAACCGGATCATCTCCAAAGGGATCACTGTAATCGGGCTTCTCTTCGCCTTTTAGTTTCTTGTCACAAATGTTGATTTCGTTTTTGATTTCGGATATTTGTTGGTCCTTTTGATCAATTAGCTTCTTTTGTTTCTCCAGCTGCTCCTCATGGACTTTTAAGGGACTGGAATCGAGTTTACCCATTTCCTCTTTTATCGACAAGACGTTCTGAGTTAGCTCTTTAATAGTCTCTTTGTAGAATTCAATTTGTTGGGCCAGTTCTTCCTGCAGTTGCTTGATTTCTCTGTCTTTGCTTTCAACTAAATTGTTGTTGTTTTCAATTTCCTCCTTCATCTGATGTATGTACTTTAATAAAGGTCTAACTGCTTTGTAGGTGTGCTCTCCGCATCCTCCTCTGCTATTCTGGTTGCCGTACAAGACTAATAAAAAAATAGGATTTATTTTCTGCAGTTCTAATTTAAGTTTCGTTATCCTGTGCCTTATCTAGGACCAGCATGAGGCTTATATATAACATATACAGAAACACAGTCAATTTCATTTTGTTTGCACTCTGATATATCTCATATGCCAAACTCAACTGGGCTCAGCACGCACAAAAGTAGACTGAAATATGGAAATCTCTTCGAAGCTCGGTCTTTCAATAAGTAAGTTGGTCGGGAACTAAAATGACCTCAAGTCATAGATCAGCTTTTAAGTGCGCTCCATTGAACTGCTTTGAGATTACAAAAAAGTATTTGTTTTTAATTTTATATTATTTTTTTCATACAGACGAGCATGACTAGATCGACCCTTCTTCTTCGAAGCTTATCAAAAACATATATATACTTTATAGATGAGAGGGTTTACCATTTTCATGTAACATACGTACATTTGCACAAGGACATTTTACCTTACATTTAGAGGCCTGAAAGCAAAAGCAAAAATTTTACTCTAGGAGTTGCTGAATGTTATATTATTATTTCGCAGGCACATGCCTGTTGTACAAAACAATATTATCTCAATGAATTGAAATGGAATCTATATTTAGGCTCCAGTTTGTTCTAGAAAAGAAGTTAGTTCCTTAAATATACATTGCTTTTTAAATAACTATGATTTGTTGTGACTTTTGCAATATTGCAAAAGCGACAAGAATATAGAAACGATGAATCATCAAATAAAACATTTATTATGCGCCTTATGTAATAATTTGTTGGGAACCCTATGACCGAATTGAAGGCTTAGGTTTCAGACTACAAAAGCCCCATCAAATAATCTTTACTAGTTTTCAATTTCACTCTCTTGCGGCACTTGACATAGTGTTCTACACTTGTATTTCAAACTTGCTACAATATGAGTCGGTTGCGATATGATGTACATAGTGTACGAGTATAACCACATGCAGATCGAAACTTCCGCTCTAATATACATGCACACACTCGTATATCTACAATATATAGTATATATATATATATAAAACGCTATTTATGCTGTTCATGCAGAACATGAATAGAATACAAACAGCAAGACTCTGCGGCGCACGACAGCACAACCAACAACAGCAATAACAAAACAAAAAAAAAAAAGAACAACAACACAAATGGAAGTCAAACGAAGCCTTAACACATGATAAATTTATTGTTATCAGAAAGAACAATACTTTACACATGCATGGAAACTAAACCCAACCGCAACCGTCCTATAGAAAACAAATGCTAATGGGTTAAGCGCACAAGTCTCTATACTTATATCTCTATATAGTAGGAGGCCTACTTATGTAAATAATAATATATAACATTTTTATCACATATTGGCAAAAGTCGCCTTGTTATTCGTCTCATTACTACTTTGTGTTTTATTTTAATGAGTTCTTAACTTTAAACAATTAGGCGTGCTCTAGACGATAGTCTCTAATTGGGTATTACCCTGAAGCCTATTCTACAAGCACAGAATGCAGTCTTCCCTCTTATTGTAGCCCATTTAGTGGGTGAAGGGATATACTAGCATTATTAAAAACAAATTTGAAAGAAAAAAATACACTTCCCTTTTCCTTTGTAGCACTTGCAACGAAACCTAAGACAGATACGCTAGAAACAGGATTTCGATAACGAAAATAATCGATTACTTGGAAACAGGGCAAGTTATCGATGATCGATAACAAACTTGTAATGCGCGAGCACTAGGCTCTCCTTTCAAAATTTGAAATTTACCTGATGGAAAAGTCGACGATTCTTTCGGCCTGTTACATACATTGCCACAAAAACCATCATACCCTCTTCACCAATAGGTTTAGGGTATAATAATCAACAGATAATTCTTTTGCTCATTCCACTCAGTATTCAATTTCATTTAATGACTTTCCTTAAAAGTCCAACTTTATTTATTAATATCAGATTGTAGCCCTTAAACGTGAAACTTTGCCTAACTTTTTGTTAACGAACTGAATAAATAAATGGACAGATAGTTGATTGTCTCTATAAAAATCAGTGTTGGATAACGTGCTATACACGCATTAGTGAAGGCGACGAAATCCCTAAATTGTTAATCGGTTATAAAATAAAACTTTTGCTTGCCCTTCCGGGTTTCCGATCCCTTAAAATACCAACAATATGACTCGAATGGAAGCCATGCCACAATAATAAATGATAAAAAAGAAATGCGTTTATAAGCATAGCTCGAAAGTTATCAGTTTTAGATACCTCAAACATGATATGAAGGTTCTTATATAGTATATTCAGATTCAATAAATTGCCCAAAATGGGGCACTATTAATTTTTTTGATGCTTGGCTGACTGTGTTATCTTCAATATTTCAATGTTCCTTTAAAAACCATTCACACCTTTTTTTTTCTTCAACTTCCATAAACTGTTCCGGCCTTAAGTTTGCGTCTCTGTTTGACTTGGGCCACACCCAGACAAATTATGGGGGCGCAACAGTTGCCCCATTGGCTGGTTCCCCCCAAAAAAAAAGACAACATTTCTGGCTATCGGGCCTGTGCGTGCCTTCGATTGATGACGGCTTTTTTTTTGTCGCCTTTTGTTCTGCTAACAAATTCACAAAATGCTTTCAAGTTCAGCATAATGGGCTATATGTGCAACAACTTGAGGTAAAGTAAGCCTCATAAGCCTAATATGTTTAAGCTGAATATATTTTTACTCGGAATAAATATATACTCGGTCATGATCTGGCCTGGCCGTAAGCTCGTCCATCTAAAACCTATAAGAGCTGGCATTTGGTATCTTCTGGGACACAGGCTTTTTTTCGATAATTTTTATCGATAAAAATCGATTTCAATATCCCGCTATTTGAGCATATCTTTTATGTTATAAGGAAATCTAGCTTCCTATATAGTATATACAGATCAAGTATATTTTTTTTTTGACAGCACAAAAGTACTTTTACTTTTATTTATGTCGAAAATATCAAGAAAACCAATTTTCGATTTTCAAGTTTTTAATTAAAATCAGATTAAGTTTGAATATTACTTTAATAAAAAGGTATATCATCAAAATTATCCAGTTAATAAATTAATATTCACTAGTTATCATTTTTTTTTTAGTCAAAATTAGCTGGTGCTCCCACTGTAAGGCTATTTGAGAATGGCCAGCGATAAGCCTTTTGCTCTTTCGCTCGACCAATTTGATTTGATCAGTTTGATTTGAACATTTTACTACTAAGTAACTTTGAATGGGCCAGATATTATAAATGTTAGACCAATAATCAGAACGAAAATTATTTGATAGCTTCACATATACATATATCATGAACGGAAAATTTTTGATAAAAAGCTTAAATATATTTTGTGTAGCGAGTATAAAGAGTGAATCATATAAATCAGTTCGCGCTGGGCCTAAGTGAAACTTGCTTAGCACAAAATATAAAATAAATATGGCCCGAAATATGTTTAAGCAGGAAAACCAATAAGATAATAGCACACACTTAACCTAATAAGCCAATTACTAAAGTAAACATTAAAATGATTATGGATTGCATTTGAATAGCCTTATTAATTGCATATCTATAAAGACGATACTTTCATTATATTTAAAGGTTCCATTTCATTTCGTTTACTATTTGAGCATAAAATAGGTCGGGCACGTGCTGGAGCTGTTATATTAGTTGATATATGAAAGCGCTTGATACACTATAACTCATTGGGGCATAAGGATATTCCGGGCAAGGAATTCTCAGTTCTCGCTAATCCATTAAATTTGAAATATGATTTTGCCAGCGAGCTTACAGCCATCGCAAATGGAGGCGTCGCTGCCAATTTCGTTTACATTTTGGACAAATGCAATAAGTTTTGCGCCAAGAGTAAGAGAGAGAGAGAGAGAGAGAGAGAGAGAGAGAGAGAGAGAGAGAGAGAGAGAGAGAGAGAGAGAGAGAGATGTCGGCATGGCTGTGGATATGTGGATATGTGGGCATGGGTCAGGGCTTGGGGCCAACACAAATCATGCGAAGAGTTTGCCCGGTTTCATTTTGCTCCTCCACTTGGCTTCTTTGCAAGCACGTGCCCCACAAATATGACGCAATTGTTGATGCCGCCCACAGATGGAATCATCCAGCTGGGAGCTGCACACAGCTCAGCACAGTGGGGCCCATTTAACGAGCTGGCAGCATCGCCTGGCGACGGGATTATGAATGAAGTAAATTGAAATAGAGCTGAAAACGCATTTGAAAGGACTATTCAAGTTGTCCTTGCCGCAAACAGAAATGAACATCGCACATTTTAAGAGCATTATCTAGTCTGGCAGCGCAATTTCAATTTGAATTTCGTCTTTGTACGATGCATAAGTAAATTATGAATATATGAATATGTTTTTTAATGCAATCGGGCAGCAGCAACGGAGCCGAGTGTCTGGCTGTAGAGCACAGTTACCCGGTGCTATTTAATAAACTTAATTAATTGATTATTAATGTATCCTATAAAAACTTCTTTGATAGCATTGTATCCTACAATGTGTACAGTCGTTACAATATAATGCTTCAGCTATTTAGGCAGATACTTTAGAAGTAGTTAATCTATAGATTATAAATGTAATATAATATACTTTAAAGTTAATCATTTTCAAATTAATCTATAGCTTGCTTTTATAAATGCCAGCACAATATTTTACGCAAATAAGATCCTAAAACAAATATGATGCAAAAAGAATATAATAGTCTGTTTAATATAAAGAACTTAAATGTTTTCATGAATAGAGTATCTTTAAAATAATTGTGCTGGTATAAAGGCTGGAAAGTTTAATGTCTTCACCCATTTCTGTGTGTTTTTCTACACAGAAATTATAATGTCATATTCAAGGACCACTTTAAAGCGGCATCCGGCTCGAAAGTTCTATGTTGTTTCAGTTTGTATGCCCTTGTAGAGGGTATTATAATTTTGTCATGAAATGTGTAACGTTTAAAAGGAGGCATCTCTGACTTTGTAAAGTATATATATTTTAGATCAGCATCAACAGAAGAGTTGATATAGTCATGTCTGTCTCTCGGTCTTGATACTTTTAGTACATATTTATGTCGGAATCAGCTGGATCGGACCACTATATCATATAGCTGGCATAGGAACGATCGGTCGAAAATGAGGTACTCTTATGGAAAACTTGTTTATTTACCTAATTATATTACCCAAGCTTGGCATTTATAGGTTTAACTATGTACCCTACATGTACGTATGTGTAATCTTATCAACATCGGAAAACTATTTTATATAAGTCTCCATTAAAAAAGATCGGTGGAATAGTAGTATCTTATATGCCAAAACATTCTGTTTTCAATGATATTTTCAACAATCTAAGCATATTTGAGCTGCACTATTCTCACATATCTGCAAACGGGGATATGTCTACAAGGGTATTAAGTCTTCGCCGTGCTGAGCATATATTTTCTTTCCTTTTTGTTTTTTTTTGTTGTTGTCTCTACTCTGCCTGGCTGACCTCTCCACTTGGCGCCCGCTCATGGTATTTTTCTTTGCCCACTGCCACGCCCACATTTTCATATCTATCTGCATTGTGTTGTTGTTTATGTCGCTCTCTGTTGTTGCGCATGTGTGTGTGTGTGTGTGTGTGTGTGTGTGTGCAGCGTTTTCTTTATTATTCTTTTGTAATTTTGTCAGCGCAGAGGGCGGTCGGAATTGTCATGTAAATGGGTTAAGTTCTGACACTAAATTGTTTCTACAAAAGCATTTTGCTTAGTTTTTAGTTTTGTTGTTTCGATATGTTTCAAAATGAATTTTCAATGAAAAGCTTTTGCGATTCGGACGCATTTCGCTAGATCCCTTAGCGCATTTTCATTAAAACATTCGCGATTGCCGCAGGGCAAAATTGGATTTGCAATATGTTATATTTGCGGGCTGACAAACGCCTGATATTGAATGGCATTTAGATTGAAATTTAAATAAATACCCTGTTAGAGTAAATGTGCGCTTAAATGGGCTACGATTTGTGTGTCTGCCATTCACTATTTCCTGTTAATGTGCTTTATCCGAAGCACTTCCTACCGAATACTCGGCTCAACTAGCTAAAAACAACGTTAAACTTAACGACTGAGCCCCAAGCGCGCCTTAATTGCAAACTTAAGTTCCTATACCCCTTATGTTTGCAATTTCATAATGTTTTCGCTATAAGAACTTTGCACCAGCTCACTTCACTCTATGCTAAGGCGGCGCCCAACTTTGGCCAGCGCGGAATGCAAAGCGCAGCAAAAACAATTTTAAAATTTGGCCAATGAACTTTCATATCAGGCAACTGGCAAAATGATTTTTTTAAAAATGTTTAAGCATGCGAACAAGCAGTGGCCACGCCCACCTATAATTGAAAGAGTTTGTACATAAAAAGAAAAAAATTAAATAACAAAAAAGAGGGAGGAATCGCGAAACGCTGGCTTTATCGAGAAAAATTCCAACTACATATAAATATGTATATATGCTTTTTTTCATTTCATCTCAATTAATTAAAACCAAAGCATTTAACACAATTTTTAAGTACAAACAACTTTATTTATGCAATATTCAATTCTATAGACATACTTACTCTAAATACACTTATTGTCAGCAGCCAAACGCAACTTTCTCTTGCTCAAGCTACCTCTTTGACTTTGTGTCTACAGGGTATTAAAGCTGGACACAAGTCGAACTTTCATACTATTATTTCCCACTTCCCTTCGCACACGCAAAGTTGTTAGAAATGTGCAGCTGTTAGTGCAAATGATAATAATGTAGTCAAATGTTCGACAATGTGTCAAAGCTGAAAATAATATTGATATCAATATATAATATGCTCCAGCGACTTCTAATCAGCCTGCCAGATGACTTCTCAATTTTCTGCATCTCTTAGTAAGTTATTGTCAGTTAATTAGAGAGACTCTCGTTGGCACTTGTCGCACACGTAGTTTGTTATCGTTTCAAGTTCTTTATCATTGAGGTAACTCGTTCTCCTCCTCCGCCAGGCCCCCAATTAGTTGTCAGTACATCAAACATAATTAGCGTCGTTTGATGTATTGATTCTTAAGCCCTTTGCTGTTGCCCTTTGCCTGCGTTCAAGTTTAATTGATAACATTTCAATTTGTATTATTATTTTTGTTTTTTTTTTTTGTAAATATATATTTTTTGTATTTTTGTGCGTTCGATAGCATTATCTACACTCTTGCAGCTGCCCATTTAAAATGATGAAATGCTTTTTGGCTAATTAATGTCATGCATTTTTTATAAATATAAAAATTGTATTCATCTTAATTTTCTATGATCGATTGCTTGATATTTCTTTGAATGTTCTCTATTTTTTACAGGTGTTCGTTGAGCCAAAAGATAAATAAATGTGAGTACAAAAATTATTTATAATTAATTCTTAGATATTTGCAAAGAACTAAGCTCTTATATTCTCTGAAAACCACAAGACTTTAGAGATGACTTATTTTTTTTCAAATATATTATATATTATTTATATAAATGTATAATAAATTTGATATTTTTATAGATAACACTGCGTAGCCGGCACTTGATTCTGCCGCCGACAGCGTAAAACAATCAGAATAAGCGTGAAAAAAAGTGTCAAAAACTACAGAGAATAATGCTGGCAAAGCGAATCAAGAATAAAGCAAGAATACTAAAATCAGCAAAAGAAAAATTTAATATTGAAAAGTTGCAAGCAAAACCAAACGAATGAAATCAAAATACCAAAGAAGATTTACAAAACCAACACGCAAAAAAAAACCAAAACCAAAACCAAAACAACACAAAAACCTAAACACAACAACAACAAGAACAACTGTAGGTAAATCAACAAATGCTTCTGCCACAGGCCAAAGAATCGAAAGTGAATGAAAATCTCAGCAACAAAATGGCGCTGGGAAAATCCATTAAAATGTACCTGACCATATTCGTAGCCACGACCTGCATCTATATGGTGCTCTACCAGTATCACATGTCCCGACAGCCCCTCGCCACCAACGAGCTCGTCAAGGTGAGTGCCCCAAATGAATGGAATTAGTGCCATCCATTAATAGAATGTTATGCATATAGCTATTGATAACGCTACTGATAAGAACCAGCACCAACCCAGTACTAAATATAAGCCCCGACAATGACCGTCGATATGTAGAGTGAACATTTAATTAGATTTACGCACTCTGAATACATCAGTTCATTGTATATCTATAGTGATAAGCAGATTAAACAATTAGTTGCATGCTCGTATGTTTAGGTTGATATTTATTGTCTAGTTGCTATTTAATTAAAAATCAATAGCTTTTGCCAGGAATTAATATAAGCAATGCCAAAGGATGATATGTAACAGCTTATCACTTGTTTTCCCAAAGTGCAACACGAAAAGCTGCTCAATCTGTCTCCAAATTGAGATTATTGTTAACAGACTTGTAAATTGCATTAGTCAAGAATAAATGAAAGATGAAAGCTTGCAAAAATACAATAACAAATCTGTAGAAGCTGGAGATTTGTCTTCTAAGCAGATATTCGCTTCTTCAATCGCTTCTCACGAGGCAGTTTACTGCAGTACAACCTTTAACCAACCTGATATATGAAATGCAGTTGTTAGTCGCTTCTCTATTTGCTTCTTTCGACAATGCCAAAACTAGACAGAGTTCAAAATATATAGCAATATTTTTGTAAATTCTATTGGTTATATAAGCTAGAAAACTCAGAATATAATAATCATAATCATAATCTTTACCATCTATTCAGAGCTAGGACTAAATATTATATATTTATATTTATATCTAGACAATAAATTTAAAAGTTTTAGAAAAATTTGTTCTCAAACCTAGTTTTATATTCACCAGTTTGTTCCTTAGGAATACCTAATAACATATATAAACATCTATTCATAAGTCTCATATTACATTGTGTCTTTTGTTCTTGTTCTTAACATAAATGCCTGACTGGACCGAAAACATCAATATGCATTAACAAATGATGTAGCATCCAGAAAAATCATCATCATCATCATCGTCTTCATCGTCATACATCGCTTCATATTTGTGGGCGCCGCCTATGTTGAGCAACTCCTCCAACTCCATTAATACGACAATGGGGCAGGGACTGGTGCAGGTGCATGGGCCAAATGCCACAGACACGTCCTCCGCCTCCGCCTCCTCCTCCTCCTCCGCCGCCCTCAACTCGGTTTCTGCCTCTGGGTCGTCCTTCTACTCGACGGTTTCATTGCCACTGACATTGTCATCAGCATCCGACGCCAACAACAAAAGCATCTCCACAACAACAACAACAACAAGCACGACAACGACAACAACAACAACAACAACAACAACAGTTGCCAATGCTGCTGTGTCTGCAACAACAACAACAGCCCAAAAACTGAAAACAACAACCCAACCCAGCCACGCCCACAAGTCAATGGTAAAAGCAATGGGGGCCGTTCATAAAATTCGTACAACATTTGTTGCCGTTTCCGAGCCCGTAAATATTGTTTTGTTGTGTTTTTTTTCAACATACTCCTATAACAAAAATAAACGTACTAACAAAATAATAAACTAATTTTAAGTCACATTTTTTCATCATAATTGCATTGCCAACTAACTTATCTGCTTTTTGTGCTTCTGCATGTTAAAGTTATACTAAGCTATACTATATATTTAGTCAGTATCTAGTTTGCTCACATATTTTCTTTTAAGTCCGTCGTAAGCTGTTGGAACATAGTTAGATATATATTGTGATTGTAAATTTTAATGGGAATTTTTGCACTTGCTACCAATTTCGTACAGCTGTCTGCTTCATTGCTTTTGCCTCTGTTTGTTTCTTTACTTTAACCATTTTCCAATTTTCTTAATTGCTTTTTTAAGTTGCCCCTCCTGTGGAGCACAAGTGCTTTTCATATTTACACCAAGGGCTTATGGGGGGCTACAGTTTTCCATTACTTTTAAGTTAACATCTGGTTAGAAATTCTAGAATCCATGCAGTGTTTAAAATCTTCAAAGTTGATTGTATCACATATAAGAAATGTGTATACATGTATACATATATTCAAACTATTAGCATTCCACACTAGTTTTCACACTCAAGGTCAAGTATTTCCAAACCACATTGGCGGCTTGAGCTGTGCATGCATCATCAATCAGTCTGTCATTCAGTCAGTCAGCATGATGTAAGCTCTTGTGCCTTATTCTTTAGTTTACCAACACTGTAGCATAGGGTGTGGCAAATGTCTGGCGTATTTCAATCTCAATTATGTACCTGCAGCTATTACACTACACAGACAAATAACGGATTGATTGATGTTGTGTGTGTTTGTGTCTCGGCAAATGTCCTTGCCATAATTAATTAGCCAACTCGTTGGCATTGTCATCAGCCGATGAGCACACAAATTTTGTTACAGTTGGATTGTACAGTCCGAGTGTTCGTTAATAACATGTATTATGCCGTTGAATATGTGCAATTTGTGCATAATATGGCTATGAAATGGAACTTTGTCTGGCGCACAAAATTACTTTATTTGTTTAACCAAGCTACACACAGAAATTGCAATCCAGTTGTTTGCATTATAAACTGGTGCATGGTTTTTTAGGTTAATCAGTTGCAATATATCAGATGGCACTCCAAATTATAAATAATGTGCAAACAAAATGATTCTGTATACAAAATTTGCATGGGTCTAATTTAAAAATTGCTCATTGCACATTGAAACCTAAAAACCGAAACCACGACCACAACAATGAAAGCAACCGAATCTACCGCCATTCAATGGCACCATGCTAAGGGGGTGTTCCAGTTCCAAACGGCGTGCTGGCCAGACTGGGAGGGTAGGAGGTCTTACCGTGATGATCCAGATTCTAAAATGCATGGTAAATGCAAGGCAATTGAAAAAGATTCGCGCATTTGTGAGTTTCTCTCAGTTAGTAGTTGCAATGTCTACGAATGCCCTACACTCAATGTCAAAGGCGGGTTCCATTGGTTCGACTATATTTTATATTTATTTATATATATTGGATTCAAGCTGAGCTAATTAAATTAAAGCAAATTACACCAGAAGTAGCTGTACGAATTAATTCTATAAATATTAATAATAAATATCATTTATGACTATATTTTTTTTAACTAATGACAATAATACAAATAATAATTATAATATTAATACTTAGTTTAAATAGCAATATTGGTATTAACCATAATTAATATTTATTTAGTATATTTCGATTTACCAATTGCACAAAAGTATTTTGTGCTTAGCGCAAATTTCCCATTTCCACGTATATTCCACTTGTTCCAATGACAATAATTGAACTAGTTCCAAATAGTTCAAAGATACAAGCACCTAAACTTGGTCAGACAGCTAAAATGCTACTACTTTTCATGCTTATCCATTATTATTATTATTTTTTTTTATTTAATATATATATATATATATTTTTTTTTTTTGGAATTACATTTCTCTGCTTCAGTGCCCTTCCATTTATTTGAATGTCTGTGTTTGTTTTGCAAATAAATTTGAATGCATTTTTGTGTGTCAACAATGGACAATTTGCAAAGTGCGCGGCGGCTATATTTATTTGCCACACCAGCATCATTCACAGCGTGTGTGTAAGTGTGTGTGCGAGTGTGCCATTTGAGTGGCCTGCTTATAGTATAACGAGTAACCCAACTGAATACCGACACGCAGCTAAACCCGGTCAACTAGTCAACTAGTCAACTATTCAACTAGTTAACTGCTTGCCTGTGGATTAATTTGCATAATTGCTCATAAAACGGGAGCTCATGCCGCGTTACGCATGTAAACACACACCCTGGCACATGCACACACACCCTATCACACACACACAGACGTATTCCTTATAATAGACAATACCATGAAGGGTCTTCATGGCATTAGTTAATACCTCAACTCTTGCCCATCTTAGCCGCCATTGTACATCATCACGCCCACTTATCGACGCCCTGAACAGTTGGCGGAGCTAACACGACTCGGTTACACCCTGAAGCATGTGCTCAACCTGCTCTGGCTGGTTATCGAGGATGCCAACAAGACCAACCCGCTGGTCGCTCACACCCTGGATCGCATTGGTGTGCCCTATGAGTACCTGGTCGGTGAGTATTGTACCTAAAATGCTTGTCCTCCATTCGTGTGCTATTAACAACCTTCCGTACAGCCCCTATGCCCGAGCAGTACAAGCTGACGAAGCGTGCCAAGCCCCGCGGTGTCTCTAATCGGAATCGAGGACTTGATTATCTGCGCGCCAATGCCACCGAGGGGGTTCTATATTTTGCCGACGATGATAACACCTACGATGTTAACATATTTGAACAGGTGTGTAACTGAAAGGTCGCAGCATATGAAATGCACTTAAAAGCTTTGACTCGAAAATAAAATATCCATGCGTAAGCATTATTTAAATAATTGAAGAGCGCATAGAGAAGCGCTAGTTAAATAGCGCCTTTCTACACGATTTTCAATTTCGACGGGAATGCTTGCAGCTTTAAATGTTAGCTAAGTTTTTGAAATGTCAATTTTCTTAATCTGAATATCGTTTCAGATGCGTTATACCAAAAAGGTGTCCATGTGGCCAGTGGGTCTAGTGACCAAAACTGGTGTCAGCAGTCCCATTATACGTGAGGGCAAACTGGATGGCTATTACGATGGCTGGATAGGGGGACGCAAATATCCCGTCGATATGGCTGGCTTTGCGGTGAGCGTCAAATTTTTGCACGAGCGTCCGCATGCGAAGATGCCCTTCAAGCCGGGCTACGAGGAGGATGGGTTCTTGCGCAGCCTGGCGCCGCTGCAGAACAATGAGATTGAGCTGCTGGCCGACGAGTGCAGAGAGGTAATCCCGAGTTTAGTTTAAGTTATGCTCAGACAACTGAATAACCATTATACTTGTGTCCGCAGATACTCACCTGGCACACACAGACGAAAAAGAATCCGGCTGCTCTGCCGTTCAACCAGACACGCTATGGAAATACGAATTTGGCGTTTATAGAGAAGCTGCTGGTGCGCCCGTAGAACGGGGGACGCCACCTTGTCCAAGTGTAGTTAGGCTTAGTTAAGTATATGCGAATACGATTGCTATACGATTGTGTATGCAGCGAGTGAGCTCACAAAGTGTCCACGGCTTTGACCAGTTGTACAGGTACAAACTTGTGTTTAAGTCGTCTCTTTATAACGACTATCATTAGTTTGCACAGACTAAATTATGTAAATTATTTATGTAATAACACATACAGATAGACGCATACATATACATATAAAAATTTAACTTAGTTAGGCTCTAAGCGCACAAGTTTATACGGTATTTGAAATCATGGCCAAGGCTTGATTTGAACCCACATAGCCTAGACTCCGCTGCACAGACAGTATATACCTTTTAGTATTGTATATTATAGTATCCTCTATCTATTTTGTATATATTCGCAATACACGTTCATGGCTGAAGCCATGAATCAATTTAAGATGGTAAATTTTTTGATAAGCGAAAAGTATTTAAGTGCATTACTTTATGAAAGACAGCAGCCTACATTTAAGGTTTAGTTAATAAGTTCAACTGTTTTTTGCACTCCCAATCATGATAGTTCGTTAAGGCACGTCCAAGCAGTATACACTTATGGTTTCTGTTCCTAAAATACATTGTAATTTTATTTCATTGTCTGTGCCTTGCGTTCCAATTTTGAAATTTAACAAAAATGATTTGCAATTTTTTTACTCAAAATTGCCGGCTTATGAAAGTTTCATCCGTTGATAAGATTTGTTTATTTATATCCCTTTAAAATAACTTAAATTTTGTTTTAACTTCGCGTATTGTCAGTAATTTAAATAATCGTGGCAGCAGGTCAAGGCCCACTAAGCATATTGGGCACAAGCTGTGTGGCTAAAATTGAGCTACTATATATTATTTATGCACAGAGCTACGAAGAATCCATTCGTAAAGCAAACAAACAGCAGCTAAAATGTGGGCCGTAACCATTTCAATAATGCATGCTGACATACGTTGCTCCAGACCCCAAACTGACAGCTAGACAGACGGGCATACACAGTTACAGTGCCAGATAAAGAAGTGCCGATGATTTGGTCACATGAGCTGAGACCGCGGGACTCAAATCGCGTGTCAACTGATACCGTGGGTAATGACAATTGAACGGCAAAAGCTGCAAATAGTTTGGGAACAGCAGATAATCGACTTGCTGATGGAATTCAATTACAAAAAGTGGCAACAAATATTTGCAGTTAATAAACATAAATAAAAGTAAATTATAATTACCAACAAATACTTAATTGAATATTCCTATCTGTTACGACACCTACATTTTTATACATTGTAACTTTATGGGAAATAAGCTTCTTTGAATGCGAGTTCCAAATTAAAGATATTTTTGTAGATTCTACCCAAAAAGTATGCGACTAAATATAAATAGAAATTTCAAATTACTGAAAACTTCACAACAACAACAAAAATGGTATTAAATAATGAAAATAATGAAAAACAACAATTTATACAATTACAATACTTCTTAAGTATTTAAGTATGAGTATTAAGCAAAATTTAGTTAGGAACTTACAAAATCTTTAAATAATATATATAAACTAATCTCAAGGGTAAATCTTCGTGAATTGTTATGGCAAGAAACTAAATTATTCTTATAAATTCTTTAAAGCATATATTATACAAATATTCTCGACTATTTCCACTCATAATATAGTTACGAAACCAATCTACAATAACGAGTAAACTATTCTCTTATTCAACAATACCAAAAATACCTTTTTAATAAAGAGAAATCGTTACAAATAACAACTGGTAAATAGATAACAAGGAACTTCAATCATTTTTGTGTAACAAGATTTAATAAAATATTTCTTAAATATTTAAACACAAATTAAACATATATATTATATTTTAATTCACCAGGCGGCCTTTAGGGTTCACTATCAGAAGCTTAGAGCCAGTTAAATGTTGTGTGATAGCGTGCTTGTGTGTGTGTTTGTAGGCTTAGAAATGGGAAACGCGATCACTAATGTTGAAGACGCAAAGCGACCCAGTGCGGATAATGTAAAAATGTGTTTTTGTGTGTGTGTGCTAGCATAAAAATGTCAAAACCCGATCACGTATAGATGCCCACAACAGTGAAGCTAAGGGTATAAAAAGGGCTGCTCATTGTATCATGACTTCAGTCAAAGCTGGGAGCCGGGCTTGTAGAAATGGTTGGATTGGAAGTTTACATTAAATATTAATAACAGATCATGTTAGCTAACAGCAGGTGCAGCCAGCAGTATATAAAGGGCTGCCCACTGCAACTGGGCTTCAGTCGAAGGCGCGAAGCGGCCCAGTGCAGATGTTGTAATAACTTCAGTCAAAGCTGGTAGGCGGGCCGGTAGGAATGATCGGGTTGGAAGTTTACATTAAATATGAATAACAGATCATGTTAGCTAACAGCAGGTGCAGCCAGCAGTATATAAAGGGCTGCCCACTGCAGCTGGGCTTCAGCCGAAGGCGCGAAGCGGCCCAGTGCAGATGGTGTAATAACTTCAGTCGAAGCTGGTAGGCGGGCCGGTACGGATGCTTGGATATGAAGTTAGCATTAAATGTGAATAACAGATCATGTTAGCTAACAGCAGGTGCAGCCAGCAGTATATAAAGGGCTCTCCACTGCAGCTGGGCTTCAGTCGAAGGCCCGAAGCGGCCCAGTGCAGATGGTGTAATAACTTCAGTCAAAGCTGGTAGGCGGGCCGGTAGGAATGATCGGGTTGGAAGTTTACATTAAATATGAATAACAGATAATGTTAGCTAACAGCAGGTGCAGCCAGCAGTATATAAAGGGCTGCCCACTGCAGCTGGGCTTCAGTCGAAGGCGCGAAGCGGCCCAGTGCAGATGGTGTAATAACTTCAATCAAAGCTGGTAGGCGGGCCGGTATGGATGCTAGGATATGAAGTTAGCATTAAATGTGAATAACAGATCATGTTAGCTAACAGTAGGTGCAGCCAGCAGTATATAAAGGGCTCTCCACTGCAGCTGGGCTTCAGTCGAAGGCCCGAAGCGGCCCAGTGCAGATGGTGTAATAACTTCAGTCAAAGCTGGTAGGCGGGCCGGTAGGAATGATCGGGTTGGAAGTTTACATTAAATATGAATAACAGATCATGTTAGCTAACAGCAGGTGCAGCCAGCAGTATATAAAGGGCTGCCCACTGCAGCTGGGCTTCAGTCGAAGGCGCGAAGCGGCCCAGTGCAGATGGTGTAATAACTTCAGTCAAAGCTGGTAGGCGGGCCGGTACGGATGCTTGGATATGAAGTTAGCATTAAATGTGAATAACAGATCATGTTAGCTAACAGCAGGTGCAGCCAGCAGTATATAAAGGGCTGCCCACTGCAGCTGGGCTTCAGTCCAAGGCGCGAAGCGGCCCAGTGCAGATGGTGTAATAACTTCAGTCAAAGCTGGTAGGCGGGCCGGTACGGATGCTTGGATATGAAGTTAGCATTAAATGTGAATAACAGATCATGTTAGCTAACAGCAGGTGCAGCCAGCAGTATATAAAGGGCTGCCCACTGCAGCTGGGCTTCAGTCGAAGGCCCGAAGCGGCCCAGTGCAGATGGTGTAATAACTTCAGTCAAAGCTGGTAGGCGGGCCGGTAGGAATGATCGGGTTGGAAGTTTACATTAAATATGAATAACAGATCATGTTAGCTAACAGCAGGTGCAGCCAGCAGTATATAAAGGGCTGCCCACTGCAGCTGGGCTTCAGTCGAAGGCGCGAAGCGGCCCAGTGCAGATGGTGTAATGACTTCAGTCAAAGCTTGTGGGCGGGCCGGTAGGAATGATCGGGTTGGAAGTTTACATTAAATATGAATAACAGATCATGTTAGCTAACAGCAGGTGCAGCCAGCAGTATATAAAGGGCTGCCCACTGCAGCTGGGCTTCAGTCGAAGGCCCGAAGCGGCCCAGTGCAGATGGTGTAATAACTTCAGTCAAAGCTGGTAGGCGGGCCGGTACGGATGCTTGGATATGAAGTTAGCATTAAATGTGAATAACAGATCATGTTAGCTAACAGTAGGTGCAGCCAGCAGTATATAAAGGGCTCTCCACTGCAGCTGGGCTTCAGTCGAAGGCCCGAAGCGGCCCAGTGCAGATGGTGTAATAACTTCAGTCAAAGCTGGTAGGCGGGCCGGTAGGAATGATCGGGTTGGAAGTTTACATTAAATATGAATAACAGATCATGTTAGCTAACAGCAGGTGCAGCCAGCAGTATATAAAGGGCTGCCCACTGCAGCTGGGCTTCAGTCGAAGGCGCGAAGCGGCCCAGTGCAGATGGTGTAATAACTTCAGTCAAAGCTGGTAGGCGGGCCGGTACGGATGCTTGGATATTAAGTTAGCATTAAATGTGAATAACAGATCATGTTAGCTAACAGCAGGTGCAGCCAGCAGTATATAAAGGGCTGCCCACTGCAGCTGGGCTTCAGTCCAAGGCGCGAAGCGGCCCAGTGCAGATGGTGTAATAACTTCAGTCAAAGCTGGTAGGCGGGCCGGTACGGATGCTTGGATATGAAGTTAGCATTAAATGTGAATAACAGATCATGTTAGCTAACAGCAGGTGCAGCCAGCAGTATATAAAGGGCTGCCCACTGCAGCTGGGCCTCAGTCGAAGGCGCGAAGCGGCCCAGTGCAGATGGTGTAATGACTTCAGTCAAAGCTTGTAGGCGGGCCGGTAGGAATGATCGGGTTGGAAGTTTACATTAAATATGAATAACAGATCATGTTAGCTAACAGCAGGTGCAGCCAGCAGTATATAAAGGGCTGCCCACTGCAGCTGGGCTTCAGTCGAAGGCCCGAAGCGGCCCAGTGCAGATGGTGTAATAACTTCAGTCAAAGCTGGTAGGCGGGCCGGTAGGAATGATCGGGTTGGAAGTTTACATTAAATATGAATAACAGATAATGTTAGCTAACAGCAGGTGCAGCCAGCAGTATATAAAGGGCTGCCCACTGCAGCTGGGCTTCAGTCGAAGGCGCGAAGCGGCCCAGTGCAGATGGTGTAATAACTTCAATCAAAGCTGGTAGGCGGGCCGGTATGGATGCTAGGATATGAAGTTAGCATTAAATGTGAATAACAGATCATGTTAGCTAACAGCAGGTGCAGCCAGCAGTATATAAAGGGCTGCCCACTGCAGCTGGGCTTCAGTCGAAGGCGCGAAGCGGCCCAGTGCAGATGGTGTAATGACTTCAGTCAAAGCTTGTAGGCGGGCCGGTAGGAATGATCGGGTTGGAAGTTTACATTAAATATGAATAACAGATCATGTTAGCTAACAGCAGGTGCAGCCAGCAGTATATAAAGGGCTGCCCACTGCAGCTGGGCTTCAGTCGAAGGCGCGAAGCGGCCCAGTGCAGATGGTGTAATAACTTCAGTCAAAGCTGGTAGGCGGGCCGGTACGGATGCTTGGATATGAAGTTAGCATTAAATGTGAATAACAGATCATGTTAGCTAACAGCAGGTGCAGCCAGCAGTATATAAATGGCTGCCCACTGCAGCTGGGCTTCAGTCGAAGGCGCGAAGCGGCCCAGTGCAGATGGTGTAATAACTTCAGTCAAAGCTGGTAGGCGGGCCGGTACGGATGCTTGCAGATGAAGTTAGCATTAAATGTGAATAACAGATCATGTTAGCTAACAGCAGGTGCAGCCAGCAGTATATAAAGGACTGCCCACTGCAGCTGGGCTTCAGTCGAAGGCCTGAAGCGGCCCAGTGCAGATGGTGTAATAACTTCAGTCAAAGCTGGTAGGCGGGCCGGTAGGAATGATCGGGTTGGAAGTTTACATTAAATATGAATAACAGATCATGTTAGCTAACAGCAGGTGCAGCCAGCAGTATATAAAGGGCTGCCCACTGCAGCTGGGCTTCAGTCGAAGGCGCGAAGCGGCCCAGTGCAGATGGTGTAATAACTTCAGTCAAAGCTGGTAGGCGGGCCGGTACGGATGCTAGGATATGAAGTTAGCATTAAATGTGAATAACAGATCATGTTAGCTAACAGCAGGTGCAGCCAGCAGTATATAAAGGGCTGCCCACTGCAGCTGGGCTTCAGTCGAAGGCGCGAAGCGGCCCAGTGCAGATGGTGTAATGACTTCAGTCAAAGCTTGTAGGCGGGCCGGTAGGAATGATCGGGTTGGAAGTTTACATTAAATATGAATAACAGATCATGTTAGCTAACAGCAGGTGCAGCCAGCAGTATATAAAGGGCTGCCCACTGCAGCTGGGCTTCAGTCGAAGGCGCGAAGCGGCCCAGTGCAGATGGTGTAATAACTTCAGTCAAAGCTGGTAGGCGGGCCGGTACGGATGCTTGCAGATGAAGTTAGCATTAAATGTGAATAACAGATCATGTTAGCTAACAGCAGGTGCAGCCAGCAGTATATAAAGGACTGCCCACTGCAGCTGGGCTTCAGTCGAAGGCCTGAAGCGGCCCAGTGCAGATGGTGTAATAACTTCAGTCAAAGCTGGTAGGCGGGCCGGTAGGAATGATCGGGTTGGAAGTTTACATTAAATATGAATAACAGATCATGTTAGCTAACAGCAGGTGCAGCCAGCAGTATATAAAGGGCTGCCCACTGCAGCTGGGCTTCAGTCGAAGGCGCGAAGCGGCCCAGTGCAGATGGTGTAATAACTTCAGTCAAAGCTGGTAGGCGGGCCGGTACGGATGCTAGGATATGAAGTTAGCATTAAATGTGAATAACAGATCATGTTAGCTAACAGCAGGTGCAGGTGCAAAGCTGGTAGGCGGGCCGGTACGGATGCTAGGATATGAAGTTAGCATTAAATGTGAATAACAGATCTAGTTACCTAACAGCAGGTGCAGCCAGCAGTATATAAAGGGCTGCCCACTGCAGCTGGGCTTCAGTCGAAGGCGCGAAGCGGCCCAGTGCAGATGGTGTAATAACTTCAGTCAAAGCTGGTAGGCGGGCCGGTACGGATGCTTGTATATGAAGTTAGCATTAAATGTGAATAACAGATCATGTTAGCTAACAGCAGGTGTAGCCAGCAGTATATAAAGGGCTGCCCACTGCAGCTGGGCTTCAGTCGAAGGCGCGAAGCGGCCCAGTGCAGATGGTGTAATGACTTCAGTCAAAGCTTGTAGGCGGGCCGGTAGGAATGATCGGGTTGGAAGTTTACATTAAATATGAATAACAGATCATGTTAGCTAACAGCAGGTGCAGCCAACAGTATATAAAGGGCTGCCCATTGCAGCAGGGCTTCAGTTGAAGCTGAGAGGCGACACATTACTAATGATGGTGAGTTTGCATTAAATTAAATTAAGAGATCATGAAAGCCACTTACATAAAATATATTTTTTATTTAAATTATTTATATTTATATCTCTATATATATAACTGTTTGTCCTGACTTATCCGATCTGCCTCAAACTAATTATCAAAGATCTTTGTTCAAATTCATTTGAGGTGTGTTTCTCACTTTTTGGAAAATCCATCAAATGGGGGTCAAAAATTTGGTGGGTGACGTTTCGTTTTATTTCAAAGGATCTATTCGAAAACCCATTTGAGACGAGTTTCACTTTTCGCAGAATTTTGGGCTAGGTCCTAAGCTTTGTCCGAAAAGAACTTAATGAATACGTGTTTCAGCGATTTGGGAAATTACAGGCACAACAGTGGTTAATTAGCGAAAAACTGTTTTATGAAAGTTTTTTCCTTACCATCGGCTTCAAAATCAATTTCTTTGATCTTTGTAAGAATTTATTTAATAAGTTCTTCGGTGGCAAATGTAGGTCAAAGGTTTAATACACAGAAGTTTATTCTACAGCTTCAAGATTCCCAGCGCAAGACTAACATGGGTGGAAACCGTTGATTCCAAGACTTGGTTCTATATTTGATGCACTTAAAACATATTTTAAAATAGAAGTGGAGATCAAGATTCCCTTCTTTAACGGGCGTGTACTTAGTGGAAAGGTAATATCTAAAATGTTTACCAGAAAACATTCCATGGACATGGGCTTGGGCTTGGGCTATATCTCAGCTATTAATGTAGGTCATGGATTTAGTGTCCCATCTCAACTGAATGAAAGCCCATCATATTAAATTCAGAAATTCTCGGTTAAAAAGCTTGTACATTTATTTAAAATTGTATATGTATTTCTTTTTTACAATTTGCAAGTTGCTTAGGAATAAATAAAGTGCAGTGAATTGAAATTTTCGAAGTATGTTGGTGTTTCATAATTGTACAGGACTTTTTGTTTCGTCTAGTGGCTCCAGGCGGCAATCTCAACTCGTTGAGTATTGAGTTCCTGCAGTCGCTTTATATGGATAGAGAGAGGCCTCAGTAACATTTTAACCAGGCATATTTGTAAAAATTCAGTAGGTTTCAGTAGGTTTTTCAACAAATTTGCCTGTTGTTGTTTTTTTTTTTATGATACTCGGAATATTTTACGTGTATTTACCATCGCTGTTTGAGAATTTCGTTTCGAATTTCAACTTTCCTTTATCTTCTTAAAATACCCATTCAATGTTCTGAAGACAGCAACAGTAGAATCTATGTAAGCTAGGTGCAGAGTATGCATGTCTCTAAAAAATGGTGCAAAGTTATTAACTAGAAAGCTTACAAGTCATGGCACTAGATGGTATACTAGTTAAAACTAAGTATTTATACTGGAGAGCTACTTGGAAACTGTGGCTATTTAGTATGTCTTAAAAATTGAGCTTAGACTAGAAATAGGTTTGCCTTTATCATGATTCCGCTTAGGATCTAGCATTCGAGAAGCGTCAAAATAGCTATAATTAATCGATTTTGAATTAATTTAAACAGAATACAGAATTTTACCAAATAAATATTAAGTATTTAAAATAATAAATAAGCTGTAAACAAAACAAATATTAAACAATTTTGTCTCTTATGAGACTACGATTTATAGATAAACAGAAAACAGTCGAAGGAGTTCTAGGAACGGCTAATGTTTACCCAAATGATTATGTTTTGTGGTTTGAAAGACTTACTTGGTTTGATGTGAAGGGAAGATAATTTTGCATTGACTCGTGGAGAGTTGAATTGGTCATTCGCCAAGAAAGTCGATTTATATCATAGATCAAGAGACAACATAACAAGCTAGCTGCAATGCCTCAATGAGTTTTCCGATTACTTTAACTGCTCTATTATGAATATTATAATTGTTAAAAGTGAACTAATCATAAGTATTGAAGCTATTTAAGCTCTAAAAGTACTAAAAAACGGGTGTGATTCGTATGATGCAAAGTTATGTGATGGGCTCATATGGTTCGTATTTCCTAACTTCTCTTCGAAATAGATACTTTTCGAGTGTAGATTAGCTGATCTCTGTCTACTGTGTGGTACTAAAAAGATAACTCAACATCGATGGCTGCACGTGAAAGCTTATAGTTGCCTCTTCCCACTTGGTATGAATCAAACGCTGCAATGGTGTGTTGAGCATTGACTCCTCCTTGGCGACCACATCGTTGCCAGCGCTAGCGCCACTAGCAGCACCACCAACACCGCCGCTAGCGCCAGCCACACCAACACCGGCAATAGCACCTCCAGCCGTAACGGCCTCATCCTTGCCGGCTTGCTTGCCCGTTAGCGAGGTACTCTCCGGTGTGATTGGTTGTCGCTCCAACATGACCAATGCCTGCTCATTGTAGGTGCGATTATCGATGGTCATCAGTATTTGATGGCCCGAACAGCTGTAATAGTTGACATCAAAGCGCGACTCGGCATGATAATTGCGTAGCAAGTCCGGATTCCGATTGAAAATGACGCCAAAGTGACCCGTGCAGCTGGTTATCCAAATGGGATAGTTGGGCGTCTTCAGGCGCGAACCAGGCTGCCTCGATTGATTAACAGCAGCCTGTCGGCCCGGCCCGGCAAGAGCTGATTAGTTTAGTACGTTTACCAATCAGGCATCAACTCTACTTACACTGGCGGACTCAATGTCCCAGAGGAGCAAGCCGATCATGCAGCGCTTCAATACTCCATACTGTGGCACTGCCTGCAATATTAAATGGAATCTCAATCTCTGCGCTCAATTCAATGGTTCCTCCTGCTACGCACATAACTATTCTCGTCGCCCACATTGATAACGCCATTGTGTATATAGGGCGTGGCACGGCCAGTCAACAGCAGAGTGACTATCATGAGGGAGCCCTCCTCGTGGTTACTCATCGTCAACGGCGATGACTTTGTCGAGTCCAAGTCGGTGCGCACTCTGCGATTCATCGAATTGAGTGTTGGCCGCATTGAAGTGAAATAGATCGTTATGGTTATGAGAAATATATGGTTATAAAATATAAATATGTATATCAAATACACTCGCTTTAGCTGAAATCTTACTTTCCCATCGAGCGTGTGAGTACAGCGCTATAAAGAAACAGCAGAGTGCCCGGCGTTTCCTCTTCTGTAAACTTTTAGATCATATTAGGCAAATATTTTGTTACATCAAATAACATACTAAATATATAAATATATAATACATATAGCTTGTGCTACAGAAATTGCTTCAATTTTTGTTAAAGCAATTTCCGCAACTTGATTTCTTACGTATTTGAAGTTTCGCTTCATAAAGTGTTCCAGTTCTTCGTTGGGCGAGAGTGTAAAGGTATAAAGCTGTGAATATAAAATAATATTTTCGTGTTGATTAACACAGATCGACACTTAATTAAATTTAAAATAAATTTTAAGTTTTCAGCTGTTTAAACTAGAAAATATTTCAAATTTCTTGCACCCCATCAAAAATGGATAAGGCAATCACGACAGGCTCACCTTTTCGGTCACCGTATCGTGAAAGTAACTGGCACTGTGATCCACAAACACCTCGTCCTCCGAAGGCAGCACCATGGTAACCTTGCCCTTATCCGAAATGGTGCGCAATATCTCGACCAGAGCATTGAAGAGCGCATCTCGCTGCATCTCGGCGGTGGCGAACAAAGGACTGTAAGCAAAAACACAGACGAATTCATTTCAGCGAGCGAAAGGTTCCACTGATGGACAGGACGCACTCAGTCGTGGCGGTCGCACGGCTGGTTTTGCGGGCAAAGAGCAGGTACTTTAATATGAAACCTTGAACCACGGACAGCATGCCGCGCGTGGCATTCCGTGGCGAGCGCAGGCCGTATGCCAGCTCCTCCTTGGGCGGTGCTCCAAAGACAAAGGACGTCTGCAGCCACTCGGCACGCATGGGTATTGCGGCGGTGCCAAAGACCAGTTTGCGCAGCTCCTAAAGGTGGTGGCATCACAGGAGAGGATTAGCCAAGGCTTCATGCATTTAAGGATCGCCGTTTACCGTTGCCAGCTCGCAGGTTATAGGCGTGCCGCCCTGCATGATAAATTCCTTGTTCATTGTGCTAATTGAGGAAGAAACTTTTCCGCTTTTACGTTCAGCTAATTTTGATTTCCGCTCGAGACCTTTGCTTCGTTCTGCGACTTGTCTGCAAATGTTCTTGCGATATGTTGGCCCCAGCTGCTTATACAGCTCGGTTCTAGGTTGAGCTTGTGCCTGACTGCCGCCAGACAGCCGCCATTTCAGGCCTTTCACACTTCAGCGTTGATTTTTAATTTCATATTTAGTCGTGGGCGCAACAGCAACACGTCACGGACAATGGGATGAAATGTAAAAGTCCTTAAACTCTTGAACCATGCGATAAATACATAACAGAACCCAGAAGTAAATTGATTCTCCAAGCTAGGTGAACGAAACGTTAATCAAGAGCGTATATATATACTGTCTGTTTATGATTATTATATTATTATTATTAATTATGGTTGATTCGCTTAACTTTTCGAACCAAAGAGCAGCCTTTAGTTTCGGTTTTTGAACCCAGGCTTTGGTTTGAGCCTTGGCTCCTCCTTAAATTCTTTCAATATTTTGTTGAAAACAATATAACATTTTAAATAATATTTAATATTGAATGATGGAATATTCAATATTAAATATTATTTTTGCCACATCTTAACTTTAAAGACAATTGCGTCCAAATTAAATGCCATGTGACCCACTGTACGGCTTGAATCTGGCTTAAAGGACTTGGCTCACTTGTCTGTCAATCAACGAAAGTAACTTTAAATGAAATTGAATTGAATTTAGTTTTGTGTGCACCACGCGATACCCGCTATATCGTATAATACATATGGTATGTATGGTTCGAGAAGTGAAAGTGCTAAATTGTGCTCAAAGCGTGCCTATATATGGGGGATGGCTGAATTTTGGCATGTTGAAGCCTGCCATGGCGCCCCACACAAGCGGAAACATCTAGTTGTTGACGCCCATTTGTAAGTATTTTGGGCCAGAAATATGTGTGTAACTTAATAATCGGTATTACTAGATATTTGACTGATGTATTATGCCCTTCCACAAACATTCCAGATATTGCCGCCTTTTAGTTGATTAACGGGTGAATTAATTATATATCATATCTTTCCAGGAAAATGTTCATTTGGAAATGATGCAAAGTATTTTGGTCTACTTCGGTCTATTTTTACAGGACATACAAATTACCTTATGCAAAATAGTAAATTTTGCTTATCTAAAAAACGTATCGATTTGCTGTCCTTCGGCTACCAAAATGCCAGGTGAATGTTGGTTAGCGATGTCTGTTGGAGTGAGCCGACCTTGGAAGAGTTGTGCAATTTAATAGAACTATATGGATAATCGAATTGTACATGTCCCATGTCCATTACATTGATAGCTTCAAATGGCTTTTATTATAGTACAATTTGAATATAGTTTCTAGACAGTAGACCAATCACAAAAATTTAACATGACGTGTTACAAAAAATTTAAAAGACATATTTCTAAATATATGCAAGAATTGCATTTAACATCAAATGCCACAATGCTTAACGGCTGAAGATGGAATATTCTATTGTTTTTAGTAATGGTTATCTGCTGGTAGTTATTTGTTTAATTAATCTATCTTATGCAACACTTGCTTTTCCTGTTTCATAATGTCGCGCATAAGTGTCCTGGCGCCTGCTGGTGCCCGTCCCACCAGATACAGGAAATTGAAATACCAATCCAACAAGCGGACCCTGAAGGCAGACGCCCATAGACAGTACTCAAAGTATATGCGTCGGTATAACCAGTGTATATACTGGGTTGGCGACCTACTCTGCTTGTATAGACAACTCTGGGCACAGCGAGCCATGATGCGCGGGCGGTCCACCAGATCGCCGTGCATATCGCCAATGGCTCGTACAGTATTCAGATTGCGACTGGAAGACCATAAACATAAATTATTATCATATTATTATTTCTCCAAGTTTGTTAAGAACAATGCACTCACACCACAAAGAGCAAGCTGCGCGGCATTTCCTTAAGGGTGCTCATTATGATATCAAAGTTTTCCTTGGCTACCTTCTGCACATAGTCGATATCTTCCTGTGTGAGTTTGCTGCGTATGCGACCACCCTCCATTTTGATGGGCTGTTGGAAGAGCACCGCGGCAAACTTCATATGATCAACAACCTGCATTTTATTCGCAGCTGCCTTCATACGTGGCTCATTGCGCAGCACAGTGGCCTCCCAGAATTCACAAAGAGGAATCCGTACATCATGAGGAAGTTCCTCGTAGAGTCCATGATCCAGTAATATTATATCCGCATCGCCACCTGTCGCACTTTTACGCACAAATACTGAGAAGAAAGTTTTAAGTTTTTTCTTAAAGCGGTTCGATGTTTTTTATTTGGTTACCCACTGTTGCCGGGATGTGGATCCGCATGCACAAATCCAGTGTGAAAGATCTGCTCTGCAAATACTTTAAATAGTTTATGGTCGATGTCAATTAGACGCAGGCCCAGTCTCTTTATGCCCTCCATGTTACTAATTTTGAGCCCGTCCATCCACTCAAGTGTAAGCACACGCTGAAGAATACTAGATTAATTGGGGGCATTGTAATTGAATCAATTAACTACTCACTGTCTTAGTGTGGCCCCAAAAGACCTTGGGCACACGCACGTAGCTCAACTTTTGTAGATCCCTGGCGCAGCGCTCAGCGTTTTTACCCTCCTGCACAAAATTGAGCTCATGCACAAGATTCTTGCGGAGATCATTTAAGATCCAACCGAAATTGTAGTCCTTGAAGATAAACTCGATTATGTCTTGCAAAAAGATAATAGTGGCCAAGTCGCTGATGAAACGCTTCTGCAAATCGCTATACTGCACTTTGACGGCCACCTGCTCGCCGCTCTGTAACCTCGCCTTGAAGACCTGCGCCAGACTCGCGGCCGCAACGGGCTTGTAATCAAATTCTTGAAATATATCCTCGGGTAGCTGGCCAAAATCAGTGCGAAACACTTTCTGTATATCGGACTTTGAGGTTGGCAGACACTGGTCCTGCAGCTTTGATAGTATACTTGTGTATTCAATTGGCAAAATGTGATTAATGGCTGCGAATCCTTGCCCCACCTTAATGTAGAGGCCACCATTAAGCAGACACGTTTCTAATAGGCGGTTCGCACTACTTTCATGCACTACTTTTTTCTTGATTTCATACTCCGGATCATTCTTGTTCAGCCACAGATAATCGACAGCTATCAATGATGCAGTTTTCAGTGAGCGGGCGAAACGCACAGATGCCCCACAGTAGGTGAACTCGTTGACAATGCCATCATAGCCAATGACGCCAGCTCCTGCCAGCAAGACCCCCAATCGCACATACGGCACACTCTGCCATCGGCGCTGGGGTTTGTTCAGCTTCTGGGCGGTGGAGCGCCTGCTATGAAATTCTTTACTCCTGCATAGTTGCCTGTTGGCAAAACGAAATAACATCCTTAGATGCTGTATATGTACTTCGATTTAAATCATGGTATTGCACAAATGGATCAAGCGCACTTACAGGTGTTCGTTGCATTTTCGTCCAAAATTTTCTTTCAAAACATTGGCGAACAGGTGTTCGTTACAGCTGTTTCAGCAGCAGAAATGAGCAATATACGCATATCCGTGATAGAGTTGAAAACTATCTGTATTATATATAAATAACTTTCTCTATATGTATAAAATATAAAATAATTATAAAATTGTAGTTTGACCTACGTTCAAAATATTTTAATTAAACGTGCAATAAAAATGCACTCACTTTGGGTTCGCTGTCACAATATCGCTTATCATTTTTTAATAGTCTGGTAACCTTACAGCACAAGTATTATGTTTATCGATATCTGGGAAACTATCGAGGCAAATAAAAATGTTCGAAAGCTGTGTGCTACCACTAACCGTACAACGGTCAGTTAGAAGGCTACTGAACAGCACTGCGTAATATAAGCCCGGGGCAATACATTCAAGTGGCTCTGGCTGCTTAGTATATAATTGTTATTGTATCCAAAAAAGTGCGCCATACTATATATTATATGCCTCTGTGCGTGTCCGAATCTTTTGCTCAGATCCTCAGGGAGAGACCTTAAACTCATAGGCATCTGAGTCAACTGCCTGGTCAGGGGTCTGTTCCATTGCGACGATATTGTTAACTCCAGGAGGACGCTGCTGCCGTAAAAGAGCTCTGAGCGTCATATGTAGCGACCGGGATGGGCTGGAAAGCCTCATTGGTGGTTTGGGGCGTGCTCCAATAGGCTCCAGTGCGGCACGTCTTGTACCAGTGAAGGCACAGGTCCTGCAGCCGCTACTGAGGGACGCGGTGGTTGTGGTTGTTGCCGTATTGTTGGAGTAGTAGCTGGGGCGTCTGTCTTAACCACTCAGGGGTGTACAGGTGCTTCTCGCCAATGTCAACAGGTGGAGATCTACTTACATCAGTGTGCGGTACCAGTGAGAAGGGTACGCCACGGTAATAGTTGTTGTTTGAACATTATTATGGCAACAACAAGAAAATATAAAGTAAGTAATATTAAGGAACTAACCTTTGCTTAATAAAAAATAAAAAGTATATCTGATCAAGTGACTGTTCCCAAAATGCGATTTGTCGTATTTCAGCTCGGTTTTTCTTACTGGAGTGTATGGCATGAGGAACATCTGCATATTTGCCCTGATCATCTTGTACGCGCCCAGTGAATTTGAATATTTTTGTTGTCCTTTCCGACCGATAATCTTGCAGTGTAAAAATTGCATGAATTGTCATCGATATTCGGAAAGTATCGAAACTAGCTTCTATTAGCCGGAGCTGTCAGCTATCATGTAAACATAATATAATTTTATTTTTGTTTAAATAAAATTGAACCAAACTGTTGGCAATAAGACAGAATAAAGCAATTGATACTTTGTTTAGCATATGGTAGATTTGGTAAAACTATCAACAGCTGTTTGCATATCGGACTCTGCACTAGGTGACAACCCTAGCATTCTGTATACGAACGCCGCTTTGTTTGTTTCGCCGACAGCCGACATATTCAATTCTTTTTATAGCGTGAATCTAAAACAAATAAAAGTTGTTTACCTAAGCGGCAGATACAAAGGAATAGCCTGCCTCGTTGAGAAATAGTGATTGCCACCTTAGCCGAAATGTCGGGTACAATTCTCGAAAATTTAAGCGGACGCAAATTGTCCATATTGGTCAGTAGCCTGATGCTGTGTCAAGTGGCCTGTTTCCTTATGGGTGGCTTGTATGCGCCTGTACCCGCCGGTCATCAGACCGTGGTGGGCATCAAGTGTCGCGATGTGCCGGGCCGTCAAAATGACACCAATTTTTTTCTGTACTCTCGCGGAAATGGAGCTTGTAAATCTCTGCAGGATATGGATATCGAGCAGGATCCTTTAAAGATGGCCAATCAATTGGTGTACGTGTTTCAAATGCCGTTGCCACGCGACAACCGTACTCTGGACTACTCGCGCTGGCAGCAGAATCTCATTGGAGTCCTGCAGGTTGACATTGCGTATGACTCATCCTCGGAACTGAGGGAGCCACCCAAGGAGCTGCAGCTAACAATTGATACACGCCTCGCGTATCGCAACAAAAAGGATGCGGATACAGACTGGAAGCTGTATGCGCACAGCGTGGAACAGCGTTATTTGGACTGTTATGCCGCGCACGTTGGTCTCTTGGAGACGCTATACACGTGTGATATAATACCGTTGTTCGAGCTGGGCGCACTGCATCATAACTTCTATCTTCTTAACCTGCGATTTCCCATAGACACACCAAAGCGGATGAATCTGCAGTTTGGTCACATGCATGATCTCACACTAACGGCCATACATCAGAACGGCGGCTTCACCCAGGTTTGGCTTCTGCTCAAGACCATGCTATTTCCCTTTGTGGTCGGCATTATGATTTGGTTTTGGAGGCGAGTCCATATACTCCAACGTTCGCCGGCGTTGCTGGAATACATGCTGCTGTATTTGGGCGGTGCCCTGAGCTTTTTGAATCTACCACTGGAGTACCTTACCCTGGGCATAGAAATGCCGTACATGCTGCTGTTGAGCGATGTGCGACAAGGAATCTTTTATGCGATGCTGCTATCCTTCTGGCTGGTCTTTGCGGGAGAGCACATGCTGATACAGGATACGCCCAACAAGTCAACCATACGCTCGCGCTATTGGAAGCATCTGTCCGCAGTCGTTGTAGGCTGCATTTCGCTGTTCGTATTTGATATTTGCGAGCGCGGTGTACAGCTGCGCAATCCCTTCTATTCTATCTGGACAACGCCGCTCGGCGCCAAAGTGGCTATGAGTTTCATTGTACTTGCTGGCGTTTCGGCTGCCATTTATTTTCTCTTCCTGTGCTTCATGGTCTGGAAGGTGTTTAAGGATATTGGCGACAAGCGCACATCATTGCCATCCATGTCACAAGCGCGACGTCTCCACTACGAGGGTAAGTCAAGACTATTAGCTACATTAGTTAACAATTATTTATTAAACAGTAGGCATTCATTTTCCAACATAAGGGGAAAGTATAGCAAGTCGGATCTTTTCATTATATTTCTGTGTATCCTGTGTATGAGTTCATAAATATTTATAAAAATGCACGATCCGGAAGCGACAATGGATCAGCCAGCTTACGCTTGCTTCTTCTGTGTAATGGGCGCCACCTCGGCCATAGTGTTTACGGCGCTGGGCGCAGCCTATGGAACAGCCAAGGCGGGCTTGGGAATCGCATCGATGTCTGTGAAACATCCGGAACTTATTATGAAGGCCATCATTCCAGTTGTTATGGCAGGCATTATTGCCATCTACGGCCTGGTCGTCTCTGTTCTGCTGGCCGGTTCTCTGTCTAAACTGTACAACAGCTATAGGGCCTTCCTCAATCTGGGCGCTGGCATAGCCGTTGGTCTTTCTGGTATGGCTTCCGGCTTTGCCATCGGAATTGTGGGCGATGCCGGTGTGCGGGCTTCTGCGCTGCAACCAAAGCTATTCGTGGGAATCGTTTTGATATTGATCTTTGCCGAAGTACTGGGTCTTTACGGCCTTATTGTGGCCATCTATCTGTTTACTAAGTAAACTAAACTTTTGAATGTGAATTATTATAAGTTTGTTGAACATTATCAATACGTGATATATACTGTACACTTGGAAGTTTTTTGTTTTAGGCCTTATATACCGCTTCAAATTCCTTATGCTGGCTACTCTGCTGTGCGCTGGTTTGACCGTCGCCGGCTTTATTATGGGCCAAATGGCCGAGGGACACTGGAAATGGAATGAGGATATTGAAATTCAGCTGACCTCGGCCTTTCTCACTGGAGTCTATGGCATGTGGAACATCTACATATTCGCCCTGATCATCTTGTACGCGCCCAGTCACAAGCAGTGGCCCACCATGCGTCACAGCGACGAGACGACACAGTCCAATGAGAATATTGTTGCTTCCGCCGCCAGTGAAGAAATCGAATTCAGCAATCTGCCTTCCGATTCGAATCCCAGTGAAATATCGTCGCTCACCTCCTTTACGCGCAAGGTGGCCTTTGATTAGGGGGCCAATTTTATAAAAAATAATGTTGTGTGCCAAACTATTTCTAAGATTAGCTTTTGGCGGAGAGGCAACGCTCTTTACTCTGGTGTTTGGGCGTGGGCTCATTAGTATTACAATTACCAGAAACATTTCTTGCCTAGATTTTGCATTTTACAAACACATACTTATATATTTATTAATATTACTCATTAGCATTCATAAATGTATTTTTTTATAGACTTTTCTCTGCATGCTCAAAGTAGTGTCCAAGTTAATGTTTTTAACTGATATTTGTAGTAAATGCGTGTACTTAGTTTTCATAATTTTCTTTTTAGGCCTCGGCAGTATTATATATATGGAAAATCTTTTTAACTTGCCAGTAACAACACTATCATCGAACATTTTCGAGTACTTTTGGTTATATGCACAACATCTGAATGCAACATTAAGATATTCAAGAACGTGTAACTGTGTCAACGTAGAGCAATTTCTCACTCAAGTAGCAATTCAATAAAGAAAAGCAATATTTAAACAAAAAAAGGTTTAGTTATGGATGCGCATATTTCATTACCAAATAATTCGCTGTGGTGTGCGGTAGTTTTTCCAATAGAATTCTTTTGTTAAGTACACATAGAACGTAACCACGTTCAAGAGCAGATGTGCGCCCAGCTCCAGCCACTCGGCAAAGCCCTTGCGTGCTGGCCGTGTATTCAGTCGGAAGATTATATATGGCACCAGGAAATAGCGCAGCTCTAGCAAACGCTGAAAGCACAAAACGAGCAGCAGAGATAGCGGAAACATCAACTTGAAGCTGTCAGGCATATGCCGCAGTCCACAGCAGAGCAGCGCCAGAGCGAACAGGTACAGCGGCGCCATGGCATAGCGGAACCACCAGTAACGGCCGTACAGGCGACTCCATATGTAGAAGGTGTAGTGACGATTGTCAGCTAGCAAGTACGGATGGACCACGGTATTAAAATGTACCACCAAGGCTATGAGCAACATAATTAGCAACGCCAGCACCATATGGTGTCGCAGCAGCGCCAACGCTGGACGCAGTTGCCGCACGGTATTGGAAATGCCAAAGCCAACTGCAAAGGTTGCAAAATAGAAAAGCTGCGGTAAATGTAGAGTAGCCTCATGGGCGCTCTTGTCGCCCACTACAATGGAGCCATTGATGCAGATGAAGCCAATGAAGGGTAATATGATGGAGGCGTAGAAGCAGCATTTAGCCATAATCCTTAAAATACAATTGCATATCAGCTGCGGGCTGCTGAGCAGCTGTAGCCAAAGCTGTAAGCGAAAACATTTCATGTTTTTAAATACATTATTATGTTTAGTTTATATAGGCTTTTGCTCACTTCGCTGCCAAATAGTCGTATTGGTTGGCTGCTTGTCGTGCTTGTCCTTGCGCATTGCTGCACAAGCGTGTCCAGGATGGTGATGCCACAGCACATGCACACCCAGACAATGTTCGTCTGGCGCATAAGCACACTGGCCGCACCGAAAACTGATGCCGGCAGGTGAGCCTCCTGCTGCCAGTAATTGTAAAACAACAACACCATTGTCAAGGCCAGCGTGTCCGTATAGTAAAGATGACTGAAGAAATACAGGGGAGGCAGCACCGACATCGTTATTGCCTCGTGCGCGGCATAGGCATTGCCTCCAGTGCCTGCTAGGGTGCGGCGGCGTATCTTGTACAGCAACAGAATGTTGATGCCCGCGCCGATCAGGCTAAGCAGACGCAGACCCGTAACCGTGCAATAGTTAAACGGGTGCAATACTAAGGCAAGTAGATATAAACCAGGAAACGTTGTGATTTTGGAGTCCCACTAAAATAATTACAAATTGCCATTTGATTAGGGGCTGCTATGACTGCACCTGCACCTGCTACTGTCACATACCACATCGAATTGCTTGCGACAAAAGGCCAAGCCCTGTGGTATGTGAAACTCTTCATCGATTATGTACTCGGCAGTGCCGTTAACCCGCAGGAACAGCGGTAGCGAGTACAACACAAATCCAACGGGCAAGACCACTTTCCAAGAGCCCTGCATCGTTAGACTTCCATTGATCAGCAATATCAGACTGTTTTCTTTAGCTGGTTTTGTTTATCTTTGGACAAAGACACCGGCAACGACATACTAATGTTATCGACCTAAGGCCTGCCTATCGGTGTATCGGTATTTTTTTCCAGTGTTGCTACACAATTTTTTTTTTTACCAAACCATTGACAGGGCTGTTAAATGTTTACATCTGATTTTATATATTGAAAAGAGAAACATTTTTGTATTATTTAAAAAATGAGTGCAGCTCAAAAACGCTCTCTGGTATTTTCGCGAGCAGATAAACTAGCTTTAATTAACGCCATACAAAAGAAGATGGTCATTTGGGATCCTTCACATCCAATGCATTCGAATCTTCAAGCAATAAATCAAGCTTGGAGGGAAGTCGCTCACCAGCTAAAAAAAGATGGTCTGCAATATTAAAACCGTAACACCTTTGCATTTAACTGTCAATATAACTATTTAAATGTATTGTTAGTTACCCTCTGTCGTGAAAGCTTTAAGGTATTGCGCGAAAACTACCGAAACTATTCGAAGCGCATCAAATTATCTGGACCAGATGGGGACCCATTAAGTAGCGAAGAAGACATCGATGTCGACTTGGAATTTGGAGAGCGCATGTCCTTTCTATCGGATGTTTGTTCAAGACGCAAGTAGGCTATGCAAACGAACGTTTTTTGATTTTATTTTAAATTTGTTTGCGCTTTACAGGACCCACCGAACTGCTTCAAAAGGATCGAATCGTACGAGCAACAATTCCTCAAACCATAAAACCTACGAACCACAGAGTGAAGCCTGGTCAGACAATATTGAAGATAATTATATAACGGGCAATGGACCTGCGGTTCAGCTGCCCGAAGTTTCTATTGATGAGGAGGAAGAAAAGTACAGCGCCATTCTCAACGTAACGCCATATAAAATGTCAATATTCTTTAAATTTAACGTCGGTTTATTTCAGATGTCTGGCAGCAACATTTGCAAAGATGAGCATCAATTCCAAATCAATTCCACATCTTCAACTCAGCCGGAAGCAGCGCGCTTTGATGAGGACGAACAAACATCGAGTAGCTATTCACACGTAAGTTCAGTTTGGTTTCCTTGTATTGTCTATTAAAACTAGTCCTAAAGGCAAGGAGTCATGTAAATCCTGATCTGCTTGCATCAATGTTCGTCAAAATGATGAAACAACAAAAGGCTCTGCTTGCGCAGCAACAGTCGACCCTGCAATATCCGGAAGTGTATGCATTCTGGGACAGTATTATAAAGGATATTCCACCTGAGGCATTGTCGGAAATCAAGTTTGAAGTCACGGCATTACTGCACAATATATACAAGAAATACAAACAATAATATAAACGTATACGTAAATGTATTGAACTATGAACCCTTGATGTTTTCCAACAGACAGTCGGCTCGTTTTATTGTCGCCTCGTTGATATAATCTTAAAGCTTATAAATATACTGAATAGTTGCCTGTAACGAAAATATAATGCTCATGATATTGATAAACATTCGTAAACCGGAAAAAAAAGGCTTTGAATCACGCTTTTTAAAACATTTATTTACTATGTTTACTCTGGGCTCATCAGGTGGGCACGAATCTGCAGCCTGTAAGGACTTTCGCTTGCGAATGGATTTTTAAAAATGTGTTTTAGTATTTTTTCCGTGGTAAAAATAAGAGATTTTTACTGTTCCGAACTCTGGTTACATTAATGCTAAAACAGATGTTTTTATTTATTTGTTTACTCTTGCTTTTGAAAATTTTTAATTTCTACAATCAGTAAATATGCGCACACATATTCTCGATCTTAACGATGATTGTATTGCTTGCGTACTTAAATATCTGCCGATTGAAAATCACATGAGTTTTGCAGGAGTTTGCACACGCTTCCGTCATGTTTGGCTGGGCTATCGGAATTGTCTTTATAAGCAACTGGAACTTGGAGAAAGCAGCGCTAAGGGATTGAAACAGGAACTGCTCTTATTGCGCCAAATCAGCAGACATGTGAAGCGTATAGTTATAAATTTTAATAGGAAATTCGATTGGTGCGGAATATTGTTTAGAGAAATCATAGGCATTCTGAAAAAACTGACTGCTCTGGAGCGTGCAATACTTTGGATAAAAGACGACGAGCCTTACGAGACTTATGAAAAGATTTTGCGAGCATTTGAGCATTTGCCAAACATGCAGGGAATTGCCACCTATCAGGACAGTTAGTTCAAGCATCTACACAAACACACGCACTTTGATTAACTAACATATCTATCTTTTAGATTGCATTGTGGATAGTTTGTATCATTTTAACGAATGTGACGAGCTTTTGGCGGAATCCCGATTGAGCAGGAACCCTCTGATTGAGCCCATCGATAGGCACACTAAAATACGGCTACTGATATTTAATAATGCCTCGATTCGGCCGACTCTCGAAGATCTTGTTCGCCACTCAAGCCTTGTTCAGGAGCTCAGTTTATGTATGATCCAAAAGGCCGCCGAGTACACGGCTCTTGCCGAACTGCCAAATCTATGTAAGCTAGAGATCTTTGGCAATCGCACTATAGATTATGGTTCTCTGATGCCACTGATTGCTGCCGTATCCTCCAAGCTGTCGCAGCAGCTGCACACTTTGACCATTCATGCGCCCAGCCTTGGCTACCAGGAGACCGCTAAAATCGCACAAATACGAACATTGCGGGAATTGGATTGTGATTTTACCGAGCCGCGATGTCTGGAACTATTGATAGCTCTCGATCAGCTAACACATCTTTCTATTAAGCTGCCCAAATCGTGTCCGATCGATAGTCTAGTTTTGCATATACTCAGAGAGTGTCATAGCTTAAATGTGATAAAAATAGATTCACCAGATTTAGGAACAGATTTTCTTACTGAAGCATATCGCGTGCTGCAGCAGGTGCGAAATCCAAACGAGAAAAAACCATTGGTCATCATTCTTGGCGATGAGTCCCAATTAATAGATATTGTGAGTCCAATGAAATTTATATCTATTCAAGCTTATTAATTCTTTTACTTGCAGGAAACGAATGTCTATTTAAGGGTAGTTCGATAAGATTACTCCCGAAGATTGTTTTGTTAAACCAAATAATGTATGCAACTGATTTTTATAATTTATTTTATTCGGCATAATATTTGAATTTACAATTTTCGATCATTAACATACATACATAATTTTTTAACAAACAATACAACTTAATGACTACCAAGAATCCTTGCCCAACTGCAGTTGGAACTGGTCAACAGCTGGTCCTTCGAGTTCCAGCTTGTCGGGCATGACAGAGCAGAACCATTAGCTCTTTTTAATAGATAAGGTTTATGTTTTAACTTTGTGTTCGGGCTTAGGGTTGTGTTTGTGTGTGTGTGTGTGTGTGTGTGTGTGTGTGTGTAGCTGAAGTTTTCAGTAGGCCTTGTCGCACGGTCACAACAAAAACTCCACCTTGCGCAGTCGTTGCTACTTGTTGACGCTCCGGTAGATCATCGGTGCCGAGCGATCGTTGGTCTTCGTGTGCCGCAACTTGATGGTGGCAAATTGCGAGGCGCTGCAAAGAGTGACGCACATTGCGAGTAGAAATGGGCAGCACACAGAGCTATGCTACGGGGCACTACTGAAAAGAGCACTTACATACGCATTGTTATAGCAACTTTGTACAATTTAAAGGACAAGGGTATGACGGCTTTTTACATACGCATTCAATTATACAGTGGAATTTTGTGTGGAATATATAGACTACTTCTACGGGTCGGTTGTAATTAGTGTCTAGCTTCTGTAGCCTATGGAATAGTTGCGATAAATACCGCGCCTGCTGCAAATATAAAATACATTCGTAATATTTCCACTCATTCGGGGCAGGTGTATGTGTGTGTGTGAATGTAACATGATGCAAGAGCTTATGTCTAAAGCAAAAAAATATAGATATAGTATATATATTTATGTATATATGGTATATGTGTTTGTGTTCATCTTAAAACTGTGCGTTATGCAAGGCACCAAAAATGGAAGTTCTCACATTGTGAGATTTCGTGTAGCAAGCAGTCAGCGTTTGATATGTGATGTGAGCATATTTTTCATTTCCCTACAAAATGAAATGCATTATTCCATGTTCTCTGTCTAACTATTCGAAATCAATAAAAAAAAAAACACACAACAAAAGAGGATCATTAAGATTTAAGAAAATGCTCATAAAATCTTAAAAAAAAATCAAATAAATTTAGCGCCAAAGAAATTTCTGTTATCAAGATATTTTCTCTAGTAAAAATATATTTGCTCAACCATAGAAATTTCCTAACTTCTAGTTATTTTAATGCGAAACTAAAGAAAATGGTCGACTGATTACAGATGTAAGTTATTTATTTATAGAAAACTTGTTTAATTTTTCTCGACTGCAAACGAAACATTTTTCAAATTTTTAAACAGCATAAAAAATATTTTTGATCTTGAGAAATTTCGTAAAAACATTGAATGTATTGAAATCTGTTTGAAATTATTTCATAATAATTATTTTCAGAGAGAGTTAATGTTGTCTGTAAAAATATGAATTTCTCTATGACTGCACCTGCAAGCTACACAATTCTCTCATGCTCTCTCTCGCTCTTTCTCTTCAAATGCCGGCACGCTCGGACCATTTTCTTCTCTGGTAAGAAAACGACGAAACTACAACTTCTTACATTCCATTTTGCACCCTACTTTCCCGACCCTCTGCCTAGTGGCTGGCATCAGATCACTTCAGCTTGGCGCTGGCGCTTTTCTGGCCAGTGATGCCATGCTGTTCCTGATCCCAGAAGTCGTACCACGGACCGTAGCTCTTGTTGCCCACATGCGCCTTTAAGTTGCGTTCCAGGGTCGCACTGCTGTTGTTGTTGTGGTTGTTGTTGTTGTTGTTGTTGTTGTTGTTGCTGCTGCTGGAAGATGACTTAAGCAGGCGCGTGCGTGGCAATATGGTGGCAGTTGGTGCGCCGGCCGAGTTGGCTGTGGAATTGCGGGTCAGCGTGCTCTCCTGGTCCTTGGTGTTGGACTTCTTTAGCGTATTGGTCGCCATTGTGGATGTGGACGAGCGGAATGTGTGAAACTCCATCTGCTGCTGCTGCTGATGATGATGCTGGCGTCTCAGCTTGTCGTCCTTGCGCACCAGATGATCATTGATGACGATGCAGTCATAGGGATCGGAGCTAGTTGACTTGAGCTCGGCCTCGGACTCATCCTCGCTGGTGTAGTACTGCTTGAGTATGTCCTTGCGCTTGAGCGTCTTCATGACCAGGCCATGATTGCCGCCTCCGGCGCCATTGCCAGTATTGCCAGCTCCATCATGCTGCATGTCATCAAAAAAGTTGTTCACATCGCTCATTTTGAGCGTTCCATGCTCATCGCTCTCCCCCTCATCCGTGGAGTTTGGGAACTGCTGCTTCTGCTGCTGTTGCTGCTGTGCCGGCTTGGAGCGGCTGAGCGTCTGTGTCTTGTGTTGTGGCGTAGAGGAGGCGGAGCCCGAACCTTGCTTGTCCAGCTTGCGATGTCCATGGCCATAGTCCGACTGCTGATGCTGCGTCTGGCCGTGACGCATGGTGCTCAGCCGTTCGCTCTCTGAGGGCTCTTCAATATCAATCTCGATCGTCTTCATGATCTTCATGCGCGACTTGGGCGTATAGCCGCTGCTCCTCTGCTGCTGCTGCTGCTGTTGCGCCGGCTGCTGCTGCTGCTGTTTCTGTGGCGGCATGGCCGGACTAATGCTATAGATGTTCTCATCGTCATCGCCATAGAGTTCCGTGCTAGTTATGCTGTCCTTGCGTCCGCGCTTCTCCTGCGAAGAGCTGGAGTTGTGCGACTTGGTCAGTGTGCCATTTCCGTTGCTGTGACTATTGCGCTCCCGATCCTCGTCGGAGCGCGACTCGTCGCGCATCTCCTCCATATTGGGCGCTGCGACCAGATCGCGATGCTGCCAGAGCGACATGCCGGCCAGGATGTCCTCGCCGCTGCGACCGCCGCCAAACTTCCAGAAGGATTTGGTGCGCTTCAAGCCCGCACTGGAGGCCTGCAGTATCTCATCGTCCGAGGCAATCAAATCATAACGCATCTTGCCACCAACACCAACGCTCTGCCGGCTCAGCCGGTTAAGGCTCTTGTCATCGATCTGGCTGTCCACGCTGTTCCGGAAATTGCGACTCAGTGTCCAGGAGGCCACATCCCGCGGCACCGTATGTGTATTCGTGTCCGCGCGTCGTCTTCAGTATGTTGTTGTGGGTTAGGCATTTTGCGCGTTTGTGTGTGTGTGCGTGGATTGTGTGCGTGTGTGTGTGTGCGGGCGTGGTTAACACAAAGGATGCGACAATGATGAAGGGCAACAAAGAACATAATGATGATACATGGAATCAAAAGAACAATAAAACAGCAAACAAAAATAAATTAAATACTTCAATCATAGCAATAAATATATATATATATATGTGATGGGGCAGGCGCGGATTAGTGACAACAGCAGCGGATGGAGCAGGTGGTGCAACAGA